CTGGGCCCATTAAATCGTCCCTGCATGTAGATAGTTCTTTCATACTGTATATATTCACCCTTTAACCATTCCTCGCATCCTTACATACTGATGGTAACCTATTTTGTCCTGCAGGAAACCACAGCACGGTTACTCTTCATGGCTGTTCGGTGGGTCAGATGTCTTGCGCCCTTCCAGACGCTCTCCAAGAGAGATCAGGTAATGAAGTCAAAATCTCGTAAAAGGTCTCTTTCCTGAATATGATACAAGAAAATAACAACTGCACCAGAACATAAATTTGTATTGGAGTATGCTCCACAGTGTTGTAGTCGTAAAGTTTCCAGTGCAAGAATGCTTACTGTTGTCGTAGAAAAAATAAGTAACCTAAGTAGAAACATTAGGGTACTTACCTGTTGGCCATTACAATAAAGATGGCTAATACACATTTTGGGATTGTTTGAATAGAAATAATTCAGCAATAAAATTCAGTCAAGGCACACAGATAATAGCACATACACAGCGGTGTTTTGTTCCACAGTAAATTCTTGGGTAAAAAGTCTCATCATTGGATTTTCATAGGTCTAAACTCTCTTTTCAAAAGATTCCTTCTTAAGCCAAATGACTTTTTCCAAAATCCAACCTAATAAGAACAAAACTTATCCTGACTCTGATCTCCAGCTTCTACTTCTCCAAGAGTCGTGGAAGGAGTTGTTCCTGCTTCACCTCGCCCAGTGGTCCATCCCGTGGGATCTCTCGCCGTTGTTCAACAGCAGCAAGGCTCGAGAACGGCTTCCCCCGGATGATCCTGTTATCAACAATGAGATCAAGGCCATCCAAGACATCCTCGCTAGGTTCCGCCAACTGTCACCAGACGGCAGCGAGTGCGGCTGCATGAAGGCTGTCATTCTCTTCACTCCAGGTAGAAGACTTCAAGTAGTCCTAAATAATTAATTTTTTTTTTTACTTCCCTCAATTTCTTATGGATTTGGCCTGAAAATTATTTTTCAAGGGGAAATCAGAATGCTGTCATGTCAAAAGTCATTGATCAATTGTATCACACAAAGTTGATAAAATTGAGTTTGATATGAGGGTAGAATGGAGTGAGCTCTCTTATAGCATCGTTACAGGAGGTTACTCGGTTACTGGTTGGACGTTAACGTTAAAATCAAACTGTACGGAGTGGAATTGTACCCATTCTAGGTGTGACGTCAACAATCGGCAGGGTGTACAATTCCAGGAGGGTACAAATCCGGCGAACCAACTGGTTAATTTTAGCTGGTTCAGAAGAATCTTTTTAAGTTGAATCAACAAGGTCAGCTGGGTCCAGTTTCAAACTTAAAAGCTATACAGATTTTCCCCATAGTCAAACCCTCCTCCCCCCAGTTCAAACCCATAGTAAGCTCTTCAAACTTTTAGGTACCCGGTACCCTAGTCAATTGTGATTTAGCAAATTTCTGAAATAGTGTGCCCATTTGCAAAAAATAATGCATTACTGCACTTAAATAGGTTTTAATATCAAACTCATAAACCATTTACCACCTTTTTTAGCATAGTTTTTCAACCTGCATTAGCTCACATCAAACCCAGGGTTTGAGTAACTTAAACAAGAAATCTAATAATGCTAAATGAGTGAAGATTAGAATGGATGTTAAACTTGAAAAGGTGTCATGACGTCACTAAAGAGAGATAAATATGTAGGTTATAGACCATCCCAGATAATAACAGCTTCTTTTTTGGGCTCAAAAGTGCGTTTGCACTACCAAACAAGTTTGACAGCTATATGGGCTGGAATATCAACCCCCAATTTATCAGATGAGGGAGCAAATAAGGTATAATCACAGTGAAGTAAGGTACCGAGGAAACATTCAATGGTACACGTGTGTAGCACCACTGCTGGTGTCTAAGGCAAAGTCCAACACCACCCCCTCGCCCTCATGTACTACAACGCTCTCAGTGGAGGAAGATCCTGTACGATAGGAATTCTCTCACAGTGCTCGCCTGGGCTCTTTCTTGGTCATCACAAAGTATATTTCCACTACATCACACCAGATCTGAAAGGGCACTGTCATCCCATTAGCGTGTTTCCTCGTACCTTACTTCTCTGCGACTGCTTAGGCAAGAAAAGTAATTCTGATGTTCTACTCTATATCCACCACATCAATCATAACCTTGATATTCAACAATTGAAAATGTCTTTGGCTGTTTCAGAAACACCTGGTCTGGTGGACGTTCAGCCGGTAGAAATGCTGCAAGATCAAGCCCAATGTATCCTAGGAGACTATGTGCGAGGGAGATATGCTCGCCAGCCAACTCGCTTCGGCCGGTTTCTCCTCATGTTGCCTAGTCTACGGGGAGTACGGCAGTCTACTGTAGAACGACTTTTCTTCAAAGAGACTATCGGAGATATTCCCATCCAGAGGCTACTGGGTGATATGTACCTCATGGAGAAATCTTATGCTTAGGGATTAAGCGACATTTGAGCATTGATTATGTCAGTTAATAGAACACTGAAGTGCAATACTTACTGTGTTGTAGATGTAGTAAATTGGTTAATCTAATGTTTATTTACAATCACAAACGAGATTTTGAAACAATCTGTTTTATAAGCTGGTGGTATGGGGTCAATGTTTTAAATCTAAACCTATATTATTAACCCTCCTATGGACGCATAAAAGAATTTTCTTCAAGATCGTTTCCAGACCCAGATACCATTTGTCATTGGGCTATGAATTAATCATACTACCTAACAAAAAGGTCAACGTTTACCTAACAACGTAGATAGTAACAAGATCAGGGTTTGGACCGTTCCCTTTTCAAAATGCCATTGGCGTAGACAACACACTGAATAAAATTTAAGATTTTATGAAGTTTGTAGAAAAATTAGCACTTTACTTGGTAAATCTTTTGTCCAATTTTAGTATCGAGGCGCTGCAACCTACCACATTTACTATGGTAGCTTTTGTTATTATGTTTATCGAGCTACTATTTTGTGAGTAAATTTTATCAAGAGGTGCATTTGCTATGAATTCAACCAATAATATATTATACCTTATACCAAATCTACAAAATAACGCGCTTTTTCACACACATGGAGAAAATAAGTGCCACCAGTTGGTAGTTGAAATAGAAAGCGCCCAATGGAGGGTTTAAGAGTTGAATCGTTCTTAATAAATACATTGTAACTACTTCAGAACTAACAAGTTATGAATTAAATTTAAATTGTACATTTTTGGTAAAAATTAAAGTAACTTGCCAGTGCTTGAAAAATACCTTTTCTCACTTACATAAGACTGTGAAAATATCGATTACCTTTTTTACAACTCTTCTTCAATGTTCTCTAGATGCAATTGTATTTAAAATTTTAAAATGTTCCATGGGGAAACTATTTTGAAGTCTAAATATTGAAATTCAGACCTGAAAATAAAATGTTTCAGACTTTTACATTTTTTTTAAGTCCAAAAGGTTGAACTCAATTAGTAGTTTGCCTAACCATATTTTTTCCCAAATTATTATTTTCAAAAATTTTATTAACTCCCTGTTTTTCTTCCAACTGGTTCTGTTTATTAAGAGATGTAATCCTTGTGGAATGTTTTACTCTTCAAAAGTTCTAGCTTAAAACGTTAGCATTGTTGGTTCTATGTTAAATTAAAAGATCTAGCTATATTTAAATAAATGTAATGTACATAGGTTAAATTTATTTTTAAATACAGTACCGTGTAACAAAAAACCCAAGATTCTGAAAAATTTAAATCCGTGCTAAAATGTTTTCATTGTTGGAATATTTAAAAAAGATTGTTAGTGTTGATTTAAAAAATCAAAGTAAACTATTTTTTTTCATGTTATCTATCAAGTTTTAGGCAAGAGAGGCAGTTTTACTTAAACATTGTTAACTTTTTATTTTAATTTTATGGTATTTTCTGTATTATTACAACATTTAAAACACTTCAGTAAGTTTGTCTATCAAAAAGCTTGATTCATCTAACTACTTTAATTACTTTTAACTGTGATATATAATGTATATTACTATATTGTACATAATACAATTTAAGTGAATTATATGTGCCAAAGATTAATTTAAAAGTATTGAAATTACTAATTAAGTTAATAATATGTAGGCTTGTAGAACCCTTAGATAAGAAAGTGCAATATGTAAAAATGTCATTGTTTATATGGTGCAATTAAAATCATAAATTTAACATCATCTCATTAACAACCTGTTTGTTTTCTTTGAGGTTTTAAAATGTAATCAACGTGATAGCCTAGTAATTCAAGCTTTAGGGTTAAATCTGTTCTATTTGAATGAAAATTGGCGACAGCTGGTCTATTAAGTTGGGATATATAGTTCAGTATCCAATAATCAATGATGTTGTCTTACTGCAACAAAAACAGCTGTTTTGTTTTAATACATGTGTTGCGGGTCTAAAGCACACCTCTTTTTCTCCCTCGGGAGTAAAAAGCATATTTAGTCCCTAGAGTAAAAGTCAACTGTTGTTAACTCAGTTGTCAATTTTGATTGTAAGCAATCACATGTATCGAAAGTACTTATCAATTGCTTTAATCAGTTGTAGCTTATTGTTGCCTTCTTGTCAATATTTCGAAATAGCGATAGTATGATGTACACTAACACAACGATCATAATGTTGATACAGGTAATGTACTAAATAATTGTATCACTTACTGAACAGCTGCTTGTTTGTATTATCAAAATTGATAACAAGTTGGAAGTCGTTTTGGGAGGTTATCTTATTTTTACATGGAAAGTATTTTTGTTTTCTGACATAGTTTGTCTAAATTATGGTGCAATATGACAAAAAATAATATATTCAATCATCACTAGGGTAAAAAGTGTCTTTTTATTCAACCCTCGCTCATTTTACGACCTCGGCTTCCCCTCGATCATAAAACTTGAGCTTATGTTGAAAAGAGCCACTTCACGCCCTAGTGATGATGTATACTGTTATGTAACATCTATCAGTTAATAGTTAATGAAACAACATTCAGGATGAACAAAAAACTTATTTTAAGAATAAAATATTTATTGAGTATTAATACCAGCAAAATATATCAACAATAACAAATTAAAATGCCATATAATTAAAAAAATTAAATGATTGTGCCCTGTATTTTTAGCAAAAGACGGTAAAAGAAAACCGAACTTCGAACTAGATTCAAATTTATGACTTTTGTAACCTACAGATCACTCAAGTCTACCGCATCTACTTGTTCTTCCAAGGTAACATCTGGTTTCTCCTCCACCTCAGGTGGGGTGGCAGGTTTAGGCACGGCACGAGGTATGTCTAAAGTAGACCAAGAAGCGCCGCTTGTTTTCTTCAGTTTCACTTCTACTTTCGTTGGTAACATTTGTACAGAACTGCCTTCTACCTTTACAATCTGAAAAGGATACAACAGATAAAAGGATCTGACATACCGTCATAGACAAATAGAATAACTATATACTGTCAAAGGAAGGTTCCGCTATATGCCGCTAGAGCAGGCTCAGTGTTCCCCGATTCGCTGCCGTCGTTGACTCACCGTCTGCTACCAGCACCCCAAACGAAATGCTACCAACGTATCAGACCCACTCTTCAATATTGGTAAATTAGCCTGAGGCCTATGTGAAAGGGCAAATATAAGGTTGAAAGAGGCTGTGGAGGGAAACTAGGCCTTCTTTTATTATACAATCTCTGATTCTAGTTTGTGCAAAAATGGCCTAGTAAATACAAATAATCAAAAAAGCGCAGTGATGTATTTTATATGCACAGCACACACTGTGAAAGAAACACAGGACTGGCGGAAACTCTTGTCACAACTAAAATAAAATTCAAATATTGCACAGACGTAGCGTCAATTTACTGATGAACTGTCAAGAGCCTGTTAAATCTATTAATAACCCAAGGGATACTTACTCCTCGCAGTTCAAGATCGTTAGTGTAGTAACTGTCTTGTTCTGGGAAGTACAGGGACATTTTAAGTCTCACGGGAGACAGTTGGATGTACGATTGCTCCGGATCGTACTTCTTGGCAAACACAGAGACATACACGGCAGATCCGGTCTGATGCCAGTCTAGTCTACATTTGACTGAACTTCCACCCTGAAACAAAATTTATGTAATGTACGAGGTTACGTCTACCAACGAAGTTGGTAAGTTTCCATTATGGACTTGCTGGTCTTAAGTAAAAAAGTTTACGATACCTACAACAAGTAAACCAAGGATTACTATGCGAGCAGGTATCGTAAACCAATTTAAACTATGGAGGACATACCATTCCACACTTAAAAACTGGCAGCGTGAGGTCTAAAATGGCAGTCCCATTAAAATGATTGGTGAAGGTTGGCTAATAAACTATCAAAGTACCACTGAAACTGCTACAGATTATATTTTAGCCAAAACTTAGGGGATGTAAATCCATAATCATCACATCACTTAAAATTTTTTATTAAACTATTAAGTTATCCTACTAATATTATAAATGAGAAAGTTTGGATGTATGGATGTATGGATGGATGTATGGATGTATGTTTGTGACAAGTGAACGCGAAAAATACTGGACGGATTGGGCTGAAATTTGGCATGATGATAGCTCACATTCCCGATTAACATATAGGCATATTCTTATTTCAAAAATCCTTTCGGGCTCCGCCCCAGTGGCTCTGGAGTTTCCCATGTTAACCTTATGAGAAATGGAATTATTGAATCTTAACAGCTGTTTCAATTAAACAAGTTGGTTCTGTTCTATGATGTTCAATAGCATTAAAGTTACAAGGATTACCAACAGGGTGCAGCACTATTATTTCTTTTACATTTATGAAAACAGCTAATTTGCAACCAAAAGGTGAGTGAGCGTAGCGAACGAACTTCAACCTGGAGGGGAGTTAGCGTAGCGAACGAGCTAACCTGAAGGCAAGTGAGCGCAGCGAACGAGCTCCAACCTAAAGGTGAGTGAGCGTAGCGAACTAGCTCCAACCTAAAGGTGAGTGAGCGTAGCGAACAAACTTCAACCAGGACGTGATTGAGCCATAAAACGAGATAATCTTGAAAATTAAGAAGTTAAACGGGGCAAAGCCCGCGGGTTACAGCTAGTTTATAATATTTCTACAATTATCAATTATCTGAACACATGGAACCACAACAGCTATAGTCTGTATGCTGGAACCTGTCTCCTGGCCCTGTCTACCAGGGGACTGGCCAATGCTTTATGTATACGTAGTTTCAGGAGACAGGTTCCATCATACAGACTTTAATCCATTTCCATGTTTTGTAATGCCTGATGATGCCTCCAAAACAAAGCCGAAACTAGTTGCCAAAGCAAGCAAAACTAGTTGCCACAGCAACCAACAGGATTAGTAATAACACAGGTATTCAAACCTCTTATGTCACCCATTACTATTTCTAATGGGACTTCTGCAGGTGCTGTAAGACAATTTAAGCCAAGAGATGTACAGAGAATCTTGTAGGTCACACTGCAGACAATTTACCCCAGTGCTATCAACTAGAACAGCTTAGTAGCGTAACTTAATTTAACTGAAATATAAAACATAATAAAATTAGTTTCTCTTAGTATCAAAAAATCGTTCTATTAACGAATAGCAGAGTAAACAACTTAGTACCTTGGATTTAAACCAAACATGTTCGTCTGTTCTGCAACCAACTTGTTCGAGGAAGGCGTTGAAGTCGGTTGTTCTCTTAGTACAACAGGACCAGAACTTCAATCCCTCGTGGAAGACTGCGTAGCCGGGATGGTGAACACAAGGTGTCTTCAGCGTTTCTGGTCCTTCGTATGTCTAACAAAAAAACAAGAGTAGATTGTAACAATGTTAAATGCTCAAACTGTCTACATTTCCATATCACAAAGGAAGTAATAAAAAAATTAAAAATTTCCGTTTATTCAAATGAGTTTGCAAACCAGCATGATCAGACCAGGGAAAATGGTTTCAAGGAGGATTTTGTCAAGTGAAAATCAGTGTTAAGCATTTTTACCCCTTTGATAAATATACTACTTTGCAATTTATCTTAACATAATTTAGCTTTAAAAACCCAGTAATGTAGCAAACCTATATTTAAAATTTCTTAATTATGTTCTATGCCAGTTTAAGTAGTAGTTTGCTTGTTTATAGATGGGCCTATACTTCAATCAAATTTGGGAAGTTGATTTATTTCATACTAAGCTACAGTAGAACTAACAGTTGAGAAAATTCCAAAAAATTATATATTAAAAATTCAAATGATGTTCTTATGGAGAATAAGTAAACTGGTTGTGGTTTGCTTGTTTATGAACATATTTTGATCAAATTTGAAAAATTCATTTATTTCATAGGCCTACTAAACTATTTACATTTTACTAAAAAACACTTTTTTTACCCTCCCTGTCGCAGCAAACCTAAGTACTAGTTAAACTAATGCTATTTAAATAGGGAATAAAAATGTGATATTTTAAATGAGACATTTTAGTGTAAATCCAATCAGGCAAATGGAAATTCACTAAATATACAGGTTTGCTGCGGCGGGGGTATTGTTTCTTTAGATATAATTTTTTCAAGTAGACACAATTAGTAGTAAGGGTTTGGAAAAAGAGGTTGTGGAAACATAGTAATAGATTTGATATAAAAGCTGAAACAAGCTTGAAAATTATTTAGTTGTTCAAAAAATACATTACAATTTCGTGGAAAATTAGGGTAAGGCCCAGCGCACACGGTGTGACTGTTTTACAACAACTGTTGCAAACCAGTTGCGTCTGGAACCAGTTTACAACTGAAACAAAACTTCTGTCCGCACACGGTGTGACTGTTTTACAACTACAGTTGCGTCTATTGTGCAATCAGTGGAGTGCAAATTTAGTGCAGTTACGTTGTTTTAAGGCCTTAAGTGCGCTTACTACGTCGGACTCAGACGAAGAATAAGTTATTAGCTTATCAATACCGAATACAGCGAAGGGTCCTGAGAGAGCATTGGGTTCACCCTTATTTGAGCAAGAATGTTAGTACTAGGCTGTTTGTAGCAGCTAGAGCTATTCGGATAGGAAATTATAAACACTAAAAACACTATACGGCCGTCAAAATTCCACCAAAATACCACCAAACACCACAAAAACACCCCGTGGTCACGTGCAACTGAAGTCTGCAACGCAACTGCAACGTCGGGCCCACGGTTGCATGTGACTGGTTTCAAACTATTTTTGAAATCGTATACAACCAGTTGCGTCGTGTGCGTCTCCCCACTGCAATACATTGCCGAGGTCTCAAAACAGTTGCACGCACAACTGGTTTGCAACGAAAGTTTGAAAACAGTCACACCGTGTGCGCTGGGCATATCTTGTAACTTTGACTTTGGAACCAACTTTCCTAGTGAATAGCCTATTTAATTACACAAACTTACTAAACTAAGTACAAAAACTATTAAAAATCCAAGTAAAATTAACTTACAAATTCGCTTCCCAACTCAGAATTAGCTAGCCTACACAAGTCAAGAGATTATATTAAAGAGTTATATTACAGTGGAACCTCGATAACAAGAGTCATTTTCAAATACCCTTGATTTTATATTACCCTTACATGTTATTCCAAACCTCAATAAGCATACCTTGATAACAAGTCTTATTTTATGAACCCCATGAGAGCCTTGTTATCGAGGTTGTATTATTAAAATGCAATTTACATTACCACTTTGCAAGCATTGTTCTTGCAAGCAGTTCCTACAGGTATGCCGCCTTGGGAGTTGTCGGGGGTGACATCGCCTTCGCCTTGCTTGCACGCGGCCACCTGTTGGCGCAAAACATCGGACACCGCTGGCACCATTGTTGTCTGGAACACACAGGAAATTAACTTTCAATGGAAGCTATAACTGTAAATTTAAATATTTTCTTAAACTATAGTTTTTTTAACCATTTTTTATCTACATTCGAATTCCCTCTTATCCAGACACTTTTTAACCAAACATTTGTTTAACCGGCAGAAGTGATTTTAGAGGATAAGTATAACCCGATAAACCGATATTCGGACTGGCCTTGGTCCTGAGGAGTCCGGATAAGAGGGAGTCTCAGTCTACTGTTCCTGAAAACATCAACCTCTAACGGATCCATTGCTTGAAATAAAACATAAGTTTGTGAGTTGAATGACTATTCAGGTATTAGCCTCCAAATTAAGAAAGAGGTAATTTTTTGCCTGGCAAGACAAACTTATGTCCATTCCAGGGATGAGCTTTGATAAAAAACAATGTTTTCGAAATGACGTTAAAACTAAATGTTTGTCGAACATCAATGTTATTTCTTGCTGAATTGTATTATTTTAAATGAAAATTTTAGGGTTGGTTTGGTTTTTAACTTATCTACCTAATTATTTGATTCACGAGGTTACAAAATATTGTAGAGTTTTTTGGTTTGTCAAAGCTATTTTATACATTGTTAAAAATATAATAACTACATTGCGAAGGTACTTGTTCTACGTGCTACCAAATATCAATTCACTTCTGCATGACCAATAGAGACCGATATTTCAATTCTTACAATTGTGAAAAAAACTGCCAATCTAGAACATTTAGCTAGTAGCTAGGTTAATTATCAGAGACAGTAAGCAGACAAAAACTCAAAATGAAAAAAAGTTGATTATTGATGTTTTGCCCTGAAAACATTTAAGTTTTAAAGACAATGACAATGTAGGCTACATTTGTAGTTGATACTGATGTTACCATTCGAGAGCCGAGAATTCAATTTTCATTTCCAGTTAAGCAAAATAGAATGCATGTAGAAAGGCCAAAAGTGTATCATGTTGATTCATGTTGTATTCATTAATCATAGAAGTGAAATTGGCAAAAAAAATTACAGAGATTGATTGTGAACCTCGATACCATTGATGGTTGACCTATCGATGCTCATCCATATGTTGTTCATCATCAACCAATCATCTATTCCTCATTGATTTTGATTATTGTTTAAATAATCTTCACTATGTATGTACTGTATCCATTACTGTAGAATGAGTGAGTTATGAAAGTACCTACACATCTGACCACACTGGGTATTGATGACTTGTAAACTTCTACTTTAGGTAGAATATACACAAGGTTTAACGTACTTTAGGTTTAAGATATTTTAAAGAAAACTAATTTAACCTAAATATAATTCCAAAACTACTTTAGTGAGAGACTGATCCTTCCTCAAATTATGTAGCTCTACTCTCCTTCTCCCCAATGTTAACCTGCTTGCTACCCTCAGTAAAGAAAATGTGATAAGCAGCCAAGATTTAGATTGAATGCAACACACACAATACACAATACAACATTTACCATGGGTGAATCGAAAGATGGCCGCTCGACAGTTGGTTCCGTAAATGGTTTTGGGGCTCTATATTCAATGACTTCCGCAGCTTTGGACTTGTCCACCACTGGTTTCTGAGGTTCTTCTGGCTTTACATTGTTGTGGCAGGAAGTTGTACACCCCTAAAAACAAAACAATTGAGTTAGATGGATGATAGAAATTTAATTTACATTAGGTATTAACTACGTTTGGTAGGCTATTTAATAAACTTGATAGTTTTCCAAGAAAATTAGCAATGACTTGAGTTTACGTAGGCTAATTTTTTCTACAACTAAGTTACCGAATTGTGCTATTTGTTTACAATATTACTTTTTAGGGCTACAATAGACAAACTATTTATTAGTAGGCAAGTCTAAAAAATGTATAAAGTGAGTCTAGCATTTTCTGTTATTCAATTGTATTTTTACCAGTAAGCTATGAGAAATGCCAAATTTATATTTTAAAGAAATAATTGTGATGCGTAATCTATTACAAGATTTTTACTAGTCACAACTTGAAATCATATTTGCCCTACTAACAACATGTTAATTGCTTTTTGATTCCTAAAATCTAAATTCTGGCCATGGTGAGCACCCACACTTAAGGGTAGAAACAGACAGACAGCGAAGCAAAGCCAGGCGACGCGAAGAGAAGCGAAGCGAAGTGTTTGAGAGCGAAGCGATAACATCGCACACATACAGCGATTACAAGCGACGAGATAGAAGCGAAGTCAGTACCACAATGGCCCTCTCAAAGAACACACGTAAATTTCTAGAGTTTGAAAACAATTTTTTAAATAGTTTTTTTTTAGTATGCATAACAGAAGTGAATTGGTGAATGAAGTGGATGCCAGCAGAATGTTGTATGGTGAATATCATCACTTATTTCCTGTATTGAGGAAGCATGTAAAACGATTCGTTCAGTATATGCGCATTTTGTATAACTTAATAATATTAAGAATAAGTTTACATAGGTACTTACACAAAAATGCACTACACATGATCAGCCAGTAAAAATAACTTGCAAACACACTAAAGAACCTTTTTGTATGTACCATTTAATGTCAGTTAATGCTCAAAATATTTTATGGTCTTCTTTCTATAATAACAATCACTACAGGCGTAAAATCTGCAATTCTTAAGACAATTTGGTTAACATGCATTTTAGGGTTTGCACCCAATTTTTTTTAATTTATTTTTTTCATTCTAGGCCTACTAGAAATTGAACGTTGAATTCTAAAATGACGTTCATCCCACATCTTATCAATGATCCCTCGGTTGTTGTGGTTTTTGTGTTTATTCTGCCATATAGCGGGGATTTTATAAACACACGCAATAAGTAGTTCTATGTCCATTGGACTGTTGTAATGGTCACCACCACCTGTTTTCGCTCCAAATCGCGCTTGAAAATCAAAATATTTTGTTCCACTGAAGTTTGCTTCGCTTCGTTCTCAGCTGCCCTTTGTCTGTTCGCGCTAACTTGATAACATGTGATTGATCATGTCGCTTTGCCTCGCTGTCTGTTAGTTTCTACCCTAAGCCTCTTAAGTGGAAGTAATAATTTGCATTGAAGGACGATGAATGGTAAACAAAACTAGAGCAAACCTTTAGGTATATTAAAAATAATGTAAAGGTAATCACGCTTGAAAAACAAAATAGTTTGTTCCACTGAAGTTCGCTTCGCTCTCAGCCGCCCTTTGTCTGTTCGCGCTAACCTGATATCATGTGATTGATCATGTCGTTTCGCTTCGCCTCGCTGTCTGTTTGTTTCTACCCTAAGCCTCCAAAGTGGAAGTAATAATTTGCATTGAAGGACAATGGATGGTAAACAAAACTAGAGCAAACCTTTAGGTATATTAAAAATAATGTAAAGGTAGAGGCAATCTATACTTACGGTACCTTAATGTTAAGAAATTCTGTAAAGTCGGTGCACTTTTTCTTGCAGCAAGACCATCCTTTGTAGGCATCATGAAACACTGGCACTCCTGGGTGAAATACACACGAATCTAAAAACAAAGCGATCATCAATCGATCGCTAGTTTGATCGTAGCAATATTTAATAATTGTAGCCTAACCAAATACGAAATATTTGATTATATGTAGAAGGTAAAAGTTAACCTTCCTTATTTGGTCCATCTTTGGTCATATAAAAAGTTATTTCTGAACATTCATTTTACTCTTGTAAATGTATTAATGAATAAAGTACCGTATGAGTATTTTAATTGAATTGTGTATCTAATCAATCAAATTTAAAAGACAGCCTTGGAATAGCATTCAACAGTCATCTGAATGTTTGTTGAATAATAAGCTAGCCAGTTGGCAGTTTATACATTACTAGCCCAAGTTACTAAGTTTAATCCTTTACCTAGACTATGCCTACCCGTAATCTATATATGTTAGGACAGAAAACAAAACAAGGTATGTTAATTTTCAGTTTTTATTTAGATTTCTCGGTTTATGTGGGTCGTACATAGGCTTATATGAAACAGTTGCCGGTACCCTATAGGCTAAACAAAAAACTAAAATCATGCAAGATCTTTTTAATCAAACCGAAATTGGGCTAAAGTCTGGTCCACACTTAACAATTTGTCTCCGGAAACATTGTCTCTGTAGAGTTGCCTTTAGTATCTGGCGATGTGTCCAGATGAAAAAACGTTTGTTTGAAGACAAATCTAAGTGTTTTTAGAGACAAAGTACAGTGTATTCAGTTTCTCATACGAATGGGAAACAGACAGGCAAGATAGCCTACAAGTCTTTTGTCTCAAGTCTGCATGTGTGGACGTGTCTGGAGACAGATCGGATGCAACTCGAACCTGCTGGTGTTCAGCGTGAAGTTCAGGGCTGAAATTGCGGCCCTGTAAAGCTTAGGCCTACATTTCTTTGTTATCTTTGGCAAAGCCATTAAACTTAACAGAACTGCAAAAAGTGTAACTTAGGGAGCCATTCTTGTAATGTTTCTAAATCCTGTACCATATTCTAATCGAAGGTCTGATAGTAGATTTGACTGAAGTACAAACCTTCCTAAAGACATTTGTGGGTCCACCATTGTCTTTTCCTCAGTAGGCCTACTTAGTGTACATCAGCCACGTGGTTAAGAAGTAAGAAGCACGCACAGGATAAAATCATGTTTAACAATTTTCAGTCACCATACCGATAAACACTGGCTGGCTAGTGTGGACGTAAAACAAATCGGAAATTTGTATCTTATCCGAAACTGTGTTCACAGACTATCGGCAGACTCTCAGTCTTCAAGTGTGGGCTAGGCTTAATCGTGACTGAAAGTCTGTTAAGTAACCATTGAACAACAAGGCCTAAATTATTATTTAATAGGTTACATACCGGTACACCTTTGTCTGTCTTTAATCTTTAAGTACCTACATTCATTCAGCATTGCATCCAGGATTGATTTATGACAAATGAAATAGGTTTAGGCCTACATACCTTACGTTGTCAATCCTTAATGTAGTCTCAGGCGACTAGTATCAAAACTATTTTTGTTTCATTATAAAGCCTTCATCATAATACATCAAATTACTTAAACACATTGTTGTCGTCAATATATACCTACAAAGGTTTTGCATTTAGGACACACAAAAAGTACAAATACGTTAAATTGAGGTACCGGTAGTTGAAAACTGAAAAGTACAAATAAGTTACCGTACAATAGTTGAGTTGTGTCCGGCGGGGTCGTCGTCCGCGTGTTGTGGCCGGACGCGCACTATTTTATGTTACGCAGAGGATACGCGTCCGGGAACCGGACGTGGATTAGGCGTCCCCGGCAGTTACTGTCATAACCTAACCTAACCAACCAAACTTGCTGATAGTGAAAAAAAATCAAATGAAGGTTCAATTCTCTTCATAACATAAAATTATAAATGCCAAAAATTCTAACAAAAGATGTACAGTTAAGAAGAAATTACATTTAAAGCAAAATCTGTGACAAAAAGTTAAAGCCGAGCACTCTATCCACTACACCACGAACAACGCTGGCCGAACATCGTATCGTTGTGGTAATGGCGTTCCGGGACCCCACAACCCGGTGACGTCACTACCGGACGCCTAATCCACGCCTGGTTACCGGACGCGTATCCTCTGTGTTTATGTTAATTTAACGTAAGTTATTCTTGCTTTTTTGTGTGTCCTAAATGTACCGGTCCGGTAACACTTTTGTACATTGACGACGACAATGTGTTTAAATAATTTGATGTTTGACGACAAAGGCTTGATAATGAAACAAAATTGTTTCGAAACTAGTCGCCTGAGACTACATAAGGATTGACGACGTAAGGTATACAAGTTTTTAAACCTATTTCATTTGCTTCAAGTACAGTACTTAGTGGTCTAACTAAAGGATTACTAGGCCTAACTTAGTTTTGGGTCCCAAGACCACATTTCAAATTCACATCCAAATAAGTCGAAAATCTGACATTAAGTTAATTAGTATTTATTAATAAACGCACATTGAGACATTAAAAAGGCTCACATCTGAACACAAAAAACATTCAAGTTAACTTACAGTACCGGTAGCCTAAATTACATTTAAATGGTAGGCTGGCCACCATAGGTAATAAGGTAATAAGGTAATAATAATAACCATCTAGTCGCAGGACAAACCAACGCAGGATACACGGTGGTCAGTTTCCTCATATTCGCCAGGTAACTTGCGTTGGTTTATCCCGTGACTAAGTTAGATGTAGCCAGCCTACCGTTTATTTAAATTAAACATAGAGGATACGCGTCCGGTAACCGGGCGTGGATAAGGCGTACGGCAATGACGTCATGGGGTTGCGGGAACCTGGAACGCCTTTACTACAACAATACCATCACTAACCATCGGTGGTCGTGGTGTAGTGGATAAGATGCTCGGCTGATATGCAAGAGGTCCAGGGTTCGAGTCCCATTGGTGACATTAACTTTTTGTCGAAGATTTTGCATTGAATACCATTTATTCTTAACTGTACATCTTTAATTAGAATTTTTGGCATTTATAATTTTCTAATAGAGAAAGAATTTAACCTTAATTCGATTTTTTCATTATCAGCAAGTTTGGTTGGTTAGGTTAGGTTATGACAGTAATTGCCGGACGTCTAATCCACGTCCGGTTACCGGACGCGTATCCTCTGCGTAAATTAAATGTTTTCTGTGTTATGATGTGTTTTATGTGACGATGTGCGTTTAATTATTGATGAATACCTAACTCTGTAGGAATTGTGAACTAATTTAATGTGGATTTGAAAATGGGTCTTAAGTATGAAACGAAACTATCACTGTAATCCTTAGACTACAAGACTGAAGACGGACAAAGGTACCGGTACTTAACCTCTTAAGTTATGTTATACCATACGTACAATCAGTCTTAAGGGCAAGAACGTTTAAAAAAGCCTAACTTAACATAAATTTTATCGCTTATGGGCAAAACTTTGAAGAGTGACTCCCCATCATAATATTTTGAATGGATTTTATTGTTACCATATCCGATGGAGTAGGATATTAAAAGTTTTACTCTTTAATGACATTACTTAAGTTAAGTTAAACTGAACATTTTTTTAAACAAAAAATAAGTCTTGAGTAAGTTAAGTTTAGGCTAGGATTAAATTTTAACTTGGTTATCCAATAAGGAATGTTTGAGGTTATAAATTATAACACTTAAGTTTGGGTTCCTACCTGATTTGTTTGCATTGGGATCAAATGTTTTACCACAACCTTTATTGTAGCACAATACTAGCCCCTCATCGCTAGGCATATTTGTTTCCTTTTTTATTACAATACAACAATTTAAAATAGCTTTTAGGTTACTAACTTAATAGTAAACAGAGACAGCAAGTAAATTCGCAAGCAGAAGCAGAGCAAGGTTGCAGTAGTAACCTAGCCTAGGCTAGTAGGATCAAGAGAATGAATTTCTTGACAACTAGTTATTTTGGCCTTGGCGAGATCAAATAAATATTCTAAATAAAGTTTAGAAATCCCAAATTTGTAGAATCAATAAGTTTGTTTCGTTAAATCACAATACAAGTCACAACACAAATCAGACAGAAGCAGAAGTCAGAAGTCACTCAACTCACTACACTAGTCACTAGCTCAGCACAGCAGCTCCCTCGCTCTCAGTCTGTCTGTCTGTAACTCTCCAACTACTCACTCCAACCAATACTCCATCCAATCCAACCCAAAACCCAACTGAACTACCCTGAACTACTGAAACCTGAAACTCGATCTGAACTGACTAGTCCCAGTAGTGAGTGACCAATGGCCATTATTGACCAATTAATAAGTCAATAAGTAATTTATTAGGCAAGATCAAATTGTACATGCATTAGCCAAGTCAAATTAATAATTAATTGGAAATAGTTATTTTCCTACAGTTACCTAACAATGTACATCTTCTCTCACTGATTTGAGAAAGCAAAGTGGCCAATTCGCTCATCAGTGAGACAATGTTAACATTGTCTCACTCTAATGACTTTGTCCCACTCCATATTTGCAACGTGAAGGCACGAAATAGTGAGCGCCTAACATGCAGACAAGGTCGTATGCGCGCGAAATACGTTGGCAGCACTGACTGACTGTAAATCAGCTGGTCAGCTGTTGTACTGTAGTGACACAGTATGTTTCACATTGATTATGTCAAAAGTTCACTTCTGTGTTAATATTACGTTACTAGTCCTGAAAATAAGTGTTTGCCGGACGAGTGTGGTCGTTCCCGTGCGAGACGAAGTCGAGTACGGGATTACCATCCCATTACTCGTGTCCGGTAAACACATTTTGGACGAGTGACGTACGATAGTTTACGCCATACTACTAAATCTGTACAAATTCTCATATATTACCACCAACTAATTAACTACCGGTAAAGGAATAAAAATCACTAGTTTTTGTTTATAACTACTCATTGTCACCCAAATACAGTATAATCAGCTGATTGGTGTCCGGTAATACTCATTACAGTTAGAGTACAGTAGTGTAGTACGCAATGAAACCCCATTTGATTAATAAGCTGGCGGCAAACAGCTGTTTTCTGGACTAAATCCTTGGGTGGGCAGTGGGAAGCTCGTCAAAATAGTGTAGTGTGGCGTAATAGTAGTATATTACGTTGCTAGTCCTGAAAATAAGTGTTTACCGGACGAGTGTGGGATTACCATACAAGTCCGGTACACACATTTTGGACGAGTTACGTACGTTAGTTTACGCCATACTACTAAATCTGTACAAATCCTTATATATTTCCACCAACTAAAGGACTAAATTCACTAGTCGAGGTTATGTTTTTGTTTATAACCCGTCATTGCCATTTAAATACAGTATTAATCAGCTGATTATCATTATTTATGACTATCTCACCTGACCCCAGCTCTGCTGGTTTTGTGAAAAAAATTATTGACTATTGACTCCCTAATCAGGTTGAGATTTAATCATGGTTGAAGGAAAAAACAGGTGTTCTATTCCCACATATTCTGACGTCACTCGGATTGAAAACAAAAGATCACCTGATTGTAACTGTCAAATTAGTATGTATTTGTTTTGATTTGATTGTTTTATAATAATAAAAACAATAACAACCAAATCAAAACAGATAGTATACTAGTTTGACAGTTACAATCAGGTGATCTTTTGTTTGCTATCCGAGTGACGTCAGAATATGTGGGAATAGCTAGCACACCTATGTTTTTTCCTTCCACCATGAGATTTAATGGTTTTACTAACTGCCTTGATTAGATCATGGAAACTGGCTTTTATGCCGTTATATGAGGTTAATATGGATTTTTTGCATATTTAACATGAAAACCTTCAAAATATTTCTGATATCTTCTGTTCTTCTGAGGAAATAAAACTTTTTTGGAAGCTGCATCCCTCCATGAATTTGAGTCCTTGCAGGAGGAGGATCTTACTGATGTTTTCAGTTGAGGTTTGTGAAAGATTTGAAGGTGAATCCCACCAAGAATAAGTTGATAAATGTTGGCATAAATCGATATTCTCTGGATATTGAAAATGTCAGATAGACTTGTCATTTGCCTTTGGGCCACACATTCACCACATCTGCGCCAAGGCCTCGGATATTCTCAAAATGATCTTCTCGCAGCAAGACACTGAACATCCATGGTTGCTTGATCTAGTATCAGTTCTCCATGCGCCAACAACTAAAGTACTACTGTAATCTGGTCACCTTACCAGCTCATTCTTACGTCTTATTCACTCTTTTCGTTTTGTCCCCATACGGGAAGAATGAGCTCTTCATTACCATAGACTAAACATGTTTCATCTATGGTAGGCTACTACCATCTAAATTCTCTTTGAACTTTTGAGAAAAGTATAAGTCACACCTCCATAAACCATATACTTATAATGTTCGTCATGACGAGAAACCTTGCGCAAAACTATCCAATATTTCATAAATTACACTTTAAGGTCGTAATTCCTTCGTAAAGGGAACTTTCCATATACCTAATGTTAAAAATACCTCAGCTGTACATATTTGTTTGTATTACTGTATTCTGTTTTGTTTATTTCAGCTTAACTTAACCAATAAATAATTGTATTAATACTTATGAAGTCAAACGGGGTAAAGCCCGTGGGTAACAGCTAGTTTCTCTAAACCATGTTGTAGAGCTTAAAAAAATAGTACAGAAAAACCCCTCATATCATATCCGACCTACGTGTGGGACCGAGCCCCTGACCGGATAACATTACTAAAACAATAATGCCCATAATTTGTATCTAATAACAACTGTGATTGGTTAAAAGTACAGTGTTTAAGTCTCTTTTTTTTAATGTATATGAACAGAAAACAGATAAACCGGAGACTACGTGTATAGCTGTGGGAAATATTTCGGATATTCCGAGGCCGGATATTACAGGTTCTACTGTATATTGATGTAAGTTTGTATTTTTATTTTTTTTTAAATTTAAAATTCTAAATGTAAATTTAAAGACAGATTATTTATGCAATCATTGAAATATGTTATAGGTTGTTTACATAAAATACTGATGTAGGTAAAATTTTTACCTACAAGCGCTTTTTAAGTAGCCATTTTAGTATTCAGTTCAGTACTTAGAATTGAAAGTTTCATAACAGCATTGTTTACTTTCATAACAGCATAGTTTTACATAACAGGAGTAACAGACCAATGAGGTTCAAAGATTGAGAGAGAAGAGAAGAAGTAAAATTATAATGCTTTGAACTTCATCTAATCAGCTGTTTACCAATTTAATTGTCAGGCTGTAGGTAAAGTAGTGTAAGCAACTGGCAAATAGTTTACCAGTAACAACACTCGTTCAAGTTTGATCATGATAAATTAAGTTTTTCCCTGCAGTAGAGGGTTTAGTTTTAGCTTCTTGTCAAATTGTTTAACCATTTTGTTGTGGTTTTTAATAGGGAGTAATGGCTTGTAACGGTGAGGTGGTTGCTTGGTTACCAATCTGTGGAAGCACATTCAACTCAAGTGCTTCCTAGCATTGCCCTTGTCAAGCAAGTTTTCAGACAGCAAAACATAGCTTCACAGCTCAGATAAATTGACAGTCAAGTGGTTTCCCTGAATAGCATAGTGAAATTTATTAATTTTACATGACAGCCAACATATTGCAGCAGAAAAAACACTTATCGACAAAGTGCTTTGTTGTATTTATCTATTTAATAAAATAATGACAGTCAAGTTGATGACATAGGTAGTTATTTGTTGAACAAATGGTATGCTCCTATTTTAGAATTCTTCTTTACATTAAAAACACTAAAATGGAACTCCAAAAATGTCAACCACTTCATTTCTTTTACAAAGCCCTCTTTAATGAGGTTTATGTTACACTTTTAAGCAAAAAGGATGAAAGAAAACTATTTTTCATTTCAACCATAATAAGTTTAATATGTACATCGAGATTAACTATCAAAAGTATGAAAATAAATAAGTCAAGGAGTAGAATATAATACAAACTTAACATTTTACCACAGTGAAACTTATCACAGAGATCAGTTTGAGTTTAGGAATCTCAAAACTAAAGTTGTATCTCGTACCGCTGAATCATAGCGAAGATGAACCAAACATTTTGCAACACAGATCTTCAAAGTTGCTGACGTCTTCACCCTTGATAAACCTCTTAAACTCTGAAAAAAATGTTTAAATCATAACATAGTGTGGAAGGTAGTCGAATGTATAGATTTTCATCATGAAAGTTGCTAATCTCTAAATATACCCTACTCTATAACAGTGTCGAAGGTAGCCCTTCATCAAGGGGTGGGGGGGATACCGGGGGCATACTCACCAGGAGGAAGAAAGGGGACAGGAGTCCTCCCCTGGGAAAATTTAAAAAAATTAACTTCTCTAAACACTATTTTTAAGCATTTAGAAAGTGAAATCTAGTATCTATTAATAATAGACAATACAATTTGATGAACTTTTTTGTTTATGAATTCAAGTTTCTAGATTCAGTTGCAAGTAGACAATTTTTATATTACATTTATTTACAAACTACATAAATTCATCTTGTGATCTGTGATTCATCTGTGTAAATTCATGAGTTGATCTGTCTTTATGTAAAGAATATGTTAAATTATTTGATGAATTATTGAATTATGTAAATATTTCAATCGGAATAACTTGTTAAATATGTTTAAAACAAGGTTTAGGAAAAATTGACGCAGCACTTAAAGAATCTAAATTGATTTTCATCTTACCAATGAACAAGTCCTTTGTTGAGGAATCTGAGAATACTTTACGAAGGTTTAAAACGGTGCTGTCGTAGTTTGCACTGTTGGAACTATAGTTTTTGACGGTTTCTTTGAAAATCTTAAATTCTTCGTCCTTGAGACTACTTTTAACCTGTAAAAAATGCAAAGACACATAAAGTTTAAGTTAAGCTAGATTTTTGGAGGAAAATGTCACTGGGTTTAGGAACTCTTTACAGGAAGAAAGAACAGATTTTTTTTTTAAACTTACCTTTCGGAGGTACTCAGCTGTGCTCTTGGTCCGTTGCTGATTGGAAGCTGCATCAGAACCTTCCGAGTTTGTTGAGTCAAACTTAAGCGGCTGAATCTTTAGTTTGCGCTTTTTCGGAGCAGGTTCTACATAAGAATCTGTCACTTCGTCTGGGTTGTTATACACAGCCTTTTTTATATCCGCAAAGGTTCTCTACAAAGAAAAATCATATTAATTTATAGTGAATACTACAAAAGTGATATGAGGAGGATAAGTTATGCTTGGTTAAAAATTTAGGAACTAGAAATTAAAAACAAATTATATTTTGTTTTGTATTCTTGGTAAAAGCTGTACACCAGAATAGATATAGTTTTTATATGAGGATCACGCTTAACCATACACTGAGTGACTCTACTCAATGGAAACCCATTCAACCTTCCTACGGCGTATTTCTGCCTAAATGTGGATGGCAATGAATGTGGGATAAGTGAAATGCCTTTGGTGGCTTTGTTACTGACTAAGATCAAGTGATTCTTTAGACAAGAGCATCAAAGCCCAAAGATCAAGGATACAACTGGGGCCGATTACAAACTGTCAAACTGATTTTTTCAATGATCCAACTAGCGAACTATTTGTTAAATGAGCACTATAACCACTAAACTACGCAGCAATGATTATTGAAATTTACTTATTTTTTACGTACATTACGAAAAGACAAATTTTTAGATTTATTAAATCAACTCCCCAAAAAAGTTGAATGAAAAATGTAACTAACAACCATTTGGGTTTTTCTGATTTTATCTGGTTACAAATTATTTTTAAACTAGTGTGCATGTTGCTCGAATTCGAGAAATTGCGTTATTTCAAAACGAATAACAGTCATATTTACAATGAGTTTAAAAGAGTCAACTCAAAGATTACCGGTGTGTAACTCAGACCATGTTTATCTTCGTTATTGATAAACCTAAAGCATTCCGGCCGGTTTTCTCCTTCTCAAAATGCCTCGCTGTACATGCAACACAGGTCATTGATAGAGGGCCAATTGTGAACGAAAAGTCGTTTTGGGGTAGTGTTAGGGCGCATTTGTAATCTAATAGTTGAGATTGTCCAGGGTCAGGTGCTGACTGTGATGAGTTAAGCCTATTACGGCAAATAAATGTACTCAATGCGCATTGAATTTAAAAATAAATATCAGCAAATGTAACCAATTATGTTCTTCATAAGGATAACATGGGAACTTTCAAAGCCACTGGGGCAGAGCCCTAGGGACTTTCTCAAAAATGTAAGGCCAGTTTGCAAATCTACGCAACACGCTCTTTCCAATGAGACGTCAATGGATAAAATCGGTTAAGAAATGGCGGAGGAGTTCAACCGACAAAGTTTCATGTAGCGTATTAATTATATAGATTATTTCAAACCGGGGCTCAAAATAAATATATTACTATTTGTAAAATATCATGTTCGAAAAATAATAAAATTGATGATTTTTGATGGAGTAAAACAGTATCTTGAACTTAACTGATTCAAACGATCAATAGCTCAAATCAAGGTCTATAATTTAAGAATTTTTTTTAACTCCCCCATAAGAAATACAAGGGGAGCAAATTTTGTTTACGTATAAGCCGAGTGGGACTGTAGATGAATGTATGTCGAAGCCTAATGTGAAATCTTTGCATGCATACCTTCAATTTGAGACCTCAATCACTAAAATCGGTCGGGTAGAAGAGCCAAATGAACTCGGAAAAGAAAAACCAAATTTAACTCCCATAAGAAATACACGAGGAACAAATTTCGTTTACGCATAAGCCGAGTGGGACTGTAGGCTAGATAAATATATGCCAAAGCTTGATGTAAAATCTGTGAATGCATACCTTCAATTTGAGACCTCAATCATGAAAATTGGCCGGGTAGAAGAGCCAAAGGAACTCGGAAAAGAAAAATCAAACTTAGGCCTAACTCTAACAAGAAATACATGGGGAGAAAATTTCATGTATAAGCCGAGAGGGACTGTAGTAGACAAATATATGCTCATGCTTGTTGTAAAATCTGTGCATGCATCTCTTCAATTTGAGACCTTAATCATGAAAATGGGTCAGGTAGAAGAGCCAAACAAACTCGGAAAAGAAAAACCAAATTTTTTTTGATATATATATATAAAAGATTGTTCAAGCAAAATAAACAAAACTTGCCAATTCAATACAACAAAAAATAAAATTGAGTTTATCATAAATATAACCAAAATTCTTACTATAAATAACTATAAACTAATGTACACATATTTACTGGCATCTTGACTGACCACTAAAATAGTGATGTATCAAAAGTCAAAACCGAATCCACAAATCTCAAAACCATCAATACTTTGGAAAAGTTTCGGTTTCAAGATTTGATTGGCAAGTTACGAGATTGGATTAAAAACTTTCAAAATTTTTAATATTGAGTTCCATTCTTTGTACCTTAGGTTACATACAAGCTGGAGCTAACAGATCACCACTAACACTGATGAAACTACCGATCATATTCTGAACCGCAATAGCAAAAAAAATGATGTTATGTTATAATCATAAATCATAACATTTATGATCTATGATAATACTAATGCTGGAACAACGTACAATATAGTAGTTTCATATTGATATTTATTTTAGACAAATAAATATTGATTACTATTCCAAATGTTTTTTTATTTTAATTTATTTAATATTTTTCATTCTTGTTTATGTTAGTGTCAGAAGAATAATTTATTTTAATGTTTTTTTTTTATTTCAAAAACAGTTTTTTAAAGTTTTTTAATAGTATGTTACGTTACTAGTCCTCAAAATAGGTGTTTACCGGGCGAGTGTGGTTGTTCCCGTGCGAGACAAAGTCGAGTAGGGGATTGCCATATGAGTCTGGTAAACACATTTTGGACACATTCAAATAACTGTACCTGTGACGACGGCATACTAAGAGCATCCAGAAGACCAGCAGGGGAGGGGGCTGACGAAGCTTTAGGTTGTGTCGTCCGTACAACATTTTCCAAAAACTTTTTCATGGACGCATCTTCATTTTCCTTTTGTTCTGCTTCTTTATTGGCTTGCTTAGCTCTTACTTTAGAATCCACAAAATCAAAGCTCGCTCCTGATTGGATGGGTTTGAGAGGTGGCTGAAATTAAATTGCGGAGGGATTAATTAATCTTATAATATAACCTATATAGAGATGGTCGTAATCAGAAATTTTGTAAAACATAAGCGATACCCGAATCAAATCATAAAACCCTATTTCATTGCTTGGTTATGGTAAATAAAAACTAAACATAGCACAGTTGGAAGATTGCTCGCACAGTTTATTTGTTTTACCACAAATCCATTACTGTGAACTTAAGATGTATTGGTATGAGTTTATAAAAGTATCTTTATTGAAGAGCATTTGAATTCAGAACACTATATTCTGGTGGTAGAGATTGCTTATTGAAGTTGGCCACTAACGCTGTCTTATACTTACCACTAGTTTGCCTAATGACTTAGGCCTATAGCAAGTCTTTAGACCACAGCACAGTTGTAGTCTACACAGTGGTTTCCCACCTTTCTACCCAAGGGCGGCATTGTAAGTTTGTGGAGGAAATGAGTGCCGGACTGTTAACATTTCAGTGCAGAAAGGTAGCCCCCTCCAAATAACTTTAATCGAGAACTCAGCAGTGATTTTTGAGATTTTCTTGCTGATTTTTATTTAGTTTCTATATATTACATGTTCACTAACTAAAATTCTTTACTTTTCTATGTCATGTTTATAATTTGTCATAACGTAATTATTAGATTTCTTATGATTATTCCAAATCTTAAGAAAGTTGATATTTATTGAGCAGTATATCAACTTAAATATATAATATATATTATGAAATATATTATGATATTATATTTCTTAAGTAATAGGAGTTTTTAAGTAGGACTGATGAAAACACGTTTCTTTTCAATGTAGGCTAAAACAAAGTTTACAAGATTAACATTTAATTGTATTGGCGATAAGAATACTTGACATTGAGTTTACAAGGAGTGTAAAACCAAAATTAACAGTGATTTTTTAGAGCTAATTTTTCAATTTCCACTTCAAGGCCAGCTCAATCAGAGTTCAAATTTGTTGTCCCAATCTTTAGGATTGATGTCATTGGTTCTCTTTAAACATCATAAATACGATCACTGTATATGGTCACAATATTACTAATACCACAAGAGATGTTTATAGTGCAGTCACTATCGCGGGAGACGATCATTGTATTGCCAAGGCCATCAAAATATGCTCGCGATTGTTGTCTTGAAGATTGCAGTATTGCCGAGACAGCACAATATAAAGAGTGTTGCCTTAATCATGAGTGACGATTACAGTATTGCCAAAACATCATGATATGTTCACGAGTGTTGCCACAATCGTGGGAGACGATCAGGGTATTGCCGAGACCGCCAATATACTTATGGTTGGTGTTGCTGTGATTGCGAATGATGCAGTATCGCCTAGACCACAATATACAGGCCTTCATGGCGAGACCGTAAGATATGTTCACGAGTGTTGACCCGAATTTGACAATCATCAGTGTGTATCATCATATAAAAATTTGTATTCCTCAGTAGAGCTCTGCGGGCCGAATAAACTACTCGGCCGTAGGTTGTAAACCTACTTATTTAAAACCTATTTATTCACAAAAATAAATAACTCATACATAAAATGCACCCTCAGTTCTATATTGACGTAACTCTAAATTCATGAACAATAGGCTTACATTGACCCCCATGGCTTTAAAGAACTTGGAGACTCTTCCATAGACGGGTCCGAACTCCAAACTCTTGACGATGTGAGGTCGCACCCAAGCGGAGAGAGCATTGGTGATGTTTTGTGACTCGAAGCGACAGTCACAGAGTAGCAGACAGCCAAAGTCGCTCCCGTGACGGATCAGTCGCCCCACGGCCTGGTTGACTGCTCTCGTAGCTTCCAACTCGTACCACTCTTTGCCTGACAGTCCCTGGACGAACAGTGTTGGTTATTATGCGGAAAATAGAATGTTTTAGCATAAAGACTTTCTGTGAGGTGGCGGAGTGTTTGACTTTTAATAATAGGCATGTTATTTAGTGTTAATAAATATTTGAAGGTCTTTCGAGTCAGCCGAGTTCCCTTCCCTGAGAAAATTATTTATAATTGAATTATTGTAATCATTAATCATTAATAAATCATTAATTTAAAAATTCATTATTCTGTTCTACTGAGCTAAACCTAAGATGGCGACCCTACCTATGTTCACTTAAATCATCAAACCTTAATTCTGAATACGGAATCCTTATAGGAATAATTTATTAGTCCAAATTCAAAAGGAACTACCATTACCAATTTTGTATAGAATCAAGAATCAAGAGTTTTATTGCCATTGACCTTTCTTTGTACAAAGGAATAGACATAGTCAAAACACATACAAAATATTCCAAATTAACAAATAAAATACAAAGTTTTACAAAATACTTAGTTAATTAAAATACAACATATCTAGAGAATATGGATCATGTAGGTACACATCAAAATTCAATATCAACTTTTGTTTTTAGAAATTCATGGATGCCATAGAAAGGATTATTTATCAACCATTCACATAATTTAGATTTGAATATCTTGAAGGATACTCATAACACCTTAACTGAAGTGCATTTTAACCAATTGGGTAGTGAAAGATAAATTGTTTAAAAATGAGTGATCACATCACAGAATAAGTACTGAAACGTATATAAGCATTGTTTTCTTTTAACCAAGTGGGTTAGCACGTTAAACAGACCTTATCGTTGGATCTCCGCAGGTTGTTCATGTACTCTTGTTTAAGCACAACACGCGGATCTCTGAACGGAGGATACGGCAGTCCTGTGATGATAACTGCACGACAATGTGAGTCCGCAAAGTCCATCCCCTCGGACACCTTCCCCCGCAGTACGGCCAGGAACACTGCGCCGCGCGATCCCTCTGTCTCCAACGCAGCCGAGTAGTCCTTCATCACTTCCGCTAAGCTCTCCCGTCTCTGTGGCTCCACAAATAAGTTCTGGGGACAAGAAAAGTCATTTTTTCTACTAGGGATTATTGTTTCAAGTAAAATTTGCATAGCCGGCTTAAAGAACAGGTACAATCCAGGGTGGTACAAGATTCAAAAATATATTTTTTTCCAATATGATTAGGCTCTAGACGTCATAAACAGTAGTGTCGACTATCCGAAACCCAGTCATCCGAAGTGTTGGTAACAAAATAATAATCACGGGTATCGTCGAGCCACACCGCCGTTTCACTATTCTAGTGGAGCAAGTTTACAGTAAAACAAATGAATGTTTACCAACCTTCTGTGCGTTTATCTGTGACCAAAGTCCTGTCTCTTGCCAGTGACTGATCGTCTTCTGCATAACTGGATAGGAGGGAAAGAACATAAGGATTCCACCTGGTACAATTCGGCAGAAGTTGTTTACAATCCTCCCAAGGTCTCCTAGATACTTGGGGTTCTCTCTGAAACAATTGAAAAACACGTTTAAAAACAAATAAGAGTTGCCTACTTTTAAATTCACAACTTTTCTTATAAGAAAATGGTGTGGGGAAGTGTGTAATCCTATCTAAAGTGAGAAGTTGTAAATAAGTAGCAGGGAGAATGAAAATTATATCTTCTAAAGGATTAATCATATTTGTACTGTAGACTTTCTCACCTTTTTGGTCCAAACTAAAAAAAAAAACACAAAGTAAATTGGTTACATGTTTCAAAACTTAACATAATATCTGCAGTACTTCAGGATGGCCCTAAACAATAAGGGAAAACAACAATATTTTTACGTTGAACAGTTCCAAAATGAACAGGTAGTGACGACTTTTTTTAATGAAGCTATCGTACGAGTGCACGAGTGAAAACAAACAAAGAGTATGACATACCTGTTTACGTAAGTGGAGAGGAGTTTTTCGCCAGTAGGACCTTTGCTCAGGACGTTAATGCACACCTGATGAAACAAATTAAATTTGTTACAGGGGTGATAAATCAGCTATTTTAACATGAGTTCAATACATCAATCGTTAATGATCAATCGGAAGAAAAGCTAATATTATTTTAAAAAGCATAGCACTTGAAATAAAGCAAAGGATTGATCAATTTAGAAGTCTTGACAGAGTTTAAAGCAAGCAAAAATTTACAGTTAGGGGAGAAAGAAAACATCCAAATCTTGTACATGAGTTTATAAACCAAATTAATTACTGAATTTGAAATTTGTTGATATTTTGCAATAAATCCTGATAAAAAAACAAAAATAATTACTAAAATTGCTACATTCCATATTTAATTTTTATCATTACATTCCATACTCCACTAGATATAATACCTTACTGCTTGTTTTGTAATAAGTTTAGTAAATTATTCCACATTAAAACAAAGCAGAGTCTTTCAGCAGAATAATGTATTTCTCAAATAAAATTAATCGTTAAAGCATTTCCCTATTCACACTAAAAAGGCTATAATCTATTCAATTCTCCTGTACCTGAAATCGATTTAAGAAATAGGCGGTGAGAAAAAAAAACTAGTGATATTTTGAAAATAAATTAGGCTGCTTACGTAAATCATAAAAATCAGATGTTCATATTCATATTCTTTATTCATATTTTTGTACAAAGGTGGTACAATGAATAGCGTCAATAAAAAGAAATACAATTACAATGATATTAGTAAATATTAACAAGTAAAATAATAACAACAAGTCTTTAGCTAGTCAAGAATGAAATACAAAATTAAAATAACTTAATGCTACCTATGCCAGGGAGGTGGAGAACTCCCATAGAATAAATAGCTAAATTTAATATATAATCTTTGAGTAATTTTTTAAACTTATTAAAATCTGTTTCTTTTTTTATATTTTTGGGCATAAATTTTAAAAATCTTTGGCCTGCATTGGACGGTTTTTTTCATAAAACTTGAGCCTATGAGGTTCAACAACCCCACTTTTTTTCCTAAGCTTATAGTTGTGGCTTGTAATCGGTTTTTCACTCAAATCTTGTTTTCTAGCAATAAGAATAACTTCATATATATATTGTCCATAAACTGTAAAATTTTTTAGATGTGTAAAGTGTTGTTTGCATGAATCATCCCCCTTAAGCTTGAGCATTATCCTGATAGTTTTTTTTTGCTGTTTTAAAATAGAGTCCATATTTCTTTGTTTTGTTGAACCGTATAATGCTATGCCGAATTGGATATGGGAATGTACATGAGCAAAATATATATTCATAAAGTGTTTATATTGCAATAAAAAGACATTTATGATAGAGCATAAACTCCAGAATTAATCTTTAGCAGGATCTTTTTAACATGCTCATCCCAATTTAGGTGCTCAACCTAAATCGTTAAACCTAGAAAATTTATACTACTTTCCCTGTTGATGTTTTGTGATTTATATTCTAGTGTTGGATCTGAAGATTTTCGGTTTTGTTGTGTTTTAAACGTTATGAACTTAGTTTTTTTAGAATTTAAAATAAGGTTATGATCATGTAAGTAGTCTCCAATGTTATTAAGTTCATTAGAAGAAAAAATTTGCATCTCCTCCAATGAGTCAGCTGATAAAATTAAATTTGAGTCATCAGCAGATGTTGGTGTTGAAGCAAAGAGCAGATATATTGGATGAGCATAAGGAGAGGAGACAAAGCTTTGACAACAAATAGGGATGAAAACCAAAAACCCCAAAAGAAAAATACCCTCAGAACGCCCAAAAGAGGAAAGATGAAAAGTAACTAAAGGCATGAAAATCTATGAAGAAGACAAAATAATTTGGGGAAGTGGATAGACAAATCAGGATCAGTGGATCAGTTGAGGACAAATACATTCTTTTGGATAAATATGTGTAAGACTGGGTAGGACAAATTGTAAATCAATCTAGGCCAGTCAGTTACCTGAGAAGGTTTGATGATGTGAGGGTTTTCCAGTTGCACTGGTATCGGAATGCCAAGTTCGGTGATTGTGGCGTGGAGAGGGGAGAGAGTCCCACTGGTTAGGATTATACTTGTAACTCCTTGCTTCAGTAGAGATCGCATCCTGGAACAAAAAACCTATAGCAACAAAATCCAACCTACCCTAACCTATAGTAACAGTGTCTAACATCGCCTAACCTATAGCCCGCATTATCTAACCTCACCTAACCTGTAGCCTGCATAATCTAACCTCACCTAACCTATAGCCTGCATAATCTAACCTCACCTAACCTATAGCCTGCAAATCTAACCTCACTTAACTTATAGCCTGCATAATCTAACCTCACCTAACCTATAGCCTGCATAATCTAACCTCACATAACCTAGCAACACTGTAAGGTTAACCTGCTATCCACCACAAAATCCTTTATCAGCTATGCTAGTTTATTTACCTTTTAAAATGTGTAAATGGATATAAACAGAAATGGTTCTCAAAACTAAATAGTCAACTTTTGATATTACAGAAAAATTTCTACTTACGCAAAACCCGGACTGAAGCACCAAAAGTTGATGACTTTCGCTGTAGAATTTTGTACTGTTTTTGTGTTAGACCATGCGTCAGGTTTGCTTTTCTTTGGTACTTCAGGTTCAATGTAAACCTGGAACATGTTATTAAAAATATTAGACAATATAAACTCTGGAACACAAGTTTGGCTTCATATGATTAACTTGAATAAAAGTCAAAGTCGAATCTCACCTTATAGTAAAGATCAGAGTTTTTGACACAGCCTCCTTCGCCAACACTGTTGAACACCGTCGTGAGGAACTCGCTAAACTTGAGCAACATCCCTCCTTTACGAGACAGAGCAGAGTCGCTAGTGGTCGTCAGGAATAATGCGAGGTTGGACAAACTGTTGTCCAGGACAGCAATCTTGTCAGCAGTAATCTGCGGAAAAAATACAAGCGTAATATATTGTCAGAAAGTTCATTTTTTGACAAAATCATTAACATCCACACTAGTGAGTACTAGGACTATCCGATCCTACAAAAACGAAATCTTCATAAGTTAACTATCATTAGTTTTCACTTTCCGTGGACATAATATTTCCATTGACATTATTTCTTTATTGCCTTTATTTCAACATTACGTGTCCATTGACGTTACTGCAGTCAACGACTAATTGTCTATGACAAATATCAAAACATTCATATGAGCATCATCGCCATGAATATAATCAAATCAACAATCAAATGCTGTAAAAACAATCAATGTACTGCATTTGGATGAATATGACACAGAAAAAAATATTGTTTTATTTTGTGAAATGAAAAAAGTGCTTTATTGTTCAAATTACATCATAGTAGACCTCCATATATGTACCACATACACAACACTAAAGTTAACATAAATAGTTATTTGTGTAACTAGAGAGCAAAGTGGCACTTTGCTGCACACGAGAGCAATTCAATTCAATTCAATTCAATTCAATATTTCTTTATTCATTGAAGCACAAAGTACATGAATAGTGTCATTCTCTTAAATGTTTTTATATTACAATGTTATATTCTATGGATACAAAGTTCTTAAAATCTAACATAAGTTTATACAAATTACAAATGAATGTTCCTTCTAAAAAATTTAAAGTTCATCAAAGGAATACAATACCTTGTTGATGAGAAATGTTTTAAGACCCCTCTTAAATTCGACCATGCTTTTTGCCGATTTAATTTCATTTGGAATTTTGTTGTAAAATTTGGAGCCGGTATAACTTGGTTTTTTACTGTAAAGTTCTAATCTGTGGCGGTTTAGAGCAATGTTGGTAATTATGTGTTGTTGGCAATGTTAACCTTATGTGTAAGGAACGATCTCGAGTGCAGCAAAGGTCTTTTGCACTCGTGTCACACATTATATTTTTCCTACAGTCACTATAAAGCATATAAGTAATTAGTCTTTCAAACACTATACAACACGTTTTTAGGTTCAGCTGGCAACAAAAATAGGTGCCCTAGAGAAAGTAGTCCCCAATCCATATCACTCCGCTATTTTTTCCTCGGCAAGCAATGTGCTCCGCGACTTGAGAAAATAGTTCCGTTTTTGTAATTTGAAGTGGTTTCCGTGCCTAAAAAAATTCTTTTAAAGGTATTTTCTTGTTTATTAAGATCTTAGGAATGTTTTAAAAACGTGTTAAAGAAAATACCAGAAAGTTCAGAAATACTGAAACTATAAACACGAAATGATAGGTTAAATCGTAGTTATAATAGTCAATCAGCTGCTCATAGTATTATTATATTTAAGTGTTGCCAACCTATTTCCAAGTGTACACGGATTACGTGCATAATAGAACCACGCTGTTTTTGTTTTGTGTTGTTTCGTTGGAATCCTGATGTGCGCCAAAGTATAAACCGTACGACCAAGTATAAATATGCAGCAATTAGGAGGTTGGGTGACTGTAGGATAAATAAAAATAACATACTGCTAAACAAAACCTAACACTTATTAAATAATGGTCAATGTTGACCGTCTGTTTGGTTGGCAACATAAGTACTTTCTTATTAACAAAATAATTCCAACTGTACAGTAATATTTTTTTTATTTTAATGACACAAGCGACACATAGATATAATGAAGAGTGCAGTTGAGCTAATTATTAACAAACAAAGTAACACCAATCACTTAATTTTAACACTGTATTCATTTTTTTCCTTTTTTGAGTTTCAATTTTGTCTAGCCTAAAATATTTGTAAGCTCAAAGACGAAGCCATATGATGAAATACCGAAATCTCTTTCAGTCGTTTTCTCAGCTGTTCACTTGTTTGCTTTACGATTTGATAGATAAAACGAATAGAGATAGAACTCTAGTCTCTTCGATACCACAATTCACAACATCTAGTTTTGAATGTTGGTCGCTTAAATGCTCTTGTCAATCTGACAGACAAAATGTCCAGCACACTCAAAATGTCCGTCATTGTTTTTGAGACGGATTATTAGCCTAAAGTAGCTTTCTACGGGTTGACCAACTGTAGAAAACATCACTGATGCACTAAGCCAAGCAAGGCCCTAGCTACGATAATTTTTTTTTTCTTCAGAAAACATTATTTATTGTAAATGTGAGGAAAATGCTACAAAGATTTTTTGCCACAAGACTTATGGAGCTTATAGCATTTTTCCTCCAAGAATATTTCCCCAGCTTAAACCCTGACCCCGAGATAGCAGCAAATATCAGGTTTAGCATTTAGAATTTTTTTTAGTTAGGTACTATATATTCACAAAGATAGTTGAAGGTGGAAGTTTAGTTATTTTAGTTGTTATGGGTTCGGTATATCGGCCATTGGCGTTCATTGATTGATAAACTTAATAACAAGGTTTTTCCAGCTACATTGATAATTTTTGCTACATATTGACGACCAATCAATGATTTGATTAAAACACATGGGCCACAAACATAATGTTTTAACCTACAAATAAAAATTAAGAGCAGTTATGAATCAAATCCTCTCACCTCAGCTTTCGAGAGCAGTTCAAATATATAAGAGGCAGGGAACGTTTTCCCCGTCTTCTTCCCTTTGTCCGGTCCATCTTTCACTGTATCGAGTTCTACCTCGTCCACAGCGTTCTCCAATGAAAGGAACATCGCCTTCAGAACACACAAGTCTTCCAACGAGAAGTCCTTGGGAGAATCATCCGTCATGTCGTTGAGATCTTGCTCAAACTTCTTCATAACCTGCAATATGTCATTGAGAACCTCTATAAGCAAAATAACAATGTCTGTAAAATGTTCCAATTAAAACGAATAACATAAAAAAGTTTTATCAAATTTGTTGGAGAAAAATTACTTTGAGATTTTACTTTATTACTTAAGGGTTAGTGTACTTTATTAAAATTTTAAGGATATTATAATCATCCAGTGCTCGATTTGTAGTTATGAGGTGCTGGAACTGTAACCTATTTAATGTGATTATAACCTATTTATGCCAAAATATATAGAGTGTTGGCTGCAGGTTGTATTTCGCTCAGAATTCAAGATCCACAGATATATTTGCTGTCTTATCAAATGTGTGTTTTCTAAAATATGTTCAATTAAAAAAATTGGAGTACACTTTTTTTAATTGTATACATATTTAATACTTATATTTTTCTTGGCGATTTGTTGAGAGAATTATGAAAAATGAAACATGAACCAGTGCTAATTTTAGTTTAATACTAACGTTTTCAAGCAGAGAGAAAAATAAACAAATATGAACAGTTTAAAAATAATTGAATTTTGAGGTTATGTGATTGAGTACAGATTAAAGAAAAAATAAAACAGCCAAAAAGAAAATTAAAATTAAGGTAAGTAGAATAACTATTTTACCTTCTTAAATTTAAACCAGAGAGGAACTTTGTTTCAAGTACCAACTGGTGAGCAAAATCAGAATTCCTTAGGACCAGTTTGTTGCATTTATTGGTTTGATGTGGGTTTACTTTGTGAAGGACTCTAAGGGTATAGCAGCCTTCAAAATTTTGGTTGTGGTGAGCGGCATGATTTTAGATTCGTTTTCTTTTATCTTCGTGTACCACATCAAAACGATGGCCTGTCATTCAAACTCGTAATGAGTTCCTTTTGGACAATGTTTACTCGATGTACTGAATTTGAACAATTTCAAGTTCAAATCCCCATGCGAAACCCTTGGTCGGCTGACGACAGTCGTCCAATCAGAACGTACTATTCTCAGGCCTGTGATACGTTAACGGGGTCATAGTGAATGCTATGAGCTGGGAACCATTCTCTTTCTATCTGTGCAAGTAGACTTGTTTGTTGGGTAAGCTTCTGCTCCGCGTCGCTTGTTGATATTAATTAAAGCTAGCTAGCTGGTGAAAATTTTAATTTTGTCGAAGGGATATAATTGCATTGCGATTAGTGATTGGCGGATCCAAGAAAATGTCGGTACCGGATCCGGATCTTGAAAAATTCGGATCCGGATCTTCGGATCTTCGGATCCGGATCCAGATACAGGCAGATAAGGGCTTGTTAAAAAAACGTAATTAACAGAATGAAAATTTAAATCATGTTTAAAATTAAATTGGTAAAGTTTAAAGGTTAATATATCTTATATATAGAGTAATCTCCAATTGAGCCCATAATCCCTCATTTTTTGGAGACACTAAAACTTTTCCAAATCTTAAAATAAAACTGTTAGTTGATGATATTAGTTGGGCAATGTCACAGTACTGTATATTACGACGTCAATAACCTGTATGGTTAGGCAATGTCACAGTACTGTATATTACGACGTCAATAACCTGTATGGTTAGGCAATGTCACAGTACTGTATATTGCGATGTCAATAACCTCTATGGTTGGGCAATGTCACAGTACTAACATTGACTAACCATACAGGTTATTGACGTCGTAATATACAGTACTGTGACATTGCCTAACCATACAGGTTATTGATGTCGTAATATACAGTACTGCGACATTGCACAAACATAGAGGTTAATGACATCGTAATATACAATATTGTGACATTGCCTAACCATACAGGTTATTGACGTCGTAATATACTGTACAGTACTGTGACATTGCCCAGCCATACAGGATATTGATGTCGTAATATACAGTACTGTGACATTGCACAACCATAGAGGTTATTGACGTCGTAATATACAATATTGTGACATTGCCTAACCATACAGGTTATTGATGTCGTAATATACAGTACTGTGACATTGCACAACCATAGAGGTTATTGATGTCGTAATATACAATATTGTGACATTGCCTAACCATACAGGTTATTGATGTCGTAATATACAGTACTGTGACATTGCACAACCATAGAGGTTATTGACGTCGTAATATACAATATTGTGACATTGCCCAACCATAGAGGTTATTGACGTCGTAATATACTGTACAGTACTGTGACATTGACCAACCATAGAGGTTATTGACGTCGTAATACACAATATTGTGACATTGCCTAACCATACAGGTTATTGACGTCGTAATATACTGTACAGTACTGTGACATTGCCCAGCCATACAGGTTATTGATGTCGTAATATACAGTACTGTGACATTGCACAACCATAGAGGTTATTGGCGTCGTAATATACAGTACTGTGACATTGCCTAACTATAGAGGTTATTGACGTCGTAATATACAGCACTGTGACATTGAGTAAAAAATCGGGGAAAAAATCGGTCATTTACATGGATACAGACAGCTTTGTGTTAGTAAAAAAAATCGGATCCATGAAAACCGGATCCAGCCCAAGATCCGGAATTTTTTGGATCCGATCCGGTGCCGGATCTAGCTCGGATCCGGCGGATCCGGTAATCCGATATCCGGATCCGACCATCACTAATTGCGATCAAAGATCACATAGAGACCGAATCAAGTCAATCACGCTTTTATTCCAGCTAGCGCAAGCCGCCTTTTGCAATTTACACTGCTACACTGCTTTGTATAGCTGTGAATTTTAAGTCTCCCAAATCACGATAGCAGAGTCTGCCCAAATTGAGTGTAATTGTGCTGCTATGTCCGGACATAATCATAACTAATTTAACTTTGTCTACACTCGGCCCTACTGTCAGTCACATGACCGCGGCTACTGACTGCCAGGTAGTAATTCAGTTTAGGCGCTAAATTCAACATAAATATATCATAATATCAGAACAGTTGTATATAGCAAAACTTGTATTTGTGTTTTTCTGTATTATTTTACTTATTTGCCTCATTCATCCTTTCAGTTTAAATTCACTTAACAACACTATTAGGTCTTGCAAGTACAACAAAGAGGTTTAACAAGTTAAAAGTTACACTAAAAAAGATATATCTTTGAATATAACAAATTATTTTGTTGTTAGTAGCATAATAGTAAAATTACTGTAGTTTTAAGGTTGGATTTTAAGGTCCATTCATTTCAAGTAGTTTTAAGGGCCAAAGAATTTTATTTTTTTCTTCACAACGACAGTTGATAAATAACATTGCAAGTTTAACACAAGTTGATCTACCAACAATCGTATAAAAACCTTGTTGGTAACTTTGCTATCGAATTTAATTGTACTTTTTATAAGTTTGCAAATATTCCACCAGGGCTTGTGAGATGGTTCACAGCCGTGTTTAGAATTGTTTTTAAAGACCAAGAGTTGTAAATTATTGGTCTTACCAATATATTTTTTTTAAATTTTGTCGTTTAAAAAAAATAACACATGATGGTCTGGAAAAAAATTCTTGTAGGCCTACTGGGGGATGATTTCAAAATATTGAATGCTTCTTTCATTACACTGATATTTTTTTGTGGCCCAGGATAATATTGAGGATAATCTTGGTTGAGTTTTTTTTTTTTTTTTTTTTTTTTTTTTTTTTGAACTGAAAATATTTAACATTTATAAAATACCTCAAGGGGAACTGAAATTTGTTAAAAAATACATGACAGTATATAGTGGCAAGCTGCTTTGATAAACTTAGGATTAAACGACAAATACCTGTGTGACTTCCGCAATACAAAGAGCAATGTCCGTACTGCTTATCTGAACAGAAGCTGACTCTTCACATATCTTCTCTACGTTGTGAGCTTCGTCTAGGATAACTGCTGAATTCTGCCAACATAAAAAATCATTATAATAGTTGTAGTGGTGTGCGATTCATCAAAAATGCACTGAAATTTCCATTAGATTCATCAAATTGCGATTCGATTTAGCATGCATTGAAATACCGATGCATTGACACTTGTACCGATTGCATCGGAAAAACCGATACATCGATGCATATGTAAATCTAATTTATAATGAGTTTTAGACTATTTTTACCAATGTATTTATTTTACAATTAATTTATCTAATAATGTTTTATTACACAGAGTTCATTTTTAAGGTTTACGTTTACTTAATAAATTTTAACTTTTTGGTAGGCATAATCACTGATCTCTTTGGTTTTTGTAAGTGTAACACTTTTATACATAACTGTATTTTTATTCTTTATTTCACAAATATTTATTACAAATATATCATGTAATAACATGTATCCATTCAATAGACAATAGGCCTAAACACTGATTATCCATTTTTTTTTTGTCCTGATCCTTAGAATGAACCCAAAGTATTGAAAGCCAGCAATGTAAAAGTGGAAATAAAGTTACATCATGTTTTAAATAAACTCAATTTGACTTAATTTATGTCAATAATAATAACAATTGCTTTGGTACAGTTCTAATTGTTAGTGAAGTCTGGATTTTCTTTGACCAATTATAAAATTAGCGGTGTCCATCAGCAGGAGGTTAGGTCAGCAACTATCCTCTTGTTCATAAAACATTTTATTTTGGACATTTGTTTACTTTAACCTTTTTTAAGGTAAATGATCCATTACAGTATTACAAGTTGTAAATAATTTTGAAAGATCACGCCGTGCTGCATCGGATTTAAGTTCCTTGAATGTTTAATCACATCGATGCATCAAATCGAATAAAAAAAGGCTGCATCGCACACTCCTAAATAGTTGTAAATGTTAGCACAATAATTATACTTATGACTTTTTTTTTTTAATTGAAAAGATGACTTTGGGCCAGAAGTTTTAAAGGATTTTATGGTGGATATATTTAACAGCAGGCTCACTTTACTGAAGAAAATACATGAAATGCACAAATTAACACACAATTTTCAAAGCTAGTACATCAAATGTGTGATGTAGACCATACATACAATTAAAATGTATCTATTTAATTAAATTACAACTTATTATAGACAAAATTCAATATTAGGACACTCAAGAGGAATATCAAATAGTGTTTACCTTAGTGACAATAAGGGATTGCTGTTGGATTTAACTAAAGACACTTAATACTGAGTGGCCTTGTATAGGCCTAGGATCTTATTACTGAGTGTCTACGTGTAAATTAACTTGTTATCAAGTTTAGAAACAACATTCTACAATAGATTCATGATCTTCGGATTGAAGCAACACTTCCATCCACTGAAGCTTTGGCCTCGATGTGTGCAATCTTCAGGGTGATTTGCATTCCGCACAGTTGTCGTAACACGACAGCAACTGTGCGGAAGTCAAGCCAACCTCCATCAAGGCCGAAACGTCGGTGAATGGGAACGTTGTTTTTGACACAGACAATCCCAGAAGCCAAATCTACAATCAGTGACTGTGGATGCCTGTCCAGGGAACATAATACAAAAGCCTATAGACATCTGATGACTTTTACTCACATCCAAAGTCAGTCGTTGTTGCCGTCTCGTCTGAGGGTGAAGCAGATAATTGTACGGCATAAACACAATATCGGCAGACGACATCATTTCACGAGACATGTAGTAGGGGCAGCACTGTGTCTTGTGGCCAAACTTCACCAAGTCCTCAATATCGGCAACCTCGGTGGGGAAGTTGTTCTGATCATGCTTCCGAGACTCCAAATTGTTGTAGTAGTGACAAGAACGAGCGCTAACTTTCATCCGACACATAGCCACCTAAAGTGATAACGATTATGATAGCTAAATGTTTAAAGCATAAATAAATGAGCCAGTTTCCTGCTAGTCCTGTTGGTATTGAGTTTAGTGTGGTATGAGTAAGTTTAATGTGGAGGCATTTTGTTAATGACAAATAATCTAGGTCTACTCACTATTTTCAATGCATTTTTAAGGAGTTTAAACTGAATAACCAAGGTTTGATTTTAATTGTGAACCACATACCCAAGCTGGTTGGGTAGCTGAGTGGTTATAGTGCTCGTATAACAATCGAAAGGATACCGGTTCGATACTTAGAAAAGTCAGTAGCTTTTTGATTTTTGATGGTTCGCTCCTGGACCCAGCTGCCCTGATCGGGCTTTAAATAAATTATCCTGAGTAATGAAACAGATGATCTTGATCTTAGTAACAAAGTTACACACATCTCACTCCATTCTACACTCATATTTGAGTTAAAGGGGCAGCGAACCTAAGTACTCGTCAAACTAAATCTATTAAATAGGGAATAGATGTCATATTTTTAAGGGGACATTTTAGTGTAAATCCAATCAGGCAAATGGAAATTAGCTAAGTCTGCAGGTTTGCTGCGGCGGGGGTATTTATATATCTTATATCGCCTCGACATTTTTAATATCTATTTGTAAGAAGATAAAAGTAAGTAGGCCTAATTATATAATAAATTCTCGCATATCCTATGGTATAGCAATTTATGGAGGAACTACAAAGAAAAATTTGGACAAAATTCTTCATCATCAAAAAAATCATTCCAAATAATTTACAAAATTAAAAATAAACACCAATCAATGAAACTATTCTTTTCTAAATTAGGTGTTATGACAGTCTATGACTTGTATATTTATGAAGCTAACTTATATTACATGTAGGGCCTAAAAAAATTAAACCTCCAAATTAATAGTAGGCCTACAAATATTCGACACTATAAATTAAGGCATACTAGGCAGGTTGAACAACATAATTAAAGTTTTTTTAGAAGAAATGTAGTTTCATTGGCATAAAATTCTTATTTATTTTACATAAAATTATAATAGAGGAAAATAGTTTTGAATTATATTGTTGAGAACATTGTGCGCTAACCTTCATCTGTCCGGTCTCCCCGGCCAAGTCAGGATGAAGACACATCTGGTCTCGAGAGCCGAGCACGGCCGACTTCATGTGTCTGTAGTTTGTACGCTTCAGCTCCTTCATAGCCTGAGCGAGTTGTGAATGAGTACGAGAGGCATACACGATCTTGGTCATACCCAGTTTGTCACCTAAACGAATTGTATATGATCAAATGATCAAATGATCAAGTTCACAACAAACAAATTATAATAAGCAAACTTAGTACCGGTACCTGACAACTTGGCAATGTCGATTTCTGCGATGGCCAGTAAAGCATTTCTAAATAACTCTTCGCCATTGTTATTTCAAACCTGGTGGTAGCTTCAATAGTTAAACATTTACTTTATTTGGACCTAGCGGTAATTGAAGGCATTAAGACCGAGATACATAAGTCACACATATTTTACACCTGAAGAGCTATCAAGATTGTCCATCAGTCAGCAGAATATTTTGAAAGAAAGTCAAGTCCAAGTCATTTCTTGAACAAAAAAAAAAGATAAATGTAGGCCTAAACAAAAAAAAGAAAGGTTGAATTAGATATTTTGCCCTTTTCCTCCAATAACCTGGTATTTTAAAAACTCAAACTTCCAGTCCGAGTTTGTGGACTGTATTGTATCCAGTCTCTTCCAGACCGCATATAAGCCGAGATTAAAAGAAACCACAAAAACCATTAAAAAATGTAAATTAACCATTGAGTGCAAAACAACTTAAGTGATTTAATGAACAAATTAGGATAATTGTTTTGATTCAAAGCCTAAAGGTAAAATGCAAAAAATTATTTAAAATTGCATCATCTACCTGCACTAATTTTTATGTTGATAAGTTTAAATGATATTGGAATTTTGTAAAAGAGAAGATACTTTAATATAAACCTAATTTGTTATGTTCTTGTTTCTTTCTCTAATTAGCCTGAGTTACATTCATGGTAAACACTCCCAAACAAATGTGAAACAAGCAAAGCTGGTGGAAAAATTACAACTTCCGTCGAACTCAGTGGCAAAGCAAGACCTTTGAAAAGTGGGAACAGACTACAAATATATACACATTACAGCATTTTACTGGTTTTTTTACGGTTCCTTTTATGGGATTTTTATCCCTCTGGAATTTTTGAGTTTCACGACATCAGTTCGATGGATTAAACGCGGAATTAAACGTATATTTTCACAGTTGTGAATTTAATCAGAACACATCAAATTATAAAAACCTAGAGTTTACGGGCCGGAATTTTACCCCCCGATTTTTTAACCACGGAATTTTACTCCCCTAGCCAGATTTATAAATTAGTGAGAATGGTTAATTATCTTCATTCAGTTTTAGTTTAATAATAGTAAAAGTTTTATTATTATTAAGTAGCCTATCTTAATTTATTTGTAGCATCAACTAATCGAACAGGTATTTTATTTTAATTTTGAGATTTGGGTATCAGGATTGGATCTTTGAAGCCAACTGTTGGTTTATATGACGTATAAACAAACATCTGAATGGTAATTGTTTTGAAGATTTCTTTACTGATTTATTATACAACCGTGGTAAAACAATGTTTTAGTTTTGTGTTATTGTACTACAGAAACTAAATACATTGTGTTTCACGGTGGTACAATGAAATCGTTTATGGAATGTTCACCCAATCATCATTTAAATGAGATTCAGTTTCATTGTTTTATAGATTGTTACTGAACAGATTCAGTTATCATCAACTCAGTTTATTTTACATACTTATTAATCAACAGTTGGCCCCAGACGCAAATCCCGAACATCAAAATTAAACAGCGAATTCTGTTTACTTAGTTGTAATCACAAAACAAATAAGTAAAGAGGCTTCTTTAATAAAATGTTTAGTTAAATAAAAAAACAGAAATAAGAAAATCAATAACTCTTAGTAGTTTCTATATCCGGCCAGGGGTAAAATTCCAGAGGGTAAAATTCCAGGGGTAAAAATCCGGCCCGTGCATCTTCAGTTGTATGGACAGGGGGTAAAATTCCAGTTTTTATTGCTAATCTAATTAATCACGCTCTGTCTATTTTCATTAGACTTCCAAATCCGCGGGGGTATAATCCCGCCCGCGAACAAACTTTTGAGCGCTCAGGTTACTACGTCATAGTGACGTCAGCTTTGCCCAGAGGGTAAAATTCCAGGGGGGTAAAATTTCGGTGACCCCTTTTCATTCGTCCAATTTATGTAATCTGTCCAAATTTATGACCCGTCCAAACCACTATATAAGCATCCGCACCGATCAATTAGGGTACGTTCAAAATTATTTATTATTATGTTTACAACATCAGTTGGCCTTAACAATTTTATTTACTTAGGTATTGGATTTTAAATGAATGAAAATATATAAAATTTATTTTCAATTAAAATATGCAGTTAATGCAAACCTCACATTTAATATAGGTAACTTGGGCTACTGTGATCACACTAAACTAATTTTATAGAGGATTATAGTTATAACCTACCCCATGATGATTCACCAGGCTCCTTAGTTGCATTGACTTTCTTAAGTTCTGACTGTAAAACTTTAGCAAACGACAACTGTGAGTCAGTAGGTAAGCCTTGAGCATTAGCTTGAATCTGAGCCTTCTTTAATTGGAGCCAAGCGAGAGATGAGCACAGTAAGCTTAGAGTCTTTCCCGTGCCAGTGGGACTCTCCAGCACTCCATTCACACCCTGGGAAAATAAAGGTAGAAATTAATACAAAACAAATCAAATAGCCTAAAAATAAAAAATACACACTCATTGAAAAAAAACTAAATAAAACACCACATTATTGAATTAATCTACATGCTAACTAAAACAAAAACAAAATATCAAGTCATACAATTTATAACTTATAGATGGTAAAACAAGTTTTTGTAGTTCTCAAGTCATCATTCAAAGTCGGGAAAGTTTTATTACATCTCTGGCTGAAATTGCACAAGCTACTTCGAAGTTTTAAAATAATTAATGTAACATATAGGCTACACCCTAAAATTTAACTTTATAAACATTGAACTTTTGCATAACTTAGTCTGAACAGATTATCCACATGCATTGGCATGATGCTACTGATAATGAGTGTGGACCTGAAAAGAGAATGCCACGTGAAATTCATTATCTCAAACTAAATAACTTCTTGATCAGCATTGTAGGCTACGTGTTATTAAATTTACGGAAAGTCCAATCGAAATTGATCACCACTTACCATCTTTTTTGTATATTTACTGTCTTGTGAGTAACAGTATAAATATATATGTTTTAAGTGTTATAAGACGTAGGCTATTTTTAATTTACTTTCCGTATCTCAAACTGACACAATCGTTCTCATGATCAGTCCTGAAAGAAGGCTCACTCAATAAAAACTCATTATGTTATACAGCTATGTGTGTTTATCTAAACGTATATGGGCTATGAAGAGAAGCCAATAAGTTTTAGCCAAGGCCTATTTCATGTTGTAGCTTAGGCTTATTTTATTAAAAAGTGGAACTAGATCTGTGGCGGATCCAGAGGGGGGCTAAGGTAAGGGGGCGACCGCCCACCCCCCCCCCCTTGGGCATACATATATATATGTATGCCCCCTTGGGCCTAGGCTACTTATATATATTTTTACTGTATGTAATACAGTAGTGCATACAAATTACTTAAAATAATTTGTCACACTCACACTAACTTTGGACAAATAAGTTTAAGTTAAATGGTATAAAACTGCCATTTGGGAGACTTAGTTTACACAATTTTTTCGGCCACCAGGTTCGCCCCCCTCCCTTGAGACTGTTTTAGATCCGCCAGAACTAGATAAAGGGGACTAGCGAAATGCCGTATTGTGGCACTGTTATTGGTAAACATTGACATGTGTCTTCCTTACTAGCGCAGCCCATCCATCCCTGGCTACGCCCAGTGGTTGCACAAGCACAATCTCAATAAAATGTGTACAACTATAGAACTATGTTGTAAGTTACCACTAACTGTTATAAGTAAAGATATTGAACTCTTGAGATCTGATTGTGTGTTAACGGATTGTAGGCCTACATCCTGATTTGAATTTGTCCAACCTCTTAATGTAGGCTAATACTCCAGACGAACTCACCTTTTGAAGACATTCTATAACTTTTGACATGAAATCTTCCTGAAGTTTGTAAGGTTGAAATGGGAAGTTAACAGGCACATCCCTCAATGTTATTTCAGTCATTTCCATTAGCCTACTTATAGGCCTAGGCTAATGTAATACTCTAAGAAACTAGAAAGTTTACATTATCTAATAAGGAAAGATCATTAAATAACATTAAGGAAGGAAGTGCGTTTTGGGCGAGTTGGAAGTTGTAAATTTTTAAATGGATAATATTAATATTGACAAATTTGACTAAATCACTAGGGCCTAACCCCAAAATACACCGATCCTACCTAACCTACATTCATTGAACGAACAGTGAACATTCGAACATTGTGATCTGCTGAACTGAACTAAACATGAACATCTGAGATGCGTGTTCCCGCCTTCGCCCGCTTCGCCACACAAAAAAAGGTGCAGAATGAGAAAATGTGACTGGTGTGGTGTGTGCGTGGGGTCCCAGATTATCGACATACACTATAAAGGTCGATTCACACACATCAGTTACGGCACGTCACAGTAAAGTCACTTCAGGCACGTCACAGTTAACAAAAATATTCTTTGATGGATTTTCTATTGCGCTATCTACACTCATCCGTTGCAGTCCCGTCAGTCACTCTGCTGGCATCCGTCAGTCAATTTAAGATTTCTTTCCAACGATACTTTTTGATTGTTCGGACGCCTGACGGAACTGTTTGAGGTTAGAAAATAGTGTTATTGTTATTTAAATGGTTGCGTTTGTACTTTGAGTACTGTTTGTAACAATCAACAAGATGGACAATGATAATTTGATAGAATATAGGTTTATAACTTTAAAATTTTGACTATAAATTACTGTGAATTTTAGAGACGGAAGACTGACTGAAACCAACTGACGGACAATTGACTGAGAAATTGCGGATGCAACTGTGACTGGACTGTAACTGGACTGTAACGGAACTGTGACTGGACTGATGTGTGTGAATCGACCTTAAAAAGTAGTGTCATAGATAAAACATACATGTTTTATCTCAATCTATGGTAGTGTCAGCGAAAGTCCAAGAAACATGTGGTTGATTTTGATCTAGTAAAAACTACTAGCTGAGCTGGGATGATATTTATTTTCTGAGGTAGAGGTAAACAAGTGTTTTAGTAGTTTGATGAAAAATAATAAAATGTTGTTAATTATGAGTCGGTGGCTCAGTAAGCGTCACCAACAGGTGATTGATTGACTATGATGGGCCTTCAAGGCAGCTATATCGTGGGTTCGGATTCTGTTCACTTCCGTAAACATTTTATCAGTACAGTTCAACCCTTAACCACCATTTTATCAATTCTGTATCGGCTCATACCCATGCTCATACCTTGCTTTGCTGTATTCGAGTGATACGATACGATCCACGCTCGAGCCATTTAGTCTATGTAGACGGGCAAATGTAAGGTTATCAGAGGAGGAGAGCACAAGTTCACATGTACAGAAACCTTGACGTCATAAATATCGAATGTATATATCGATTGTACCGGGTGGTTACGGGTTTTTCTTCGGAATGTAAGTATCGGTTGCACCGAATAAGTAAAGGGTTTTTTTTGTAACACTTTATTTGACGAATTGAATACTCTCGGTAGTTTATCCATTATAAATCAAATAGTAGAAATACAATAATATTCGTTACAGGCTGGGAATAAAATAATTACTGATACTTTGGATTGAACATCCAAGATGTTTGCTACAAATTAATCGGATTACTACTACTTAATGTTTCCTTATTTATATTATGTCCCAGTACTTTCATTTATAAATAACAAGATAAGGCTTAGTAAGTATAACGTTAAAATTGTGAATTAAATGGAGCCAGAATAATATAATTGGGTAAAACTTATGGTGTTTTATTAAGATGTACTAAAGGGGAAAATGAGAAAAAAGCTCTACTTTTTTCTGTAAACCTAAACCATTGATTAATGTACTCACAGTACTTAGTCAATGGTTAAACTGTAGGGCCTATTTTACGTGACTGTAAATTCCATAAAATAATATATCTAAAACAGTCCTCTTGGGCTTCTTAAATTGTCACCTTACACTGAAGGGCAATATCTGTTAGTAAATCATTCCCAAACATTAACATAACGTTAACATGTCAAAGTTACAATTATTATTTCACTCTCTTCTAGAATCGATAATAATTCCTGTAATTCGTCTACTTTAATTACAGTTATTGTATTATTGTGGATGCTATGAAATAAATTCTTAGTATTCAACGTCCTGTGAACTCAAGTTTTTATTTTATAAGTCAGGTAAATACGAAAACAATTGCAAACATCTTGGATGTTCAATTTAAAGTATCAGTAATTATTTTATTCCCAGCCTGTAACGAATATTATTGTATTTCTACTATTTGATTTATAATGGATAAACTACCGAGAGTATTCAATTCGTCAAATAAAGTGTAAAAAAAAAACCCCTTTACTTATTCGGTGCAACCGATACTTACATTCCGAAGAAAAACCCGTAACCACCCGGTACAATCGATATATACATTCGATATTTATGACGTCAAGGTTTCTGTACATGTGAACTTGTGCTCTCCATCAGAGGAGGCCACCAACCTCTTTAAAAAAAATTCAAATGGCTTCTAGAAAAAAATACCTGTTTCCTTACATTATTAATTTTGCAATACTGACTGGAACGGGAATGGGCTGTGACGTCATTTTGAAGTGCGAATAGTCACTTCGTTTTACCGTTGGTTTTACTACGGCCACGGTTTTACCATTACGTGCTGAATTTTGATTTGCCGTTTTCTTCTTACCCTGTTCCCTTTTTTTCTGTGTCATCTTGCTTTGTTTACGTTTACGTTGTCGTTGTCAGTGTCAGTGATTTGTATTGTGTTTTGTGTTGCTTCGCTTCTTGAGTGAGACAGTAGTTTATCTAATCCAAAAATCCGTACAGTACAAAACTAATTTCATGTTCATCAATAGTCTGTAATAACTTATCGAGAGTTCTTAATTCAAAAATTGCCTTTATTTTGTCTACAATATTGTTTTGCATAGTAGGCTATAAATTATTTTAGGAGTTAACTTACAATGCAGGTTTACAATTAATTTTCGCCGGTACAGAAAAGCTTGTGTGATATTTATTACTGCATTAAGCTTAAGACTAATAAGAGTTAGTTTTTTTTATAAAAAGTGACAAGGTCAATCTAAAGATGCAGAAGCCTAGCGTACTATTAAATATTTACAGTATAGCATTATTGTTTGTCACTTGCATTGAGTGTCTAGAGGAAGAAAGCTGTTACTCCTATGCTGGCGCTGGTGGAAATATTTATCCCCATGGAGTGGGAAACAGTGTTGAACATAAACTTCAGTTTACTAAAGCAGTCAGTGAGTAATTTTGTAAAATGAATCATTAAATATATGGTAGCTTAACTTAAACTTATGGATAAATTAGGGTTTTAACTATGGATTATGGGTATTTTTCCGCAAAAGGCCAGCAATCGATTTAATGGACTTATTGCTGACTTTACCCCCTCTAATTTAACTCACCCCCCAGGTACATGATATTGATACTGTCGTGTCCGTAAAAGTGTCCTGTATCTGGTGATATTATCGGTAATATGGTACGGGGCCAGCAATAGATTTTTTTCTGGCGTGAGCACTACTTATTGCTGACTTTACCCCCCTAACTTACCCCCAGGTACATGATATTGATACTGTCGTGTCTGTTAAAGTGTCCTCTATCTGCTGACATTATCGGTAATAAGTTACACGGCCATATTTTTCCGCTAAACGGCCAGCAATAGATTTTATTGACTTATTGCTAACTTAACTCCCCCTAACTTACCCCCCAGGTACATGATATTGATACTGACGTGTCTGTTAAAGTTTCCTCTATCTGGTGACATTGTCGGTAATATGGTACGCGGCCGTATATTCCCGCAAAACGGCCAGCAATAGATTTTATCGGGCGCGCGCACTACTTATTGCTGGAGCTATTGCCAGGTTCACACCAATAACTTATGGGGTAGGCAAGTAAGTATGCAAGTAACTTAGGCCTACAGGGAATGACTTAACATCAAATTTTTGAGAAGCCCTAACTTAATTTTGTTTATATATTTGAAGCAGGTGATTGTTTAAGTCAACATGTTCACAGGTGAAAAGCCTAAACAAGGCAACCCTTTAATGCGGCAAGAGCTATGCTCACACTAAAGCCGTGCATAAGTGTAAGCTGGAGCTGTCCACCAGGGGTGCTAAACAGATGCAACTGAAATGAAGTAGGACCAGCACAATAGTCTGACATAGTTTAGCCTAGTTGATGCTCAGTAATCGTATTCATAAACTTGAAATTGAATAACTTACCTGATAGCATTTACCTATCTAACAAAATCTAATAATCACAGTTTAATTTCATTCCGAGGAATGTTATGTTCTGTTATATACTAATAGATGGGTTTTTATTTCAGTCTCAAAACCAGCTCCTGCTTGGGAGGGAACTGCTGTTGTTAACGGGGAGCTCAAAGCTTTAAAACTCTCAGATTTTCTTGGAAAATATTTGGTTTTCTTCTTCTATCCATTGGACTTGTGAGTACTGTAAACATTGCTGTTGAGGTGTTATTTACTACTTAGCAACTAACAAACAACATTCTGAATCTTTACATACCGGTATGATGCAAAGGTTTCTTAATGGATGCAAAAAGTCCCTGGTGTTCAATCCATTTTCAATAATCTGTGGAATTAACTTTCTAAGTAAGCAGTAGGTTCCAACTGACATGAACTATGAAGTACCTAGAAATGTGAAGTGAAAGACGATTTACTTATATAAGAGAAGAAGATGAAATATTTAACAATAACAGAAACCAGAAATGCATCTTTTACCCCACTAGTCACGTCTGTGGACGGAATGCTGGGCAAAGAGTTTCAGACCTTGCTCATAGCAATGGCAGAACGCCTAACAGAAAAATGAAGAAACCTTACAGTTTAGTGATGAACTTGATAAGGGTAAAAACCATCTGTGCGACGTTAAGGGCCAGCAGCATGTGTCTAAGGAGGACAAGGAAGAAGTGGAGGACCCTTAGAGAGTTTGAAGATGGGGCTGGAGTACCAGTTATTTTATTAATTTAAATTGCAAATGTTTTATTATTTTTCCATGTCAAAATTGATGAAATACTGTATAGGTAATATTGAATAAACAGTTTATTGAAAAAAAAAATTATTACTAAGCTATGGTTTTGAGTTTTAAAATGAGAATATAACATTGTCTAAAAATTGGTTTTAAAATCTCTCCTAATTAATTATTAATCTTAGATTACTCTTTCTGTTAAAATAAATTTATTTGACCACAGTAGATATTTTACATCTATCATATATATTTCAGTACGTTTGTTTGTCCAACGGAAATTCTGGCTTTCAACGATCGCATCAAGGAGTTCCACAAGATCAACACTGAGGTGGTTGGGTGCTCGGTTGACTCTCATTTCACCCACCTTGCGTGGATGAACACTCCTCGCAAAGAAGGAGGGCTTGGCCCTCTCAAGATACCACTGTTGTCCGACCTCACTCACAGAATCAGCAAAGACTACGGAGTCTACCTTGAAGACTTGGGACACACACTTAGGTAAATCTCTTTTTGTTTGTTTTTGTTAGAGAGTAGGACACTACTTTCAAATCCCCAGTGGATATAGTGGGGAGTATGTAATGATAAAAAAAACTCCTCTCTGTTTAGTTTTTGTTCTTCCTGGCATCATCTGGAGGTACAGTAGACGCTCAGTGAAGCGCCTTGTTGGGGACTTTGATGGTGTTGGATGATTTAAAAATTGTGGTGTTCTGACTCAAACTAGTAGCCTGGTATTATTTGTACTGTTAAAATCACACAATGGATAAGATGTAAACTATTTTTATTGAATAACTAAGAAGTGAACTGCCTTGCATAATAATTTGTAATGAACAACCAACTAGAAGAACTAGGTAGCCGTTACTCACGGGCTTCACCACGTTTGACTTCATAAATATTAATAAAACTGCTGATTGCTTACTTTGAGCTGAAATAAACAAAACATAATACAGTAATACAAACAAATAATCACACCTGATTTTAATAAGGTAATAAATTGAAAGAATTACAAACAAATAATTACAGCTGAGGTATTTTTAACATTAGCCATATGGAAAGTTCCCTTTGGAAAGGAATTAGGACCTTCCAAAGGTCACCTCAAATTTTAGTGGTGACATGAATTGTTCAAAATGAAACAATTACACATAAGTAAAATACCTCAAAATTCAGTTGAATGCAAGATGTGCAACCGTCTCTACTGCACGCTCCCAACTCTGTCCATCCCTCCTGAGTCGGCCAGACAGACAAATTTGGTTTAAAACCACATATAACTTAATGTAGGTCCTTTAGACTGGTACAGGATCTTTGAAAGAGCCGGACCATCGAATGCTGGTATAGTGGCTCTTACTGTATTAGGCCTACTAATGACTAGGTAAATGCTAGTAGCCTTATTATTTATTTATTAATCAATGGGCAGCACCATTTACAATAATCTACAAATTACGTATTTAGTCGTGTTTGATGTTATGGTTTCCATTATTTTTTTCCTATATATTATACGTGAAGGCGATTTCTACAAAACACTACTCCTTTGTTAATAATGGACTAGTTGATTTTTACAAACGATGTCTCAAAATGAAGTATTGTTTGTGTAGATGCCCTCTGTCACCAATTCCTGTAATAAACGTCCTCGGGCTTTGCCCCACAGGCCATCAAATTCCCAATGTATTTCTTATGGATAAAAGATTTTGTTTACTCAAAGGACAAATAATTTGTATTAATTACAGCTGTTCACAGTAAACACATGATACACACAAGAGCGTTCGTTTTCAGTTTCGATAACTGGGAGTGATTGATTACACATTATCTTTGAGTTGACTCTTTTAAGTCATCGGAAATTATGACTGTTATTCGTTTTGAAATAACGCCCGTAATACTTTGCAATTGCTCGAATTCGAGCAACAGGTGCACTAGTTTTAAATAAAAGACAAACTACCTTGACACATACTTGATCACCTGGGCTATTCTATTTAATTCTTAGAACTCCAAATGTGTTCATGATAGCATTTGTTTACAGAGGGTTGTTCATTATTGATACCAAGGGGATTCTTCGGCAAATCACCATGAACGACCTGCCTGTAGGCCGCAGTGTAGACGAGACCTTACGCTTGGTGCAGGCCTTCCAGTACACGGACATGCACGGGGAAGTGTGCCCAGCGGGTTGGCGGCCGGGCCAGGACACGGTGAGTTGACAACTGTTAAACAGTACACACTCTCCTTACCGGGGCCAAGTTGGATAACCTTAAAGTTTGGTTAAGATGGGAAACTATAGAATTATGTTAGAAGTAAATTTGTTTAGATATTGTATGAATAATAAAACACTTGCACTAGGCCTATATCAATTTTGCTTTGTTCTCATGAAATAAACTGTTAAGTGACAAAATATTAGGTGGTTGTGTGGTACCTGTACCAGTAATTAACTTTAACTTAGAAAAGACGGTCTCTCCTGTGAAGTACTACAATTTTTTAAAAGAAAAAAACATGCGCAGGCACAGTTGAAATTGAACTGCGTTGATTATTGTTGCTGTATCTATAAATACTCACACTTTTCATTGAAATAGAAATATTTACACAATTTGTTATGTACATTGTACAATCTCGGTTTTGAATCTCAATTTTGAAATAACTTAGATTTTTGTATATTTTTCATTTCCTTGTGTGAGGTTGCAGTGTGTTTCACAAAAAAACTAAACTTGGACACAACTTAAAATATTATTTGTAAGGATTGAACGGAAGTGTATAGATTAGAAGGAACAGGTATTAAATCAACCAGTTTTGAATAGTCAGGGCAGATAAACTGACCTATATTTTTGCCTGGCCAGAGGTGATAAATCTAAGCAGCGAGTTCAGGATTAAGGATCGGTTATAAGAGAGTGTATACTGTATTTACATGGTCCTTTTACAATTTTAATCCATCAGCGACTGATGTAGCTTTTATTTTGACATAAAAAAGGTCGGCTACTGGCTATAACATTGAAATAATTACACAATCCCCATTTTACTTTTATCCAATTGAATAAAAAAAAAAAATTAAGTGAAATTATTTCGCTCAATCTAGAAAATAACAATAGATGCTAGCAAATTGTGTACTATTCCCAATTACAAAATCCATTGTGTCCCTCCCCCCCTCCCCCCCCCCCCCCCCAAGCAAAGCATATCGACCAAAGTATGTTATTAAACTAACGTTTTAAATAATTTGTTAGAGGTATGTTTTGTGTCTAAAACAAATAATGTTTTTTTCAGATAATTCCTGATCCGGAAAAGAAAAAGGAGTTTTTCAAAAAGCAAGCAAAATCCAACGCTGACTTGTAAATATTTTGTGGCTGCAAACTTAAACATCACCATTCATCACAGTGTTAGCAATTATAAGACTGATTTTTAGGTTTACTGCAAGACTCAAAACAGGGTTATAGATGCTTTTATCTAAAATTTATTTTCTATGGATTACAAAAAATTATAGACTTTATTATTGTTTTTAAATATTTTTTAATAGAAAATAAAATCCTCTTTGCATTGTTTTTAAGTGTTTACTAAATCAAACTTAGCATACTATGATTTAATATTTTTCACTTGCAAATGAGATGAGAGGTTTACCTATATATTTTAACTGAACTTAGAAAAGTATAAAATTCACACTAGGGTATAAGCTCACATTTTATTCACAATTATTTTTTTATATTTTATTTTACTTATATTGGTTTTAGTCTTAAATTAATATTATCTTTTAAGTCCTTGCGTACAAATTTTCCTCTACGCTCTAATTTTGAAGGTGGGGAGCAGTAGCTTTTACTTTTCAAGCTTTATGATCGATGACAGTTGGGTACTCTCAATCCAGTTACTATAAAAATTATATAGTGTGAATTAACATGTTTTTCTTATAATAGCAAGAAACTTGGAGTGTTATGTATGTTGAATGAGACAGTTTATTAGATAAAACTAAATCACTTTATACCACATTTTAGTCTGTCCATGTGATATATTTTTTTACTGATTATAGTTTAGTATGACCATAGACAAATAGAATAAATATAGACTGTCAAAGGAAGGTTGCGGCGCACAGCGCTAGGAGTACCGTGTAGTTACGGCGCACACCGCTGCAGGCGGGGAGCGCAGGAGCCGTATGTGACCAGCAGACGCTGCAGCGGTGTGCGCCGACTTCGACCGTAACTACATGGCAAACCTAGCGGTGGACGCCAGAACTTATGCTAACCGCAGCACAGCTGACGGTCTATATTTATTCTACATTTGTATTTGTATTCGTCTATGGTATGACCATTGTATGACACAAATCTGTACCTGAAACAAAAGGAATTTATATTTTTAATTGACTTTTTTTAGGTTATCGTCTTAAATGGTAAATTACCTTACTTCCATAATGTAATAACAATTTCACCTGGGAAATTTGCACACTACGTATTATTAAATTCATTTGGTGTTTGTTACATAGTTTTTTATGATTAAGTGTTAATTTTACATCATAAGCTTATGATGGTGGTAAGTAAATGAGTAATTTTTGTTTGTATTGCGTGTGGAATTAAGTGGAATTAAGTCTGTAGGTAGTAAAAAAAATACATTCCTTATACATATTTCTCGATGTGATATATTTATTATATACGCAAGTATCTATTTTTCTTCAACTAATATTTTATCTAGCTCTACTGCATTTGTTCATGTATAGAAAATGATTAAAAAAAATTACTTTGTGAGCGAGTAAGAATAAAAACTTTCATGAATGTTACATGTAAAATAATGTGTTAATTTTTTAATTTAATTGTAAACATGTATTTTTAATTGAAACTGTCAGCAGGATAATATAATTGTGTACTAAAAAAATAATTAAAATTGTTCCATCACTAATCACGATGTGTTTTTTTTATTTTGAAACCAAAGAAAACACTTGAACTCTTACTACTTTAGGACTTAGCTTTTTACAATTTGTCTTCGGTAAATAAAAGTCAATCTTTGCTACACTACTGTGAAATGACCTGTTTGTTACATGTTTATCACCTGCAAAAATGCATCATTACATTGTTTACTACGGCAAAAAATGTTTTCTATGCGAAAGTAATGTTTACCATCTTTTTTTAGATTTTGCCGGCGTAAACAAACAAAAATTTGTTATGGTTTTGTCAACTGTTTTAAATTTGCAACAACCAAAATTGTACAACCAAAGTAGATGTTAACTTTAGATTGAAAGCATAACCTAAAATGCTATGAGTTTATTCATCTTCCTAATTCTAATGAAGAGATAAAAAAATAACGTTCAAAACACAAGTGAAAGTGGGTCTATTTATACATCTTCTCGACCATTTAAAGTGCTCAATAAATCTCACACTTTTCGGATATTTTTGACGATGACCATTTATAAAATTAGCCTTTGGCTATCCTCTGTGCACTTCCAAAGTTTAAAATGAAGCTTTTGAAACTTGATCATCAGGCCAACAAAATAAAAACGATAATGTTTGATCAAATAATAGACTTTGATACTATTTAGTGATCAGTTTTGTTCCTTTTCAACAAAGGGGTGGGAATTTTTCTGCAGTAGATTTAAAGAACCAAATAACTTTTTGTGTCCTCACACGGTTTCAAAGCATATGGGTAATTAAACTGAAAGAAATAACTAAATTAAATAAAGCAGTTGCTGTATCAAAATACCCATGTGACTATTTCTTATCATGTTTGATAGTGTTTAACATTATGCAGAATGCAGACCTAGTTGGTCTAATCAGCCATTTAAAGAGTTATCTTTTGGGCTTGTATCAGCAGCTCAAATTCCATATTTGTTAGCTATTTTTGTGTATAATATGATTGCAACTTTGGACATTCAAATAAATGTACACTATTTTATTATGAAATCTAAATTCATTGGTACATCACAATAATAACTACTATTTACTGAAATTATGGAATTGACTAAGGTCGACATATTCCTTAGAAACAACTGTTAATTAATAAGCCCATACAGAAATGTTATGGCTGTTGTGAGCTATTTCAAAATGCCTGCACAATAATGGTTTATGTTAAAAACTTGAGGTAAGGTATTTTTCACCACACTATGATGTTTTTAACAGTTAGGTAATTAGAAGCGGGAAGCTACGTATTGCTGTCCATGCCAGCTGTCGTCGTCAATTGGGGCCGAGCAAAAATCAGCTGTTGGCTTATTTGCTTTTTAAATACACAAGCAGTGGATTGCAATAGAATTGTTTTATGACGCTGCCTCCCAACAATTTATTATTATTTCTGTCGATTCCAATGTTTCTTCCCATAACGTTTAGTTTTTTAGTTGTGTTGACTGTTAGTGTGCATTTATTGTATATATTTTCTCAATTTTGTATAGTGTGGTGAAAAATAGTGTTTGTACCATGGGCCAAAAGGGTTTTGCGGCTCTTGATCGTTTTAAGAATGCAAAAAAATGATCTCGAGCCGGCAAAACCTCATTTTTGGCTCTAGGTACAAAATGTACAATAACGCTCCAGGATGAAAAAGTATAAATCCAGATGGTAGAAAACATTTCGTTATTATTTAGTTTACAAGTCATAGAATACTCAACACTACAAAAATTAAATTAAGAAGAATTACAACAAATAAAATATTCAAAACAAAACTACGGGATAACATATTTTACACCAAGCTCATGTGATGTTATAAAATAACTGAAGCATAGGTGAAAAAGCAGTAAAAATTATTCCCAGCGGTAAACTTTTATTAAAATGCAATAATTTATAGAAGCTACCGTACTAAAATCAAATATTTTTAAACTAGCATAACAACAATCCTTGATGTTTTTTTTAAGCTAAAGAGAGGTTTGCGACCTCTTTTAACCTTCCATTTGCCTGTCCACATAAGCCTCGGGCCACGTCCAGCAAACAAACGGGTGAGCTGGTGGATTACGCAGGTCAACTGTACTGACAGATAAAATTTAGTTGCAGGCACCAGGATCAAAACCCATGACAACAATGTTCTGGGTGTTGATCAAGGTGGTCTGTCTTGCTACCGGCCTAGCCAATGACTCACAAAAAACTATTTAATACTGTTTCAACATTTTCAACCAAGGGTTATTTAAGGCTTTGAAAATTTCTTGAAGTTCAAAATCATATACAGTACTTACTTAGTAAAATATTAAGTAATACTCGTAACCTAACAGTCATAACTCAAAACCCTGCATTATTGATTACATTGTCTTTAAATCAAAATAAATAAGTTAATGCAAAACAAGTCTTTATTTTTAAATAATTCTCAAAAACCAAAAACACTACACACACTTTTTTTATTTAATCAATTTTTATTGTAACACTAAAATATTACAAATTATTATTTTATCACTCACACCTATAATATTATTTCAAAAGTGCCCAGATAATAAAAAAATTTAGTTGCAAATATATGTAACTAAGTTAAAATCATTAAACAAATTATGAACTTGCCCAAACACACAATGTGCAATAAAATCATCAAAAGTCTAATTAACTGTGGGTCATCAAAACAAATTATATTGTAAAGCAAATTTTTGTTTGGCTATATTGTAGTTCCATTTTCATCCACAAAACACTACAAACATTTGAGAAGTTTTTAAAATAAATATTAAGTTAAGATATATTTTTATGAATGGTGAAAGAACATTTAGCTTTATTGCTTACACACCCACAACTTACAGACTAGTAAATGCAACCGTGAGTGTTGTTCCCAGTGTATTTTTCTAACACGTAAATTATTTCTAATGATTTAAACACACTTTGGGATCAAAACTTAGATAACTACAAGTAAAGTGAAAACCGTCAGACAAGTCATCTTTTAATGTTACACAGTAAAAAATGTCTAGCAACTACAAGAAATATAATATAATCTCAAAACTTTGATTGAACCATTTGTACATAGTGGAAAGTAGAAGGGAATGATTATGTTGCGAGAAAATCCTATTACAATCGATATTAATTTACACTTTATAGAAAAAAGTTGACAAATAAGAATGTGTAATATCACAAACATGTAAAAGGATGTTAGAAAACGTAGGCCTAACACACGAAGTAGATCGCACAAATATTTTATACACCTGTACATTTACTAACGATTCTTACAAGAACAAGAACAGTACTACTATTTCACACTAATAACAACATTGTCATGGTAGTATACATGTATATTTCAGTTATAAGAGATTTAAAAATAATAAATTACGGACAAAACAATATTGAATAAAGTACTACCTTTGAGATTCAAACCACACAACAACTCGTTTGCAGGATTCAGTTAAAAAATATGTCATAATAGTATTTTTGTGGTCTAAAGGAAGAACTCTTAGTTGTTTTTCTTGGAGTGAGGGGTGGTAGCCGGGCTACTGAATCCTTCCAGCATAGTGACGGCCATTCCAGCGGAGAACAAGGACCACAGTAATATACCTCCGTCAACATTGGCAAATAAGGCTCTCAACTGGTCTAGGAAATCTGCAATTTAACACAAAATAAATTAAATATGATCTAGGAAAACTATAGAACAGATGATTTGATGGGAATATTTGTACACAGTAGAGGTTCAGAGAGACTCTCTCTTCTTCAGACTCTTTCAAGATCAAACCATTGTTTGACCCATAAAGTTGATAAAAAGGTAAATGAAAAAGTTTAAAAAAAACCACATGTTATTTGGGGAAAATTAGTAAACTACAGTACTTTACTAAACAATAAATGAATATTAATGGGAATATAATTAATGAGAAGAAAAATATTATTTCATATAGCAATCATCTGTAGAGGTCTGTCTATGAAACAGGTTGCAACTTGCTATAGCAAAGCATGTGGTTAAGTGTGCAAAAATAATGCCACATATTAGGGTGCTAACTTCTATTCTGCTATTCTGTGCCATTCGGTTCGGTTAGAACTGAAAATTGGCCATTGAAATATTGCAGAGGAAATTTTGCCTAGTTAGTGTGAATAATTGTTCAAGAATTGTTTTGATACACAGTGGAACCTTGATAACAAGTCTCTAAAGGGGATTAAATACTAGATCTTTATATAGAAGGAAGGATTATTGTAAAATAACTTCTGTATATTAATACGAGGCAGGTTTTTTAAGTAAGTACCGTTTTTAAATGTCTCCGTTCCAGCGCTGTGATTGGCATTTTTGACATTTGTGCTAAGTATGTGCATCTATTGGCAAGCCTGCGCCGGAAGTTTGGCAACAATCGGACGTGTTTATATCCGGTTTTGAGCATTCAAAATGGTGTCGCCAATTGATACTGCCGCCGACTGTGAAGTGCACGCTGTAATTAGATTTTTAAGTGCTGAAGTTGTGAAAGCTATTGAAATTCATCGACAGATTAGTGAAGTGTATGGCAAGAACTTTATGAGTGACAGAATGGTAGGGTAGTGGGTAGGGCATTTAAAGACGGCCGCACCAACGTTCATGATGAGCAACGCGCTGAGCGGCCGCTTTTTCACCATACACTTCACTAATCTGTCGATGAATTTTAATGGCTTTCACACCTTCAGCACCTAAAAATCTAATTACAGCGCGCACTTCACAGTCAGCGGCAGTATCAATTGGCGACACCATTTTGAACGCTCGAAACCAGATATAATCACGTCCGATTGTTGCTTAATTTCCGGCGCAGGCTTGCCAATAGATGCACATACTTAGCACAAATGTCAAAAACCCCAATCACAGCGCTGGTATGGAGACATTTAAAAACGGTACTTACTTAAAAAACATGCCTCGTAGATTATACTCACTTTTAGCGTAAGGATTGACTTTGGCCTTGTGTTTGTCCTTAGACAACATCTTGAGGTTACGGAGGTAGTCCAGCAGTGGGGGATGGTCCTTGGAGAACACTGGGAAATATTCCCCGACCTTCTCTCTGGTCCACCAGCGGTTGGTGGTTCTGTAAAACATTAAAGTCTTGAAATGTAAGTGAAAACTAGAGGTTGGCAGAATGTATCATACATAATTAATTGTTTGTCTTTGTAAAATAAAAAATACTGCTAAACTATACCAAAGTTCAGAAATTGTTGTAAGAACATTACTATCAACATTCTTGACAATGTGTATATAATTAAAGGGGACCTACCTTTGGTCCCAGGTGGTGTAGTGGTAATGATACAATGTAGCTCTCAGGTACTTGGGTGGTGTCTGCTTGAACGGGTTGTGGGCCTGGTCCATCAGAGCCAGCACTTCCTTCTGGTTGGTCAGTATCCGGTAGGTGAGGGACATCAGCCAGGGGTTCTGGTGGTACGTGCCGAGAGCAGCAAACCACATCTGCCAATCCAACCGCGGCTGGTGGGGAGCTACGGAGAGTAAAGTCATCAAATAAAGTAAGCTTTTAATATTGAACTTAGAAGATTGTTCATTTAATTCAATTTGTTTATTCACGGCATAAATAATGTTATAAGACTTAAATTAGTACAAGCATTTAGAAATTGACAAGATAAACATATATACATTTTGCAGCAACCAGGAACATTATAAATGAACAAAAAATTTTTGGCAATTGCAGGATTTAACAATATAGGAATACAAATTTGAGTAACATAAGAGGAGTGGTATAAAAGGTGACAAAAACAAAAAAAAGAACAAAACTGCCTAAAAATAATGAGCCAATTTATTGTGAGATACCAAATTTTAAGGGGGGTAAAAACGTACTGTGAGTAAATAAACACCACGTCTTACCAGTTGTTATCCACAATAACCTACTCCTAGGCCTATGTGTTGACATGGCCAAAGAATGTAGGCTTAGCTTTAATAACAGTGAAGTATATACACACACTCACACGACATATTTATCAGTAGTAGCTTTCTATTTCATATAATTAAGTTAAACCGACAGATTTTACCAATATTTAATGCCGTCGACAATACTACGTAACCCTAAACTGGTGTTTGTTGACAGACGGCAGACGAAGACTAGACTAACAAAAAACGTCTGATCAGCTGTTGACTAGTCCCTAAACTCGCCACCAGAGAGCATAAGCCTTGACCGAGGAAATCGTGATTTGGTCCGAGGAAGAGATTTGCTGTTTGACGGCCGACTAGCTCGCTAGAAGCCACTCACTCGAATACGATTCACGAAGTACTACGATCTTATCCATTCAGGTTAGCTTCATTTTATTTTCAATTATAACATACGCATACTCGTTTGCCACTCATTATTGCATACTTAAATTTGATTTTAAATATTTAAATTTAATAGCTTAAAATTCACCGACTTGAGTTTAGACCCGCCAGTTCCTGCCGGTCAGTGACTAGCAGTGGCTATAGTTTTGTTTAACTTGGATCAGTTAGTTATGTAATTGTGATTAAACTGTTTGTTTAACAAATAATTATTAGTAGGGATGGGGAATGGGCACACGGGAGGGACTAAGGCTAAAGGTGTAGTGACGTCATATCTCTAGTGGCTAATGTCTTCTCTTGAGGCAACACGATTACCGTAACGAAACGATGTGGTTCCAGCGGCGTTCGTGGCATAGTCGGTAGCGTTTCGGATTGGTGTTCAGGGGGTCCCGAGTTCGAATCCCGCTGGCAGCACTAACTTTTTGTCAACAAATTTTTCATATCAGCAAGTTTGGTTGGTTAGGTTAGGTTATGACAGTTTAATTTTATAATACAAAATTTTAAAATTAATTTTTTATAATTAATTGAAAATTATAAGTAATCATTACATTTTTATCTTATATAGTTTTTATATTATCAGCAAGTCTGGTTGGTTAGGTTATGTTATGACAGTTTAATTTTAAAAATAAGAATTAATTTTATAATTTTAAAACAATATTTTATAATTAAAAAGTTAATTTTATAACTAAAAAAAAAATTAATTTAAATTTGTTCAACTTAGCAGTTCTAGCGGCGAACGCTGACACTACAAGATCTGTTAGCCTTAGTCCCTCCCGTGTGCCCCACCGGTAGGGATGGACGGAAATTTCAAGAAATTTTTGGGAAAAAATACTCTCGATTTTTGGGACAGGATTATATTTGATTCTGGAATTTTTCGGGACGGGATTTTATCCGATCGTCGGCGATTTTGCCGCTATCGCAAGAGATGTTCACGATAGTTCCGCGAACGCAGAAGGCGAAGTCATTTCGACGATCACACAGTGCAGAGTCATATCGACGATCACGCAGTGCAGAGTCATATCGAAGATCACGCCGTGACCATGGAGTTATACCGAAGATTGCGCCGTGACTGCGGAGTCATATCGACGATCGCGCCGCGCGAGCCATACCGACGATCACGCCATGACCGCGGAGTAATACCGAGCGTGATCGTCGAGCCTTACCCACGAAGGAACATGTTTAGTCCCACAAAACCCCTAGCACGACAAATCCAACACAACAAGAAACGCAAATCAAACCACTCACCAACAAAAGGAGGACTTCTATTGACATCGCCAGGCTTGTAAAGGAAGTGATATTCTAGCCAAGGTCCCTTGACATCGTTGGACCCCTCAATGATGATCTCTGGCCGACCACCGACGCCCGTCATCCGTCTGAACAGTCCGTAGGCGTTGGTGACATGTAGGTGACTCAGCCGAGTGTGCCAGTCTCTCACAACAGGCAGCACTGTGGCATTGCCTGACGGGTGGAGAGTGGAGAACGGCACCTACACAAAACAAACGATATGTGTCATATCGCTTTCACTATAAAACTTATGTTTGATTCAAGAAATGTTACATAGTAACAAATGCTAAGTGACTTAGCTGCAGACAAGAGACATTTTTACGCACAAACTTAAAAAAGTGTGAAATAGTTTCACTTAGAAAAAAAAAATGAAATAGTGAAAAAATATGTTTTGTAAACAAATAAAACACTTAGCGATATGTTTTCCAGTAACTTTTTCACAAACCAAGAAGAAAACAAGCATGGAATATTGAGGAGGTTTGGTAACAAGAGTAAGATAGGCCTATGTAAATTCTATATAATTATACTGAGGAGACGATAAAATGTATTAAGCCCAAAACATCGTTATGTCTATAATATTTACTAAATTTAAAAACTTACATCACATTTCATTGTTTTTCTAGTAAAAACCCAGTTCTTGTATGCTATCTGTTCTGTTTTTTTTTGTTTTTTTTTTAGTTAAATAGCTATGAAACTGCACTAAAAAAGTTATACAGTACTAAATCAAGTCAAATTTTCAGATAACCTGGATGGGATTGCAATAGATATACATAACTATAAATTAATTAGATTGATTAATACCACATGTATAATATTTATAGAATATAGGTGCACTTACTAGACTGTCGGTGAAAATAAAAGCAGACGCAGTGATGTAAAACAGCGTTGACAGCAGAGAGAAAAGCTTGGAGAAGAAAGACGAAGAAGTTTGTGACACGGCTGAGAGAAGAGCCTGTAGTGAAGTGATGACCAGTGATGCCAACCCAACAACAATAACAGCTGGCAACCCCTTGGACAGGGCCAGATCAAACTCCTTCTTGGTGAATGCTGTCAACAAACGCACAGAATTATCAGCAACTGAATGATTAAATTAGTCATTAACTATTATGTGAAAAACTGAGTTTTGCTGCTTTGACAGATACAGTGTTATTTTTATTTTCTCAGTGGCAAGAACAGATCTAATTGCTAATGTCTAAGATAATCAACTAATGTTATTAAGTCCAAAACCAAAATTTTAGAAGTGCTTGAAGAAAAGAATGCAAGATCTTGAAATAATTGTGTTTAAATTATTTTGAAGGAGCCTTTGTCCTGGCAGATATTCTTATTCTAGCCTCCGATATATTTTGCCACAGAGTCTGACATCCTCAGGGAGTTTTGTATGTTTATGTAAACAGTGTAAATAACAGGACATACCACAATTTATGACGAAATAGGCCTGTATCAGAGACTAAAATAAAAATTTTTGTAACAACAATGTCAGTAAAAAAAAACTTAACATTTATTTAATAAATAATATGCCAATCACAGTTTGTTTAACCATCAACTATTTCACCAAGGGAATAGTAGGAGTTACCTCTAGGTTACCTGAGGTTCTGCGTAAACAGTGTAAGATTGAATATATTTCACACATCTTATTCCTAGAACTTATTTTTTACGATTCTACAGAACATTATCTGAACACTATCTGATCGGTTTGGTTTCAATATTCCTCAAATTAACTCCTAAGTATTGATAAAAAGTAGGGATGGTCAAGTCTCGAAATTTCGGGAAATTTTCGGGAAATTTTCAATCTCGTTACACGAGACGAGATTACTTTTTGGCCGAGATTTTTATCGAGACGAGAATACAAAAAAAAAAAAAAAAAAAAAAAAAAAAATTAAAAACGCCTGCAGAAAGTCAATGCAATACCCGCAATACAGGAGCGTGTTGTAGTTGCGTTTCCTTTTCGAAGGCGTTCTTATTTAATTAATTCTTTTAATGTAAATATTACTTTAATTCTTTTAATGTAAATATTACTTTCATTATTTGAATAATATTACTTTAATAACATTTGAGAAGTTTTGTTAAGTGTAAGCAGTGTGAGGAATGTTTTATTACTATAAAACAAGTCAAAACAAGTAACTATTTTATAAAAATGAATATTGCTTTTATTTTATGATTTATTTTATTTTAGGATAAGTTGAACTCTATCCTAACTGATATCACCATGTTTCCTAATCGTAGGCATTTTTAATAAGTTAGGCGTGATTAATAAAAAAATGTTATGCTGATGTTATTTAATGAAAGATTGTAAATATTCTTGCTATTATCATTATTTTAGTATTTAAACAGTCATCTAACAATGTTACAAAATCAGGTAAAAATTTTGAACGTGCATTTCCCGTTGTGTATGAGAAGAGAAATCTCGTCTCGATCTCGTCTCGAAATTTTATGAGAAATAAAAAATCTCGTCTCGTCTCGTCTCGAACTAAAAATCCAATCTCGTCCATCCCTAATAAAAAGAGTTGATAAGTTTACCCACCAATCTTTGAGTTAATTTTCCCGTCTTGATACTTGAGAGTGTAGAGTACAACAGTAGCGTAGATGACCGTGCCATAAACCACAACAGCTGTAAGGAAACTGAGAATCGATAACAGTCTGCTGGACTTCTCTTGCTCTGGAAAGTCAAAGTTTATTAATTAACTATTAGTTTGACGCAAACTTAGCAACACATATAACGTTTAATATCATATGCCTTAAAAAATAAGTAGTGTTGGAGTAACCATTGAATAAATGAACCGACTTTAAAATGTTGTATTTGATTGTTTTCTGTGTGATTGAGTAAAAATTATTGTTTTATGTTAACCCAGTGGGGAAGGAATTATTGCGCTGCCTGCAGCACCCTCTGTCGGCAATAAATTTTACCGAATTTTTAGAATTTGCTCTAATTGTTATAGAAAGAAAATCTTAGGTAATAAATTAATAATTCTTTTGCCATTTTGTTCACAGTAAAATTGTCTACAAAAAAGTGGTAATTGGATAGTCAAAGTGTAAAACAAAATAAAAATTATTAAGATTATAAAAAAAATTAAAAAAATGTTTTTTTAAGTAAATTTGATGTAAATTCAAAGATTAATACAGACACCAAATGACACTACTATTTTATTAAGTTCAATTGATTCCCTACGTAGGAAAATCGCAAGTTGTGTACTTTTATAAGTACCCGTAGTAACATATTAAACATAATAAAAGAAGAAACAAAAATAGGGGGGAATTATATAATAACTAATGGCGCTGCGTAGCGGCGACACAAGTGGCACTCGTAAGTCGGCCGCTGAGCCTGCAGCGGCTGTACGAGTAACGCTCGTAAGCCGTTGCCAATGGGTTAACAGTTATTGTAGAGACTAATCAATAACTTTGAAAAACTATTTCTCCAAACTTAGAATGCCCAGAGGTGGATCTCTAACCTTACAGCAAAATGGGATTATGCGTTGAAAGTAGAAACTCAGATTATCTTTACCGTATGTAAAATATGCTAGTTTAAGTGGGTTTTGCAATGTGAAAACATACAGATGGACAATTATTCATTTTTACCATAGTAGGCCTGCAAATTACAAAATAAAAGAAAAAACTTTACTATTGCCAGGGATGATACAATATTAATATATGCACTAATAATTTTTTTTTTTATACTCTATCTCATAAAAACTACAAATTATGGTATATTTTTGAACCAACACTGTCAATGACTAATTTATCATTTGAACTTATTTTTGCTTAAAACTGTCAAGAACCTTACCACAAAAAGTTTCATAGTTTTTGTGGATAAAACAATCCATAAATAAGCTGACTTTAACTGTTCGTTCAAACAGTCTGTGTAAATGATAGAATTATTCAACCTAAGTTATTGAGAAACATACTAAAGAATGAAACTTACTTTTGATTTTCAAAAAGAACTTGTCCGTGCACAAGGAGAGGCACAGAGTCAAAGTTAGGAAATTGAAAAAGTTGAAGTTTCCACTGATAATGATGCAAACTTGGAGAAAAGCCTGAAAAATAAATTCCAATGTTATTTAACTTTTTCAAACACAATGTCTACAATTTCAACATAAAATTTTCTAAAGAATAAATAAAATTACAGTACCTATTATAATTTTAAAAAATTTGTGACTATTCAGTGGCATTATTAGCAGTTAGTAAAATGTAAAAGAAGATATGATGTTGTTAGCATGTATATCTGATATAAAACATATATTATTCCTTAAATTTTAGATTTACCGTACAATTAACAATTCATTTTTGGACTCAATTAAAATTTAAGTGATAAACTAAATTGATTTCTTATTATTACTCTTGAAGTTTACGAATAACCAAATTATTGCTTTTAACTGTTTTATTTGCGAACGTGAGGCTCTAAAAATCAGTGACTTAAAATCTTTAAATGTAAATTAATAAATTTTCAGTGCTTTCCATGAATTGATTGACTGGTAAACATCCAGTTGTACGGTTTAAAATCGAGTAAGATTATGTCAGATAAGATTAGAGTAAGTGAAGTTAAATGTTAAATTTTAACCTATTATAAAAGCAAAAGCAAATTGTCTTTATAAAATAATCTCCTCAATCCCGAAAACTGTATTTAAAACACACCCTAAACAACTAAAACAAAACATTAAAATTGTAGCCTACAAATGCACTTACGCATGTAGATTAGAACTACATATTGTCTCACCTGAACCCAAAATGCTACTGTTCTGACGGATTGTACCGGGAAGAAGAATAGCGGAGGGATGAATATCTCGGCCACGTTGGCAAACACCGTGTTGAGGTTGAGGAACCAGGCAGGCAGATGGAAGCAGTACCAGGCTAGTGGCGCAGGCAGACACATCGACTCAAAGTGGACATTTAGAGCTGGACAGAGTTACGATGGTTAGTAGTGTCCTTATATAAGCTAACATTATTCTGACATTTGATTTTTAACAACTTGAATAGGGTTACCCATTGAAGACTGAATTGTTTTATTTCTCTATTAATAATTGTGTTAGGTTAGGCATATTTTATGCCTTTTATAACTAAAATAAAAATCTGCGTTCTTCTTCTCTAATCAAAATGTAAAACTAAGCAAATTTGATGTTGTGTTATGTATACTGTTTTGTACATTAGTACATATAGAGGAGGAGGAGACAGATTGTTATTTATTTTGGTTAAATATGGACATATCCTGTTGAAATAAATGTAGTCTACTATAAAACACATAGAAGGACATTACCTAAAAAATAATAAACAGAGAAATATAAAAAAACAGGCTTGGGTCCTAAAAGTGTTGAAGATGGGTCTGCCAAAACAATACACACAATATCATGTTTCCTAGTATTACCATTGACTATAGACACCTACCATAAAGTGGCCTATGCAATTCTTTCACATGTCAAAGTCATAAACAGTCTTAGAATACCAAAAACTCAGTTCAACTAAGCAACAAAGAATGTGCAGTTTGCTTCTTATACACCAACTTTTTAACACTTTCGCTACCGATCACCACATATTTGCGACGCTGAGGTCATTGCCTCAGCCCAAGATATACATTTTAATATTACACATATACCGGATGTCACTTGGTTAACAGTTAGGCCTACACGCAGACCAGTAATGCAGCAAAGTAAAAATCAGTTTTGCCAACTATCACGACGTCACTAATCATCATATACACGGACCAAGTGACGCACACACACAGACATCCCTGTAGACCACTGCAGAGAATTTGGAGCCTTCAAATAGACCGTTACGAATATATCAGCTTTTTATTGGACACCGACGCAAATATGTGACGTCAGTCTATTTTAATGTGACCAGCTGTTACACTACCTGTGAGTCCCCACCACTGAGGGCATCCACTGGTCAGTTTGACGATGCCTGAGCTGAACAACAGACGGAACAGCAGCCAGCGGACGAGCCAGAACGTGACAGGCTCGTGTGGGGCGAGTGGGGTCGGCCTACGACGAGTGCCGGGCTTGTAGCGCAACGGAGACGCAAGCACACACAACACTCCAGCCTCTAGCAGTAGGATGTCCCTGCAAGAACAAATGTATCAGACCATGAACTGGAATCAAAATACACGGATCCTGGCACATGTTCTGGATGAGAAAGAATCTTAACCACTCAAATCTTGGTTTTGAATTAATTTTTGGTAAAGGAAAGTTAATATTATTTGAGATGTTGCAGACATGTTTACTACAGTATTTGTGAAAGGAAAGTGTCTAAAATTATCCCTAAAATAACAGTAGATTAAGTTAGTATTTTTATCCTAATAATAATAACTGAGGTCATTTTGAATAAAAATTTGTTCTGATATTCAAAGAAACTTTGTTTTAAAATTACAATATAAATAGGTTTTGGTTCACGTTTATATTGTTAAAAGACTAAAATCTATCCTAGAGGCAATGATGAATAAATTTTTAATTAGCTGGAAAAACATATAGGCCTATAAGTTACCTTTACATAGATGAAACATAGACAAATTTGGGATGATTTGATTTTTTTGTGTAAGTAATCATGAAAGAATGTGCTGGTGAAAAACTTCTTCAAGTTAATAACGGACATGAATGAATTAAACAATATTTTTCAAACCCCTTTTCATATGTTCCCTTGCTATGGGTCGTAAACCTGCTCAAATGACACTTAAACACATCAGTTTGTGAATTTAACAAATAATAAATTACTAGTGTACATGTTGCTCGAATTCGAGCAATTGCAATGTATTACCGGAGTTATTTCAAAACGAATAACAGTCATATTTACAATGAGTTAAAAAGAGTCAACTCAAACCCGGTGTGTAACCCAGTGTATGTATTACCGGTGTGTAACTCAGGCCATGTTTATCTTCGTTATTGATAAACGTAAAGCATTCCGGCCGGTTTTCTCCTTCTCAAAATGCCTCGCAGTACAGACAACACAGGTCATTGATAGAGGGCCAATTGAGAACGAAAAGTCGTTTTGGGATAATGTTAGGGCGCATATTTGTAACCGAGTAGTTGAGATTGTTCAGGGTCAGGTGCTGACTGTGATGATTTAAGCATATTACGCACCACTGTTCTGTAGCAGCGGTCGTTATCACGATTACGCCTCCTGTCTATGTTTCGTTGCCGTCGCGTCGAAGGCATTTAAAAAAAATAAACTACAAATAAACAAATTATAGCTACACAAAACAACGATAAATGCACAAATTTAAGTTACAATCGTGTTAACACGATCCGTCATAGCGACACAAAACAACGATAAATACACAAATTTAAGATACAACCATACTAACACGATCCATCTTGGGGGTTATGTTTACATAAACTCAAATAGTAAATAAATAAATAACAGCAATTAAATTATACAGCTGATCAAAATGTAAACAATTATGTTCTTCATAAGGATAACATGGGAACTTTCAAAGCCACTGGGGCAGAGCCCAAGGGACTTTTTCGAAAATGTAAGGCCAGTTTGCAAATCTACGCGACACGTTCTTTCCAATGAGACATCAATGGATAAAATCGGTCAAGAAATGGCGGAGGAGTTCAACCGACAAAGTTTCATGTAGCGTATTAATTATATAGATTTATTTTGATAAAAAATAGTAGGCCTACCGCCTGTTGTTATAAACTATTATTTTAAGTTTTGAAAAATTTGCTTTCTATATGCTTAAGAAATTACACATTTTGTAAAACACATTAGGTAAATCAACTTGTACAATTAAAATAGTTCTCTGTAACGGCAAAAAGATTTGATAAAATACCCCCGCCGCAGCAAACCTGCAGACTAAGCGAATTTCCATTTGACTGATTGGATTTACACTGAAATGTCTACTTAAAAATATAACATTTATTCCCGATTTAAATAGAATTAGTTTAACAAGTACTTAGGTTTGCTGCATCAGGGAGGGTAAAACTGTTTTTTTTTTTTTGTAAAATGTTAATAGTTAGTAAGAAATAAAAACATTTTCCAAATTTGATCAAAATATGTTCATAAACAAGCAAACTACAACAGTTTACTCATTCTCCATAAGAATAACATGGGAATTTTAAATTTACAATTTTTTGGAATTTTCTCCGTAACCATTAGGCGCATAATAACGCTTCAATATACTAAATTATTTGTTTTTTGAAGCTCTACAAAATGGTTTGGAAATTAATTAATAAATTTTATGTTTTTTGGGTCAAAATTGGGAAAAACCTATTTTTACCCCATAAAACCCCCCGTAAACACCCGTTCCCATGGTCCGATCATGCTGGATCGCGAACTCGTTCGAATAGACGTAGGTTTACACGTTTGTACCAAATTTCATCAAAATCGGATCATTTTTGCTCGAGTTATTGTGCTGACGGACACATATATATATATATATATATATATATATATATGAATTTGAACGGATGGTGTTTTTGGCCTCTAGGGACCTCAAAACGAAAAAAAAAATCGGTCCCGCGTCCAGGTCTTACCATGAGTACTACGGTAATAGCTTATTCCCTATATGGGAAATTCGCTAAAAATATGAAAAAGTATGAAAGTGTAGTTAATTACCATTAAATAAATATTGATACAAAATAGTTAATCCTTGAGGAGTTGCATTATATAGACGGATGAAACATCAGAGCACATGTGGTCAGAACCAGTTTTATGTTGCAATGCCAGAGCTTATCAGGTTACGGCAAGTGGCTAATTCCCTGACAAGGGCTTATAACTTAATAGTACCTATTTAGGATGGTAAGCTTTCAAAGAGCTGTTAGTCGTACAAGCGTACATCCAATTGTGTTGTAAATTGTTAATATGAGTATCACAATACAATTTATAAATATCAGTTCGGACTTACCATTGAAACCAAAGGAAAGTCTGCCCAACCTGGTATAAGGAGTAATACAGTGACCAGAGAGCAGCAAACATCGGCTTGTTGCAGAACTTTTGTGATACAAATCTGCAACAAATACAAATAAACATATACATTGTAGTATTAGACCTACACTAATACTCAGGTTTCAGAACAAAGTTCAGAGATGGGTCAAGATTAAAAAATGTATTTTAAAATTAAGTAGGTTATTTTTTATTTAACATTCCAACTGACAGCTCCACTTTGATATTGGTAAACTTATGATTGCTGGATTTATGTTGATATTGCTAATTAATTACTTTTAAGTTATAATGTAAAAAATCCTCCATAACTATGTCAGTCGGACAAAATAATAAATAGTAAACAGACGATTCCACTAATTAGTGATACGATGATGATGACATTTGGTACAAATGTGTAAACCCACTTTTATTCAAACGAGTTTACAAACCAGCATGATCCGACTACGGAAACAAGGGTTTATGGGGGGTTTTAAAGGATAAAAATTGGGGTTTCCCATGACCATAGAAAACATAAAATTTTTAAACTTCTTTCCAAACAATTTTGTAGAGTTAAAAAAAAAATAATAATTTAGTAGGCCCTATCCTATGGTGAAGAGTTGTTAACTTATATGTGCTTAGATTCTTAAGGAGATTTTAAACAAAACAAAAACCGTAGATTTAAAATTCCTACCCTATGTTATTCAGCCTAGTTCAATACTTTTTAATGAAATTGAGACCATAAAGAGTAGGTATTTTAAGTTATGGAAAATAAGTTATTGTTGTTTGTTTGTTTATGGATATATTTTGATAAAATAAAAAAAATAAATCTATTTAGGCCTAAGTTATACTAGCCTACTTGCTAATAAACTAAATTAAAAATTCACTTTATAAATTAAAAACACCCTGTTATATCTGACATTTTAAAGATATTTCAGTGAAAATACAATCGTGCAAATATGGGAATCTATGCTTAGTTTACAGGTTTGCTATGGTGGTGGGGGGTATTTAGAGATCCTAAACCACAATATTGCATTGTTTTATTTGATTTAATTAGGTAGGCCCATTTTAATATAAATGAAAATTACTTGTCGTTGCCGGTAGTGCGCTCTCTATAGCAAAAGTTGCCTAGCTTAGTAAGTAGCCTAGTCAGAATTATTCATCCTTCTCATCGCCTAAACTTAATTTCTTCTCAGATGGCATTGATCACTGGGAGACATGAGTCGGATGCAGAGGGTGCAAAACATGTGCGTCAGATACGTCTGCGATCTGCGAAAATTTGATCGAATTTCATCAGACCTCACATCTCTTGGCTTATTGCCTATGGCTGACCTGTGCCTTTTACGCACTTCCTGCATCATCCGGAGGGTACTGTCAGAGGAGAGACCTCAGTACCTGAAGGTAAGACTGAGAGCTCGCTCTGAGTATGCGATCCCGATGCACACGGCAGGATGACATGCTGGAGATGCCCCGTGTGCGCTGTGAGTCCGACCGTTGTGGGTTTTCTTATTTTGCCCCTAAAATCTGGAATATATTGTCATCCAGGACTGAGCCAGGGGTGTTGGACAGTAAAAAGTCATTTAAAAAATATATAACAAATGGCTTGAAGAATGGTTAAATAAATACCCCCGCCGCAGCAAACCTGCAGACTAAGCGAATTTCAACTTGTCTGATTAATTTACTAAAATATTTCCATAAATAAGACATATATATTTCTAATTTAAATAACATTAGATTTAACCCTAGCAGTGGCCAATGTTAGAAGTGGGGAATGGCCAACCCATTTTGGCGATTTTGCAGACCTTTTTTTAAAAATCTGTCGAAATTACAAATATGGACTCAAACTATCAATGTTTGTATTCATTTTATTCAGAAAAAGCAGGAGAATCTGAATATATAAATAAAAATTGAATCTGAGTTGGTAACTTTAAAAAAAATCATAAAAAATTCAAAAATTCTGATTGAAATTTCAAAAGTAAAGTCTTGTTATTACTACAGTAGGCTATAATTTTCAGACCAAAACCATTATATACATTTTGTAGTCAATTCAATTCCCTACATAGAAATGTATAACACATGGGGGAAATATTTTTTTTACAAATGTTATGTAAGAAAATGAAGAAAATTCAAATTTTGTCGCATAAGACGAATAATTAGTAACTCGGAGATAACTCAACGTAATTAGTGATAATAATATAGTACACATATTCTTGTAGGTTATAAACTAAGGAATACAAATATGTCACATTGTAGGCAGTAAAAAAATTTTGATTACCCATTAATGATACAAAAAACTAAAAATTTACAGTTTACATAGAAAAAAATTCAAAGACATTTTTGTAAAAAAATTTTGTACAGATTTTTGTAGGCCAAACAAAATTCTCTTTATAGAAATGTATAACACATGGGGAAAATAATTTTATTTACATGTGTTATGTAAGAAAATACGAAAAATCGCAAGGTTTGTCACGTAAGACAAATAATTAGTAACTCGGAGATAGCTCATGTAAGGTATTTAGTGATAGTAATATAGTACACATATTCTTGTAAGTTATAAACTAAGGAATACAAATATGTCACATTGTAGGCAGTAAAAAAATTTTGATTACCCGTTTATGATACAAAAAAACTAAAGATTTGCCGTTTATGTAAAATAAATTCAGATATTAGACTTTCCAGTAGGCTTATATTCATGTATAAAGATTACTGTTAGTCCTAAAACACAAAAACATTACTAACAAAAAACACTACATAACTACAAAATCAGAAATTAAAATGATTCCCAAGATATTCGCCGAACAATATTTACTTTCAAAACGTAAGTCAGCTGATCCGCACAAAACAAACAGAGTAAAATATTCAGCAACTCTACAGCTATCTAGTGGTATAACTCGCATCCAGATAGGGAAAAAACTAACCTCGCTATGATTTTCTAAACTTTATGTGTTTAGCGGTTACGCAACACTACAAGTGGAAGTAGATTCGCGCGGAAATTTTCATTCAAATTTAAATTGCAATTACATTGACATATTGACGCTAGAAGGTTCGTTTATATAACAAAATGAAAGTTTAGAAAGTCATCTTTCGAATGGTATATGAATTATCCACTTTAAAGATAAGGTAATTCTGAGCAATTACTTGGTCAAGCCCAATTTTTTTCATATTTTACTACGGTCATCAGGAGGTTCTCAGAAAGCAAGAAACATATAATTCAAGGCCCGCAAGGCCATCGTACAGGTTGCCGAGCGATAAGAAGGTTCAAAGTCCAAGCAATAACAGTGGCTTGCGGGAGATGCGCGGAAGGCCAGTTGTGACAGTACCGTTATGGCTATGGCTAGTGGTTCCTCCGACAATCCTTTTCTATGTGACGGGTGTGAAAACACGTTACTTACTTATGTTTTTTTTTTAGTCTCAAATACATCTCTAAGGCCAATTGTAACAGTACCGTTACGTTAGGTTAGGTTAATTAATAACCTAACTTAACCTAACCTAACCTAACTTAACCTTGCGTGGCTTGAATTATATGTTTCTTGCTTTCTGAGAACCTCCTGATGACCGTAGTAAAATAAGAAAAAAATTGGGGTTTGACCAAGTTATTGCTCAGAATTACCAAGAAGATAATTATCAATTAGTTTTTAGCGTTAACCCTTTGAGTGCCAACGTCCGGGGAACCGGACGTTTTTAAAAAGAGCCAAAAGTGCCGACGTCCGGCCGACGGGACGTTTTTTGAAAGAGCCAAAAGTGCCAACGTCCGGCTGACCGGACGTTTCGTAATGATCGAACAGTTGTCATAACAACCGAATGGATACTCGGATTCTTTTAACCCATATATTAATATTGAGTCGAAAGTTACTAGATGCGATACATCGATTTTCGTTGGTCGAAATATCGAAATTTAGATTTTTACGAAATTTTAACCTAAAAATCGCCAGATCGCGCTCGGCATTTTTAGCGCGACCTTCGGGAAAAATCATCGGCATTTTTTGAGCGTTACTTTTATTTCTCGCCTGGCACTCTAAGGGCCGCTTTCCCCAAATCAAGTTTAACTCTGATCGCGGTTTAAACTCTAGTTTAACCTCAGATTCACTTTCCCCAAAATAATTTCTCCGTTTAAACTAGGTTTAAGTTAACCCTAGGGGTGAGGCTGGTTTAACTGGCGATCCGTGGGTTAACCCAGGAGAGAAGAATAATAGCTTGATTTTGATTGGCTCTTGGCTGACTTGTTACGTTCGGCAGACGGCAATGGCAAATATCCTTGTTTGACATTTGTTAAACATAACCTAAAATAAATTGAACTGGAAATAAATTAAAAATAACAAACCAGAACCTATGTAGACAATTAATTCATGACTATTTCAAATTTAAAGATATAAGGCTACAGATATACAGTAATGGTTTTAAGGTTTTTAAATGCGTAGAGTAGGCCAAAATTATTATATTTTCGGTAGGTAGGCCTAGTATCGTAGTTGTGTACAATTGATAGGTTACCTTGTCCACAGCAACGCAACAGTGGTTGGAAAGTTTGCTCATAAGAAGCCTTTTGGTTTGATTTTATTTTAACACGAGTCTTACATTACACAAAAGTAAATATTAAACATTCGGGCCTAACCACTCGTCTATTATTATCATGTGTTAATTAACAACTACTGCAGTACGCCTAAAATTAAATTTAGTTTAGAAACATCGAACGTGTCTAATGCTGAGTAGCCTAGGCCTGCCATTACAAAGGATAGGCTCTAGTTTTTAATCCACAAACATTAATTTTGCGTCTTTCCCAACATTTTATTTTCCCATGATTGTAGCCTAAATACTTTTATTTGATGCGTACAGTAGGCCTACTGTTTAATTAAGTTTGAGCTTAAATAAACACAATAAATGAAATGCTTATAAATTAGCATCAGTACAATTTATTAGCCTGCAAATAAAAATGTTTCTTTTTAATGTCAACAATTGGAGACAATGACACGAAACCTAATACAAATAACCAAAACACGAGAAAATTAATGACAGATATGTCATAGTGGGAAGTTAAACAGCTAATATTGCAGACAAAATTGCATAACAGTGTTGCCAACATTGTTGCTTGCAAAGAAAAGCTAGGTTAAACTAAACTTTCATGACAAAATAGTGGGGAAAGCCATCCTAAGTTTAACCCACAGATTAAAGTTAACCGAGATTTCAAGTTAAACTTGATTTGGGGAAAGCGGCCCTTAGGGTTAAAAAATGTTTGGACATAAATGGTCCCGGCGGGACCATGGCCATTCTAAGGGTGCACGGTGAAATGGTCCCGCCAGGACCATTGGCCACTGCTAGGGTTAATGTACGTCTAGCCAAATAATGACTTATGACTTAGGCACACGTAGGATGCAAGTGAGGAAATATTAGAATAGGTAATAAAATACTTACCCGGTAAAAGAAAGGAATATTCCAGTAAGAGCAAGCACATCCATCATGTATTCTGTGTCAAGACCAATATAAGGGGCAAGCCACAGCAAAGTTGGTTTGTTGTGAATATTTCTGACCAAGTTGTCATCCTTAGCTTCAAGTTGAACATGGGCTGGTAACACACCATTCTCACCATAAAGTCCTGGAATAAATAAACATAAGTTAGCCTAATTCAATTACCTACTTCTTCTAGGGCCTACATGTAAAGACGTAATAAAACGGTAGCCAATTTTACACTAGGCCTACATGAGCATAAAATCTAGGCTACTCACCCGGTATTTGGATGTAAATGGACGCAAATGCAAACAGGTAAATAACATTCATGCATCGTAGAAATAAATGTTTCGTGTAGCGGATTTCAACCATTTTATTAATTTAATTTGAATTAAGTTATGTGATCAGAGATCAATTCCTCAAATGCATGCCGAAAACGCGATGGACCAATGGAAATGAATGATAAATACTAGGCTAGGCTAGGTCTAATTGTTAATTTAAGGGGGGAATCTGTCTGTATCAGAATTCTTTTCTACTTTTAAATTAGCGCAAAGTCATTAATCAATAATTTAAAATGTAAAGCCCATGTAAAAAATGCAAATTAAATCAAATCTTTCCTGTCGCCGTCCTGACAGTTAAAAAATACAAGCAAGCCCAAGCCCCAAGCCCATAATATGAAGAGAAGAGAAGAACAAGAAATACGAGATTTGGATTTGATTTGGACGTTTGGAGTTGGAGCCAGGCAGGAACGGAATAAAGAATAAGCAGATTACTAGAAAATAGCCCAGAAAAGTCATTGATTAAGTTATTACCATATTACCAAATGTATGGTTGTTTAGTACTTATAATCAGTCCTACATTATCCTTTTAAAATACTTTGATTTTGAGATGTGTATGCACCAATCATATCAATATACATGTAACATGGCAATATATCATCTATTTGTTGTAAAATGGTGTAACCATTTTGGTTGGTTGGTTGTTGGTTGGTTGGTTGGTTGCTGTTCTTCTCCTCCGCAGTCATCAAGAATGGGGGAGGCGTCATCTTTTTCTTTATCTTTATCTTCTTAGTTGTATCTTGGTTTTTTATTGTCTTCTGTTAAAAGTATGGTCATCCAGGAATTCATTTAAACTGTAGTAGGGTCGTTCGAGGAGATAGTTTTTCAGTTGGTTAGCAAATTTTTTCGGGTCTGTAATAGCTTTTAGCCGATGTGGTAATAAGTTGTAAAGTTTCATCCCTCTATATGTTGGGGTTTTTGCTGTTTTTTCTAATCTGTGTAAAGAACCATTGAGATTCCCCATTGAGAGGGGATATGTCATTAGACCTCAGTCCTACATTATCTTTTTAAAATACTTTGATTTTGAGATATGTACGCACCAATCATGTCAATATACATGTAACATGGCAATAAACCAGTGGCGTAACAGAAGGGCCCGCAGGGCCCGAAATGCGGGGGGGCCGCGAGCTGAGGCCGCTGAGGGGGCCTGCGAACCGGTGAGCAGAGAGGCCCGCGAGACGAGTAAGGCCGAAAAAATTGGAGTTCATTCTTATTTAAATGTATTATCAATCATTCAATAATTGTATTTAACAAATAATAACATTGATGTTATTGATAATACGTTGTTATCAGTTATCGTTTAATTTCGTTAGGCCTCTTCAGTGTTAACGAACTAGGGTAACAAATTTAAGGTGTCATAACGCGGGTCTTTGATTATTATGCAATCTTACTTTCGTCACCGAGAAATATGTTACTTTTTCGGTGATTTCGTAAACTGCTTATGTCGTCTGCAAATGATTATTGAATAATCATGTATTTGTTGTACAATGGTGTAACCATTGAGAGGGAACATATCATCATCATCATGTGAGTAAACAGTATAAGAGTAATTATGATTATGATACTAACTATAACAAGTGTTATTTGACGTATTTTTGTACTTTCAGGTAATTTAATAACACTTACGATATGCTGAAAAAAAAGTTATTTATGACATTAAGTGATCTTATTTTCTTAAATACTGAATATGATTAGGAAATTGATAACAAAAGAATAATCTGCAAAATTAAATCATACACGAACCAACTAAAGGAGTATTTTTTATCATAGACTAACCAATGTTTTATATATCATTAAATTCTCCGGACTTTATACTAAGACGAAACTCAACTAATAGTGTGTCAAAAGTCAATGCTGTCAAATCACTTTACTGAAAGTCAATTGCACTTTACTGCAATGGTTACACGCCAATTGTTTATTCACTAAATAAACACTCCAATTGCCTTTACACTCAGGACCAAACTGTAAAAAAATCTATGTTCAGTGAATAATATCATAGATAAACATGTTTTATCGGCAGCCAAAGTTGCCACAGCCTTAAACAACATGGAATTCCTAAACTTTTGCTTACTATTTTTAAATGTCCAGTGTCTATGCTACACCCGTGTTATGGAACTTGAAATGATGCTCACTGATAACAAATACAAAATATTATGCTTGTCGGAACACTGGTTGAATGATGAACATATTAAGCTTGTGAACATTAAGGGTTATTTTTATGTTTCAGCTTTTTGTCGTTCTCAACGCAGGCAAGGTGGGGTTGCTGTATTTGCTTCCCTAGATCTTAATGACTCATTTATTGTTATCAATGTAAATAGTTTTTGTTTAGAGTTACATCATGAGTTTGTCTGCGTTCATTTCCCGGCTATGAACATTATCCTTATTGGTGTCTATAGGTCCCCTGATGGTGATCTAGGTATGTTTTTGTCTAGCTTAGAGAACCTTATTTTGTCCCTAGGCAACAAGAGGGCAAAAAACCATATTATCCTGGGTGGTGACATGAATATTAATGTGTTGAAACAAAACCGTTTGTCTGAAGATTTTATAAACTTGTTAAAATCACTGAATCTTTACTGTACTGTCTGGGTGCCGACTCGTGAGAACTCTTGTCTGGACATGGACAATGTTGCCACAGATCTTCCTCGTGAAGATTTTAAAGTAGAGGTGGTGAAACATGCCATAGGTGACCATGATGGCATTCAGTTTAGTCTCGGTAACCGTCTGTCCAAGAATAAAGATCCCTATATTGCTATGACTTATCGACCAATTACTCTTGATAAAACATATCACTTTATAGCTGCTCTCGACTCAGTTGATTGGAATATTTTACTTGCGGGTAATGCTAATGTTATTTTTAGTAATTTTTTAAGAACATTTATTTTGCTCTTTCAAGAATCTTATCCTAAAAAAGTGTCTAGACCTAAGAATACAAAGCATCCACTGGCTCCAGAGTGGAAATCAGAGACTATTGTAATATTGAGAAGATGGTTGCTTCTTTCTTACGATATTTATAGACAAGAAAAAACCCTTGAAGCCAAGAGGAGGTATCAAGCGATAAAGAAAGATTACCAGGTGAGTTTAGTACGGTCAAAACAAGAACACAATGCTAATTTCATTGAGTCCTCTCAAAATTCTTGTGCTGCCGCTTGGTCTGTCATCAAAAAAGAGGGGGCCCCTGCAAAAGCAAAACCAACTACTAGACTTTCTGCTGAGGAGCTGAATGATTTCTTCATTAATTCTGTCCAACAGACTCGGGATGCAATTGGTACTCCACCAACCCCCGCTGTAAACCTCCTAGCCCAGCATCCTAGACCAACATGTTCTTTTAACATTGAACCTGTCTCTTGTGAGAAAGTGCTATCTGTTGTACATAAGATGAATAGCTCTAAAAGTAAGGATGTTTTTGATCTCTCTGCAATCTTAATTAAGAATGTGATTTATCATATTTTAGTTCCACTCACCTATTGTATCAATGTTTGTATCAAGGAGGGCGTTTTTCCAGATGTGCTAAAAACAGCCAGAGTAGTCCCTGTCCATAAAAAGGGGAACCATAATGTGCCTGAAAATTTTAGACCTGTATCTATTCTTCCTGTGTTTGGTAAGATTTTTGAAGGTATAATTAAGGATCAAATGTTACCTTATTTTGAAAGTAATGGACTGCTTGTGTCAGCCCAGTATGGTTTCAGATCAGGCCGTTCCACAATCGATGCAGTTGAAGTTCTGACTGGGGTTGTTTTAAAATCATTTGAGAGGGGAGGCTTTGCTGGGGCCACATTGTGTGACCTCAGCAAGGCTTTTGACACCATGGACCACAAAATTTTGCTTGACAAACTCCATTTTTATGGAGTTAGGGGTAAGGGTTTGGACTTACTGGGATCATACTTGGGCGGGCGCAGACAGTTTGTCTCTGTAAATGGTCAGTCCTCTGTTGTCAAATCTCTCATGGCGTCCCACAGGGGTCTGTCCTTGGGCCCTTGCTTTTCAACATAATGATAAATGACCTTTCTTTGCATTTGGGAGAGGGGGTTGTTTGCTATGCTTATGACACTACTCTAATTGGGGTAAATGATAACTTAAATGTCCTGCAGGGCACTATGTCTCAGACTCTCCAAATGGCCTCGGCGTGGTTCCGAGCTAACTTTCTCTTCCTGAATGAGAGTAAGACTCAGTCCATAATATTTAGTCTTAGACAGCTTAAGCAAGATGTCACAAGCGTTAAACTACTTGGATTAATGTTGGATCCTAAGCTGGATTGGAATAGTCACATATCTTTTGTATGTAGTAGACTTTCCAGGGTGATTCACTTGCTCAGGAACTTGAAGAACTCTGTACCCACTGAATGGCTAAGAACTGCCTACCTTGCCTTTTTTCAGAGCATAATTCTTTATGGTTTAAGACTTTGGGGTGGCACTCCGGGAGTCGAGAGGGTTTTGACGCTCCAAAAGGCGGCAGTCAGAATCTTGGCAGGTGCTGATTTTCTAGACCACTGCAAACCTATCTTTATTTCTGAATCCGTTATGACAGTGTACAGCTTATATATTTACCAATCTCTTCTGTGTACTAAGCAGGAGTCAGGCTCTCTCGAACTCCGAAGTGATATCCACCCTCACAATACTAGGAGGAAGGACGACTTGAATGTACCCTATGTTAGATTAAGAAAGGTCCAATCTAGCTATTGTATACAGAGATATAAGTTTTTTAACAAACTCCCTTGTACAGCTCGGAACCTGCCGGAAGCAAAATTCAAAATGGGGATTGAATCTCTTCTGTTGGCAAATCCGATTTACTCATTCAAAGAGTATTTTGAAATTTCACCTGGCCAAGTAAGTAAGTTTTTTTTAGCCAATGAGTGCCAATGTGTGATGATAAATAAGTTTTGTTTTTGTTTTTCAATTCTCTGCATGGTGTGTTGCAGGCTTAGGCTAAGATTTTGATGTATTGACGTTTCCTTGTACATATTATTATGCTTTCAGGAAATAAATCATTCTCATTCTCATTCATTCATTCTCATCTATGATAATATCATAGACTAACCAACACAAGTGAGTATGTATGTTTTATCTATGATTATATGTTAAAAACTACTTGATAATCAATAAAGTAATTTCCTTTGAATCTGTTTTCTTACAGTCTGTGTCCATAACAGCTGTTTTGTATTTGTTTATTTTCTCCTTGCATTGTGCATTTTTTTTGCTCTGTTTGTGCTTTACATTATAATCAAACTAGGCTTGTTTCTTGTTTCGTTTCTGTCATTGTATTTGGATTTTGTCCATGTCTATTTGGATTGTTAAATGCTGGTTCCGTTTTAATTTTATTTTCATCAGCAATTAAAATGTCCGATCTTTTTAAATCTGCGTTTGGTTACTTTAGCAGTAACACGCCCGGTCAAGGAAATGAATTGGTTGGGCAAGTCGTTGAAATCGGTAGTGTAAAATTACGAGTGAAAAAAGTGATTGCAGAAGGTAAGATTTTTGTTCAAATTGTTTATATATCACCCATTTTCTTTTAATCGCAACCTTCCTAATGACTTAAACAAATACAAGCTAGTTAAATTCATTTTAAAATTAAACTTTTCGGATCACATCTGTGAAGCAAGGCCCTGAACTATATTACCGTACGTTGTAAACCGTCCAGTACAGAATGTAGATAAGCCTCAATACTCCTTATCGTGACGTTCAAAAGACATATTTTGAGGTTTCCAATAAATCTTGTGAATCTTGAAGTGTTGTAAATGTATCATTAACACTTCAGGACTGAACAATAACCAATAATTGAAGAACACCAAAATAACTTGTATGCAAGTCTTGGGTTTCTAAGTGGGTTCTTGTGAGTTAGGAACAAAGATACTTCCTATTAGGCCTAAGTCTAACTAACTTTTGAAAACCTTGAATTCCGGAGATCTGTGTTGTAAGGAATAGGCCTAACTTACATGATAACTTAGTTTTTGACTAGTGAGCAAAATAATCCAAAGGCCCCAGTTCCTAAAATAGTTAAGTTAGTAGGCCTACTTAGGCTTGAGTCTAGGACTGATTAAAATTAAGGAGAGGACACGCAGGAGTTTCATTGAAGCTGCGCTCTGCCGCCGCCACCGAACTGAGGAAGGGGCGCAGTGCTACTCTCTCCCTCCTCATAAAGTGTGGATCTAAATTAGGCCTACTTAATTTCAGTCAAATAGGCCTACACAAACTTTTTTAGCCTACCAAGTCAAACTTAGGGAATGACTTAAAATGATGAGTTATAACAACACTGTTAGGACCATAAATCTGGTCAGTAGCAAAAAATAAGGGTAGGTATAAAATAGAAATTTAGACACTAGCAGGGCCGGTTCTAGGAATTTTTCAGAGTTAAGCGAACCCGAATCAGCGCCACTTAGAATTACCCCCCCCCCCCCCAAAACCATGAACATAACTTAACCGTATTTGTGAATTTTTTCCCAATAATTTTGGGAAGAATTTTTCAATAAGTTTAGGTTAGAAGAATACTTGCAATAAAAGGCTGTTTATTATTCGCAGAAATTTAACATTTTTACAGTTTTACTCATCATATAAACTTTAGCAAAACCAAGGCCACACAAAAAAAACAGGCTTTAATGCTAATCAAGCATGACGTCACGATAGAAGACGGCAATGACGTAATGTTTGCCGTTTGTGATCAGCTGCTTGTGTTAATCTTTCCTTGGAAAATAAATAAATAAATACCTAAATCATTGCCGTCTTCTATCGTGACTTCTTTGGGCTGAATGGGGTCGCCACCAGATGATTTAAACAAAAATCTACTCATTGATTTGGCTTGTTATCTTCCTCTTCCAAATTCGCCTTACGCTTTCTATAATAAGTGCCAGACGGTTTCTTTTTTTCTGCCATTGTTTTCTTAGTATCGGCTCGCAATATGTTTTACTCATTCATTCAGTTTATACTTTCTTCTTATTTAATGCGCTAATTATATATTAAACTTAAACCACTCGTAATCATATACTTATCAACAATCATGAATCATCCAAACAATGCCAATACGATACCGATACGGTATACGTATACAACTAAAAGAGTGCAATACAACGTAATGCTCTGCTCTAGGATCAGAGCCAGAGGCAGAAGGGAGGGAAGGAAAGTTTCATGTTGTGTCAAGTGGCGGTGGGGCACACGGGAGGGACGATGGCTTAACATAGTGTCAGCCAGCGTTCGCCGCTAGAACCGCTAAGTCGAAAAATTTAAATTAATTTTAAAATTTTTAGTAATAAAATTAACTTTTTAATTATAAAATTAAACTGTCATAACCTAACCTAACCAACCAAACTTGCTGATAATATAAAAAAGATATAAGATAAAAATCAAATAAAGTAAAATCTTTGACAAAAAGTCAGCCTCTCGACGGGTCTTGAAACTCGAGACCTCCTGATCACTAGTCCGATGCGCTATCAATTATGCCACGAACGCCACTGGAATCACATTGTCCCGTTACGGTAATCATGTCGCCTCAAGAGAAGACATTAGCCACTAGAGATATGACGTCACCACACATTTAGCCATCGTCCCTCCCGTATGCCCATCCGTGACAAGTGGCGCTGCGCGCTTGCTTATCTCGAGCATGAGCGAGTCGTGAAATGAAACCCACAGGCGCCGCGCTGTACGCTGCCGACTTGCCGAGAGTACGCTCACTACAAATCGAAACTGCAAATGGCATTGAGTCCTTCAGTTGTAGTGCTGTACAAATATACACATTTTTCAAGTGCTGTTGGTACAAACAGAATAAATGCCTTTATTGTGGTGCTTTGAATACTTGAAATCTGAGAAAAAATAAACAAAATTACGTTGTTCACGTAAAAAAAAATTGTTCCGTTGGCGCCACGGCGCCACTTTTTGTGGCGCCATATGCGGCCGCGTAGTTCGCGTATGGGTTAAACCGGCCCTGGACACTAGCTCATTCTGTGACTGGCTCATACACAACTATGTTCTTTTGTAGGCCTAATAAAAGATTGGCTACATCTGGTCCATACTTATAGATGGGAAGTAAACATCAGTAAGTTATCCTATTGTCAATGATAGTACTTTCCTAATCAATAGTCTTATCGGCTGCTCTTTACGTTACGTCCTACACTCATTCGAATGAAACTATCGATTGTTCGATTGTTTCATTCGATATATCGTTTGGTTAGTTAGGTTAGGTTAACCTTACCTAATTAACCAAACGATATAACTTATCGAACAATCGATATAGCCTATCGATCAATATTTTCATTCGAATGAGTGTAGGACGTAAAGCAGCCGATAAGACTAAAAAAGGGCTATTTGGAGGCTAAAAAAGTTTGTGTAGGCCTATTTGACTGAAATTAGTAGGCCTAATTTAGATCAGCACAATCTGTAGGTGGGTCAGATAGGCCTACTCTAAGACGATTTTGATAACAATCTGGCTACATACAAATTTAACATGGGGATGGAATGTCTAGTTGTATTAATTATAGTTAAAGGTACCTACTATTCAAATTTCAAAATTCACGGCTTTTGGTGTAATAAAAGTGAGCACACTTTGAATTTAACTTTGGCTATTTAAAATCACCTGCCTAGCACATACGCCTTAAAACTATAGAGCAAGAAATGATTACCGGTATTCATATTCAAACATCTTTATTCATCATAAATCATGTACATTGGTGGTAGGCCCACAGTGAATAGTGTCAGAATACTTAAAATAACTATTTCTACGTAAGTTATGGGAGGTGGAAAACTCCTCAAAAGAATATAATGCTAAATTTATTAAATAATCTTTTGGAATTTTCTTGAATTTAGATAGGTTTGTTTCTTTTTTATCAATTCAGGGACAAATTTTAGAAACTCGTTACCAGCGAATGAGGTTTTTTTTTCAATCTTTTAATTTGTGAGGCTGGACAAACTCTCTTCTCCTCCTGAAATTATAAGAATGTTACTGAATTTATTACTTGCTCAGATTCATTTTTTTTTCAATAAGAATTGTTTCATAAATATATTGCCCATAAACTGTAACCATTTGTAGGCCTAATTTCTTAAAATGTTCTTCTTGAATATCTCGTTTAAGCTTAAGCATAATTCTGATAGCCTCTTTTTGCCGCTTCTGAATGCTATCCATACATTTTTTTGTTGACCCATATAATGCTAAACCGAATGAAAGATGAGAGTGAATGTGAGCAAAATATATCCTTTTTAGGGTTTTCAAACTAGGCTACAATAAAAGGACGTAATTTGACAATTTATTTATTTATTTATTTATTCACGGTAACACCATTTATACAATGTAGTTAGCATAATCAATTACAAGATGGCATTATTAACAACGACACTACATTACTAATGCAATTATATCAAACAAAACTGAACTTAAAAAAACTTTGGGTAAGTATAATATTCAATGAAAACAACAGACAATAATAACAGGCAATGCAGACAACAACAAAAAAAAAACAATCAATAACAGGCAATGAAAGACTAAAAATAACAGGCTATAAATACAAGCTATATAAATACGGCAAGCAATAACAGGTAATGAAAGGCTATAATGACAGGTTATAACTAATAGACTATAGTACAAGCTCTAATACAGCAAGCAATAACAGGCAATAAATACATACAAAAAATAACAGACAATAAAAATGCAGAAGCAATAGAACAACAGGCAATAAATACAGAGGCAATAGAATAACAGGCAATAAAAAACGCTCAATAGAATTCAGACAATAACATGCAATAAATAAATACGGACAATAATACAGGCAGTGAATGCAGTTAACGATGGTGTCCTTTCAGATTTATGTAGATTTTTTTGGCGGTCACAACTGAGGTGTTCCAAAGGTCAACGTGCGGGGACAGGAGGTTCCCAATCCTATGGAGACGGGGGATCACACTGTTGTGCTCATAGTTGTTGGCGTAGGCTTGAATAGCGAAGAGGTTCCTTGAGCGAGTTCCTCCTGGAACTCGAAAGTTGATCCGACCAAGTAGCTCAGGGCATACAACATCACCATTTAAAAGATTTACGAGAAGAGAAACATCAGCTAATTCTCTTCTCAAATGTAAAGATTGTAGTCCCAATTGAATTTCGATGTCGCTGATGGGAATTGTTGCATAGTTGTAACCCATCTTGAGTCCAACAACTCGAAGAAACCTTCTTTGGATTTTCTGTAGGCGGTCGATTTGTCCAATTGTATAGGGAGCCCACACAATGCTGCAATATTCAAGTACTGAGCGAACAAGGCAGATGAAGAGATACCTCAGCGCTGTGATGCTGAGACCATGTCTAGAGGTGCGAATAATGAAGCCCAGTGCCCTTGACGCCTTGCCACAAACCAACTCCATGTGGTCAAGAAATGTGAGGTTTGATGAGAACACCACCCCGAGGTCACGAACTGAGGTCCTCCTGGAAATATCACTGCCATCGATAGTATAGTTGAAGATAATAGGTCTCTTGCTACGGCTAAAGGTGATTGCAGTACATTTCTTGATGTTGAGACTCATATCGTTTGAGACACACCAGTCGCATATCCTCCTGAGGCAGTTCTGGAGTGTTGTACAATCTTCAATGGAAGAAATGGCCGTAAAAATCTTAATATCATCAGCAAATAACAGTTTATCCACATCCATGAGTTCTATGATGTCATTAAGATATAATGAGAACAGAAATGGACCCATATGTGAGCCTTGAGGGACGCCAGATGCTGCAGTGAAGGGTTTAGAAATTGATTGTTGAAACTTTACAATAAGTTCCCGGTTATCCAAGTATGAGCGGAACCATTTCAAGAGTTGTCCAGTGACTCCATAACCAGCCAATTTGGAAAGTAGTATCTGGTGGTTAACACGATCAAAAGCCTTCTGGAAATCCAAGTAAATGCTGTCAACCTGAAGTCCCATCGACACATTGGAAACTAGGAAATTCTGGTAGATTACTAGGTTGGACGAGGTTGACCTGCCAGTCGAGAACCCATGCTGGTGAGTTGAGAGGAGGTTGTCAAAAAGGGGCTTTATTTGGTCTAAAACGAGACTCTCAAATACCTTCCCCAAGGTGGGTTGAATGACAATCGGCCTGAAGTCACTTACATCGGAAGAATTTTGAACTTTGGGAATGGGAACAACAAAGCTGGTTTTTAATGTATCCGGAAAGATTCCTTCTTGAAGTAAAAGATTGAAGATGTGTGTCAATTGAGGAGCCAGTAGCATATTACAGTACTTCAGTACAGATGGAAGGTATTAGGTCGGGTAGTACAGACAATGCTTAAATTCCGGAGTTAGTTTTGGTCAAAACTTTCTGTGTGTGTTTAAGTTATCCCAATTCCAATTTTCATCTACAGTATTGTTAAACCCAGAAAGTTGATCAGATTTTCCTTTTGAATGTTATTTGAGTTGTAAGTTATTATTGGCTCTTTTGTAATTTTGTTCTGAGCTGTTCTGAAATTTATAAATTTTGTTTTTTTGTGAATTTAGTTATGATTGTAGAAATAGTTTCTAATATTCTCTAATCCTACATATGTAAAAATGTCAGTTTCTTCTGGAGAGTTGGATGGTACAATCAAATTAGAATCATCATAAAATAAATAAATCAGCGTAAAGACATAATATAGAATTTTGCTTGTAGGTTAAATTATCTTCCATGCCTTTAAGGTAACACAAAAAAAGCAAATGCCCCAAAATTGGTTAGGTTAGCCTATTTAAAAATCTACATAATAACAAAAAATGCTAACTCAATTTAAAATGTTTTTCACCATCCAAATTAGGCCTAAACTTTTCATGTAACCTACATTTAGTAAGCTTGGTTTTTAAACTGTAAAAAATTAAAAATAAATAGGTACGGTACGGTAGTTATTGTAATTGTTTTTTTAATAGCCTACTCCTATTAAATATGGGTCAATATCATAGAACTTTAAACATGAAACGCTGAGTCAATACAGCGAAAAAGCCGGCCGCGGAAGGGCTCCCCTCCCACCACAAGTCAGGGGCACTGACCCATGTATCACAGGACGCGTTACGTTTTCCTACAAATTCCGTCAGGTTTTCAGGCTTTCATTATTATTAAGACCTTGATTGTGGTGATTTATTGGTGTGTGATGATTCTTTTATCACAACATTATTGAAAATGCACTTAGTTTTTTACGAGTAGGTTTTATTGTTTGTTGTGCATTGAATGCCACACAGACAATTTTGCTCCATTATTCACTCAAACCTACTCACACCACTCGTAGGCCTATATTCGGGTTAAAATACGCACCTAGCTGATTTGCTAAAGTTCCTATGTCAGGGACCTGTTTAAGTTTGCCATTTATGAGATGGATCCATGAATGTGATACACTAACGAATTGTTTAAGATAAAATGTAATTTGTTAACCTTATTTAGCTACGTAAATCTAATCTGTTAAATACTGTACCTAAGAAAGTATGTAATATTTATGACTGTACCTATTCGATCAGTGGTCGTTTCCAAATTGGGACTGAAATGTTAACCTAAGACTTTCTCTATGGTATTTGATCAGTTGTCATCATTCAATTCTTTTCCTTTGTACTGTGTTTTGTGGCTTTATTTTAACATATGCTATGATTGTTTTGTTTACATTTACGTTGTTATTTTGTAACCTTCATAACCCATTTAAGACCAATGTTAAAATTTAAAAACGTTGAGTTACTTTAAAATTATATAAACGTCATCATAAATTGAAATTGGTTACGTCCAAACCATCCAAACATTTGTCAAAACAACCTTGGTAAGTTTGGCTGAAATATGTTCAGCCGTTACTGAGATTAAGTGTTATAAAGATTGCATTGAAGTTGATCCCAAAGAGCGTCGCTTCGCTCTGATCAATTACCAAGGTATATCCACTGAATTTCCTGATGTTTTAGGTGGATTCGGGTTCGTTTTCGTAGCTCAGGCTGTTGACACCGGAAAGGAATATGCTATTAAGGTAAGAAAAGTATTAGAATTAAATGTTTTATACGTTGTAAGCTTAAGGTAAAGAATTGCAATATGTTTACAAAACATAATTTAATAAAAACAAATACTTTAGGCCTATGCTAACATATCTCTATGAAATTTTGACACATTTTTGCTGTTGAACATAAGTTATTGCATTTTTTACTTGTAAACTATTACCATAAAATTTGTAAATGAATACTAAATACGAAATGGAAATTTTTATAAATCACAATTCCATCGTTTTATCTAAATAGGTATTTCTTAGTCTATTTCAATTTCTAGATTTCTTTTTCTTGTGTCTAGGCCTACGCCAGTGACTTTATTTGAAGTTCAAGTTAATTCATATTTTACTCTGGTGTTGTCATATTGCTTTAGGTTTCATATTAGTTACAGTTAAAAATTTGATTTTTTGTAATGGTTGATTGTTGTATTTTTATTTATTAATTCATTCAACAAAACATTATAAACAAAATACATCTCATACAAAGCTACAAAAGCCTCAGTAGGCTTTTCCGCAGCTATAGATAAGAGTCCAGTTCAAGGCCCGTTTCACAAATTCTAGTCAGTTTCATATCTGGTACAAGCTATTCTCTCCATCTGTTTTACTAAATAGATAAGTATTCACATTTCATTATCATTTCTTACACTAGGAAAACTAATAATATAACAAAAATTTATTAATGTTAGCTGTGTTTATTTTTCAGCGGTTAATGGCTGCAGACGATGAATCTAACAAAGCCATCACTCAAGAGATTAACATTCTTGTATCCTTTTTCTTGTGGAGTGTTTCACTATTTCTGCAGGGTTGCATGAATGCTAATGATTAAAAAAATGGTGTAGAACTGGAAATTTGCTTAATTTAAAGATTTGCTGTAGAATGGATATGATTTTTATTTTTTTGTAAAGCATGTTTCATGAAGATGATTTAGATAGAAAGACTTGCGGGAAATTACAATGTAGACTAATTTGTTTCTTATTTTCAACTATGATTTTGGTTTTTGATTCTTTAACACTTGCTGAATTTTACTAGGTTAGTCGGCATCCAGTTCAGATCGCGGCAATGTCAACCGGTACTGTGTGTGCGACAGGCCTGTTTGTTGTGTTTTCGTTAATAATAAAATTGTAAAATGTTATTCGTGTTCGTGTTATGTGTTTCAACTACGACGACGCTACTTCAGCTGAATGTTCAACGTCTGACGATGGCATTATAATGCCGAAACGGCTGTAACTCAAGTTACAACAGTTTGAGCTGTAGACGAAGGTAAATACCTATTTTTAAATACCTTTATTTTGTGTATTACATTTTATGTTACTGATCTCTGTTAAGTTTTAAGTTCCTGAGTTTTTTTTTAAAAGTGTGTTATCAAGAAGAGTAGACTACTAGAAATGCAAGTGTGTTTGCAAAGACTATCAAATGGCCTATTGAGCTAAAACAGCTAAAATATAGTTACTCCCACCCATGAGAAAGGTTGTTGATGAGACTAATATTTTGTACAAAATAATTACTAGAATAATAGGGGCTATTGCCCCTTCAAGCCACTAGTTTTATATTGTTTTCCTAAGCCAAACCTACAGAAACAGCTGGCTGGTCATCCCAACATCATTCAGTTCTTGTCTGCTGCTTTCATAGACAAGAACCAATCAGGGCATGGTATGGCGGAGTACTTAATTCTCACTGAGCTCTGCATCGGTAAGTTTTAGCTTTGATTAATACAACTAGACATTCCATCCCCATGTAAAATTTGTAGCCAGATTTTTTAACAAACTCGCCGTAGTTGATGTGAGCCATGACAGATTTTGCTGATCTAAATTACTTAATTCGGTCGAATACATAAACTTTTTACCTTGAAGTCAAACTTAGGGAATGACTTATGGTGAGCTAAAGCAACTGTTATGACCCATCAACTTGGTTAGCATAAAAAATAAGGTGTAAAATAGATTTTAGAAATAGCGCATTCTGTGACTGGCTCACACAACTAGGTATTTTTTAAATAAAAAATTGGCAACAGCTGTTCCAAATAGATGGGATGTCTACTTCAGTATCCAATAGTTAAATGGTTTTAGCTAGTGTGTTATTTTTATATTTTCTTAGAAGAGTTTGACAGTTTTGAAAACTTTGTGTTTTTGTGGGTCCATAGTTTTCAATTACCCTACTTTTTTTTGACGTTTGGTGTGTTTCTCATGTTTTTTGGAGGGTTATTAAAATTCATAATTATTAAAGCTTGTGCTTCTGTACCGTACATGACACACAGGTAAGACTGATATTCTCTTAAGTATCTTGTCAAAAAGAGAACCTCTTTATTTGAAAATGTTGTACAACAGCTTTACAATTTACACAACATTTTTACTTAACTTTAACTTATCTTGTAAAACAAAGCGACACGTTTGTTCACTCTAGCAATTTGATTATTATTTAAATTGTGGTTCTTGCTACTGTTGGAGCTTTTGAAGATTTATTTTAAACTAGCTGTAACCCGCGGGCTTTGCCCCATTTAACTTCTTAATTTTCAAGATTATCTCGTTCGCATGGCTCAATCACGTCCTGGTTGAAGTTTGTTCGCTACGCTCACTCACCTTTAGGTTGGAGCTCGTTCGCTACGCTCACTCACCTTTAGGTTGGAGCTCGTTCGCTACGCTCACTCACCTTTAGGTTGGAGCTCGTTCGCTGCGCTCACTTGCCTTTAGGTTAGCTCGTTCGCTACGCTAACTCGCCTCCAGGTTGAAGTTCGTTCGCTACGCTCACTCACCTTTTGGTTGCAAATTAGCTGTTGTCATAAATGTAAAAGAAATAATAGTGCTGCACCCTGTTGGTAATCCTTGTAACTTTAATGCTATTGAACATCATAGAACAGAACCAACTTGTTTAATTGAAACAGCTGTTAAGATTCAATAATTCCATTTCTCATAAGGTTAACATGGGAAACTCCAGAGCCACTGGGGCGGAGCCCGAAAGGATTTTTGAAATAAGAATATGCCTATATGTTAATTGGGAATGTGAGCTATCATCATGCCAAATTTCAGCCCAATCCGACCAGTATTTTTCGAGTTTACTTTTCCCATACACACATACACACATACAGCAACCACCTCTTTTTTATAATAGTATAGATAGATTATATATTCATACTTCTTAGTTTAAAGTGGGTAATTCTATAAAGTGTTGAGCATTTGAACACATCTTTTCATGCTCGTATACTTGAGTCACTTAAAGCCAAATTAATTTTTTCAGGTGGCAGTCTGATAGATGTGCTGACTGCCCGCACTTCTCCCTTACCTCCGGACATCGTCTGTCGGGTGTTCTGGCAAGTGTGTCAATCTGTCAAACACATGCACAGTCTCAGCCCACCCATTATACATAGGGATCTCAAGGTAAAGTAGGCTCGGGTCTCAGTGACGAATGAAAGTAGAGTGATTCATATGATAGACATTTGATGACTAAGACCAGTTGGCTGCTTCGAAATCTGTTTATCATCTGGTTTTTACTGATTTTCGGATTAATATCTGAAACTCATGTTTTTGGCATCTGTATTATATTGTTTGAGACGAAAATTGGTTTTACATGCCTCCGCCAAACAGCCCAACGATTAAAATTTGCTCAGTAGCTTAAATGTATCATGGAATACAACATTTTCAAAGCATGCAACTCGTCAATAACACAATTAAAACTAACATCACACTATCTAAATGTTTGTGTATTCATATCGTCTTTATGTTCGTGTTGTATTTGTTTGATTGTGTTTTTGAGTTGCAAGTTTTGAAAATGTCTTCGCAACAAAACTTGTAAGCTACTTAGTAATTTTAATCGTTGGACTATTTTACAGAGATGTGTAAAGCCTATTTCCGTCTTAATTACTTTATCTGCGATCTAAAAGAAACAGTAAATAATATAGCTTTGATTATATTAGTTGAGTCCCAAAAGGTAGTAATGCCGTTAAGTTCTATATGAATTACAGTTTATGCTAGGAATGAAAAATTTCCGAATGATTAAGCATACAAAAGTACACATGAAATGCCTCCAAATCATTTTATTTAGAAAGCCACACAATGTGTACTCATTTATAGTTGTATACAGAGTGTATAGAATAGAGCAAGATGACATTGTGGCTTTGTTACTGCCAAAGATAAGCATTTTCTTTAGCTTGAAGGCCAATGATCGAGAACAGCTGGATCGAGCATCAAACAATCAAAGAGCTACTGATTTTTCTGGGATAAAATCGGAATCTTTAGGACTACAAGTTTCCTCTTTAGTTCAGGATATTCCCTGATATCTGATATCTAGACGTCATCTACGCATCTATAGCTTCCTTTCCTCCATAATTTGTAATTCTAATCTTTTCTCCACATCCCTCCCCTTCTTCACCACATATCCACCTTCTTCTTTTTCTTGGTCTTTTCACAACAAAATGGACGTTACGCCAGAAAAGAACTGTCATTTATACAAGTTTGTAATGTAATAGGAGGGTCCAATATTGTAAAGAGGAAGTGTTTGGCAATGTTGTGTGAGTAGGCTGGTAGTGTTGTTAAACAATAACTTGTTGTGCTGACCTACTGAAGGCTGTTGCTTTAAGTAGGCCAGTGCACTTGATCAAGGGGTCAGTTTTGTGTGGAGTGGTTTGTGTGGTGCACCAGAGGACGGGGTCCTGCTGGGGAGCTGGAGCCCAAGGCCCTTGGCCTTGGGTCCAGGTAAGAAAATGTTAAGGGTTTTCAAAATTGGTGTTTAGAGTCTTTTCCAAATTGGGGTTTCAGTTTCTAACTAAATGATTTATACAGTTCCAATCTACTCTACCTTTTTGATTGTTAGTTTAGCTTTGTGTTCTTTTGTGTTGTTTTGAGTAATTAATAAAGTTGGGTTTTGTAAGCGAGTGCTGAGTTTCATTCCTGAGCTACGTCACCCTAAGTAACAGTAGGTATTCCAAGAGGAATACATACCGTTACAGTAAGAAATTTGAAATTGCTTGTTGAATCAATAATCTCTGTTTAAAATAAATTTGTATTTGCAGATAGAGAATTTGCTGTTGGACAGTGAGGGGAAAATCAAGCTTTGCGATTTCGGAAGTGCTACTACACAGGTGTTCTATCCTGACAACAACTGGACGGCTCAGCAGAGAGCCATGCTTGAGGACCAGGTGAGGTGACAAACATTTTGAACACTTAGTATCTTTACTTGTTGCTATACCCTTCACATCTGTGGAAAGAGGCAGAAAAGAGTAATGTTTTTTTAATCTTCTACACGATTGCTCTATTGTAGAAAGAAAACCTGTAAAAATTTTTGTATAAAATTTTTTATGGTTTAATTAAATTAACTTTGTGACAGGAAAAAATTCATAACTTCTGTGTGGTATGGTTTTATTACTTTGGTAGCCGACAATTGAATTTTATATTGGACAAAGATTTCACGAATTACTAGAAATATTATTTAATTTTAAATGCCTCTTTACTTTTACCTCTTACTTTTTTGGAATCCTAGAAGTCAGTTGGAGTATGGAATAAGATCGTACACTTTCTTTGTACCTAGTTAATCCTTTACAAAATTGATTTTAATATATAAATTAACTTCAAACTGTTACTTGCATAACAATTAAGGTACCGGTAATGAAATTTGAATGAGAAAGAAATGGCAATTGATGCCTTTAAAAAATAAAGCCATTGAGGAACTTGTACGTGTAAGTAGACAGTAGGGCCTAGAGATACCGGCAATAATAACCAGCAACAAAAGAAGAGAGAGAGGAAAAAAATAGTAGTCTATATTCTGCAGTTTCATTCCCAAGGGGAACTTCATCAGATTTCGAAGGACATCAAATTTAATTCCAGAGGAGGTCGTCGACATTACAAAAACGTGTTACGGAGAAACACGTTATGCACGGAGAAAAGGTCTAGACTGATGCGTTATCTCGCATTAAAATATCCCAAAATTATTATACCTACATTAATCCTCGACATTCTGTAAAAATTAGGACGTCCATCGAAGGTAGTTCATTATGCTCAACTGCTTCCTATTTGTACTAATTGATGGTTTTTTTTCATGATTTTGTCTGTGTTTTGTGTATTTTTCCTCCTTAGAAGGGATAAGATTCCAGATACCTAAACACTGTTAAAACTTGTTTTTTACCAACAATGGTTGAAAATATCCACTATAATCCCTCTAATAGCATTCAAACTTAAATGACACCATATCTCCCGTAACATTTTAGACATTGATCATTTTGATCAAAATTACATTTGGAATTGCAGATGAACAGGTGTACGACGCCCATGTATCGAGCTCCCGAGATGGTCGACACTTGGAACAACTACCCAATAACATCGGCCAGTGACGTGTGGGCTCTTGGCTGTATGCTGTACATGCTCTGCTACAATAAACACCCGTTTGAGGACTCGGCCAAGCTAAGGATTCTCAACGCCAACTACACGATTCCCGCCGGGGATGCCAAGTACTCTGACTTTCATCCTCTCATACGTGAGTCTCAGTAGCTCTCTTGTGATAAGTTTTAATTTTGTCTTGGACTCGGTGCTATTTGGTATTTATCTACTGACGGTGTTTGTATGGTAACGGTCCAAACCCTGGTCTTGTTTCTATAACGTTGACCTTATGTTAGCTACTATTATTATTTTATTTTTTATTCATAAACATAAGTTTTACAAAAAGTTTAATTTTTCAAATATAAAGAAGAGAAAAACCATTAAAATTCAATTTCATAGCCCCAGGATTGTGTTTATATGACAAACAATGGCTAAACGTACCTCGTCAGACAATCCTTGCATGAAGTATCGAGTGCTACATATGTTTCGGTGGTTATTTAAATAGCTCCGCCATCGTCAGGCTAACAAAAGGATACACTTGATGTGTCGTCTCATTATTGTTTTTATGTTTTATTTATTTATTCTGAAGACACATCAAGTGGATCCTTTTGATAGCCTGACGACGGCGGAGCTATTTAAATAACCTCCAAAACATATGTAGCACTCAATACTACATGTCAAGGATCGTCTGACGAGGTACGTTTAGCTATTATTTGTCAGAGAAAAACAGCTCTCTGTATAAGTAAGCTGTCTGTGGGACTGAAGTGTGGTCCATAATTAGTTGTTTATATCCTTTAAACTATAGCATATAACACAGTTTATTTAATATAATAAAGTATATATTTTATTTTATATTTCAGTTATAATTTTTTTTTTTTACTCTAAAGCTTACTTTATGATTGGTTTTAACTCTATTTTGTATGGATTTTGACATGATTTTCTCTGTGAACCTAATCTCAAATACCTACCGAACCTCACCAGGTTGAAACATTCTTCAACCATCAGAACTCCAGAAAGTCAAGTTTTAAACTTAAACCACACCGTATGTTGTAATATTTAACAGTCTCCTTATGGAATTACAGGAGGATGTCTCCAAGTGAATCCAGAAAATCGTATGACAGTCTCAGACCTACTGGAGAGATTGGCAGCCATTGCGGAATCTCGCGGTGTCAACTTGCGGGAACCTCTCACGTTGGAAGGCAAGCGGATAGACTCCAACGCCCGACCAGGTGATTCACTTTTCTCCGCACTTTGTGACAAACTTTCATTTCTTTGACTTTAACCTGTACTAACCGAAATCCTTCATAAACATAAATTGTTTCATTCTGAATGTATTTTTATGGTTGTAGTAAATACTAGATTCCTTAACATACCACGTTTTAGTGTAAATTTGTATATTCCAGTTTACCAAACCTTATTGCATGTTTGCATGTTTATGGTGTAGTTAATAAAACTGTTTTTTGTTGTTATTTTTACTTCATTTTCCTATTTCATCCCACCCATTTCTAAAGTAATATGCTGGACATTTAGATTTACCATTTGGAGATACAAAATTTAAAGACAACAAAGTCAACAATTTAAGTTTTTTTTTAATTTTTTTTTTAGATTTTGTTTCGTCTGGGTTGTGCTTTGGTAAAGCAAACTTATAAATTTAAATGTTAGTTTTGTTCAAGGAAAGGCTCTAGACCATGATTTTGAATTGTAGAATAAGGATTCTAAAATTATAAGATAAATAACTTTTTATTGAGGATGTTTTGAAAGTGCACTCGCCACTTTGTCAAATCTCTTAGATTTGACAGAATTTTTTATGTCAATTTTTTTTTAATTCTAAAAATGGCTTTAATACTACACTAAACTCTGAAGGACAAATACATGCACCTCTTTTAATGTGATATTTATTTATATCACTCATTTGACAACTATCTATGAACACTAAGGAATCAAATATAACTCCACATAATTTACCAATGTGTCAGTTTGTTTTGTGGGAATTCATATTTTAGATGACAACTAGTTTCTTAATTCTTGATTTAGTAACCTGAGTTAAATCTTATAGCCTGGATATCCTACGAAGAGGTTTAAATGTTTCATTTCATATTGCTTGCCAATCCATGCACCAACAACATTGAAACTGCACACAAATAATAAAGTGGGTTCTGAAAATATCCTTTAACAATTTAGCTTCCTAAGATTTGTAGAAACAAAATAGTGGCATATTGAAAATTTTACAGATTTTCATCCTAAAAAATTACTCTCTTAAGTTGTTGAAGTGTTTACCCTCATTCTTGAACAGCTGTTTATTAAACAATACTTCTTAACCATAAAAACATAAACTAACTTTATTAAGTGCAGTTCTATTGAAAAGTGGTGATGAAGCTTATGGATAGCTTGTAATGTTAAACTTAAAGTGAAGTTTCTGGTAACATTACAAGAGCAGTTAGGCAATTTCAGGCAGCCTACCCAAGAGTTTAACCAACTAGTAATTCAATAAAAACTGAATGAAAACATTTTTGTTAGGATCTGACCTAGAGTGTTGAATAAAATTACACAGGATCCAGTTCCAATTCGGTCAGATTAACGGAACTCTGGAATATAATTAACAAAAATAAGTTCTGGTCCTTTACCTGCGGGGCAACCAAAATTCATGGAACTCCCGAAGAGTTTTGCTAAAAACTGTGAGTGCTACTTGATATTGATATGATGAAATAATATATATATGTCAAGTGTAGGCCCTACTAATCAATTCCAATTGAGAACCAAGATTCAGAAACAAAGTCTAAGTCACGGTGTAATGCAGTACCGGTACTGAGTTTCTTCTGGTTAGGTGCAGTATGTTCCAGTTTTTATCATCAACATTCATTATTGTTTATGTTATGCTCTTTTCTCATAGATAAATTTAATGTCTGATTAAAACATATTTGTTGCGAGTGTGATTTTCTTAGTAATAGTTGACTGAAGTCCTTGCAAGATGAATAAGTTTTTGTAAAGGTTAACAACGTTATTGAAGCTGGCTTAAATTAAGAGTAATACATGATTGAGGTAAGTTTTTATGAAAAAAATCCTCTTGTACACATCAGCCCACATAAAATATCTGATTGCTACTTTTTTGTATCATTAAAATACTGAGTAAAATCAAAAGAGGTAATACTTTGGTTCGGAAATTTTCTCTCTGTTTGGATTTACATATTTTATAAAAAAAAATCATGTTAAGTTTTCAAAACAAGTTCAATTAAATCAGAAACTGTTTGAATCCTTTTTTTTAGCAAAGCAAGAATCATATATCATATTTCTCAGTTTGTTAGGCATTAGATCTTTCCAATTCCATAATAAGCTGCAACTGAATTTCATATAATGCCAAATTGATCATCTCCATTCTGCTGTTTGCTGTTTTTTCGCTCTTAAGCCGGAGGCAAATTAATTCCACCAATGTCAAATCACTGTAGCAGAAGGATTTAATCTTGATTTTGTGTAGTTTAATTTCAGAAACCAAGTAGTATTGTAAATAATCCTTTCGCAATTGAATAACTGTGTTATGTATTTGGTCAATTTACAGCTGGTCCTCCCCCTGTGACAAACAACGTAGGGACTAACAACGGTCTGGACCGACCCCCACCACCGACACAGATGCCTGCGTCTCCTCACAGGACTCCCCCTCCACACCCACCCCCGCCTTCGAGGTAAGTGTCTTGACAAGTTTATCCTCAATGCTTATTCAGTAGTCCCACCGACACTTGCGTAATTTGTTCAAACTCATCTGTGAGTGCTAGTGTCACACTCATTTTTGCGTTCACCCTTCCCTTTCGGTTGAAGGTGATATATTTGCTGATTGAGTTTATTATGTAGATTTTGATTATATGTGTGGGTTTGACTCCTGATGTGTCCAGGCGCTTATCCAGCCGGAGTTTGTGTCCAGCTTGAGATGAAGCTGCTGGCAATAGTAATCGCACACAACACCTGTTTTGCTTCTGTTTGAACACTATTATAAAAGACACAAATTTTCCTTTTTAGTTTTGATTTTTGTTAAATATCGACATATGTTAAAAGACCTAAAAAAACAGACATTTATAAAGAAATAAAAATTCTCACTTGAAAGGGTGAAACATAAATAGTATCTAGAATTTTTTTCTAAGTTCTAAATTGTTAAATTACAAAGTTATATACTATCGAGGCATTTTTCAGACCTCCCCCAGTACAACAGCCGCTACCCCCGGCTAGTGGCGGTGGCGGTGGTCTGTTCTCTACCATCAAAGGCGGGGCAGGCAGTTTCTTTAAAGGACTCAAAGATACATCTTCAAAAGTGGTTCAGACTGTCCAGCAGTAAGTACATAGTTAACAGATTTATAATTTGCTATAATACTCAAAACCTGTTTGATCCATTACTTAAGTAATGGAATGTGAGTAAAAAATATTGATTAATCAAGTAAGGTAGGTTAATTTGTTTCGGTATTATTTGCTGGAATACACTCCTCCCCCCTGTTGTTGCAGCAAACCTGTGTACTAAGTGGATCCCATTTTTCTAGTGTTTGTGGTCAAACAGATTTTAAATTAAATACTGTACATCCATCCCGAATATTAACTAGGCCAATATATACTCATTGAGTAATAGAATTTGCTACTACTAGGATCACACATATCTGGTTTTATGTAAAATTTGAAAACTATACTTCGGAATAGAGAAATTTGCCAAATAATATGAAAGGTATATCCACTAACAAGCTATTAACTAACAATTATTAGTTAGATTGTTTCCAGTATGTACAACATGTAAAGCAATGAAAATTAGCCAATTTTCATCAAATCAGTTCACAAAAGATTTGTCAAGAGTCTCTAAAAAGACATTTAAAATGGATAGTCATGAATTTACAAGCAAAAAGCTAAGCGCTTTTTAATATTTTATATTTTCAACAACAACATTTACAAGAATAATTCAATTCAAGTGTTGTCCTTAGCAATAGGAAGTAGGCCTAGTCAATTAAAAAGCTAGTTTGATTAACAAAAATATTCCATCAATTTTTTTCTTTCTCTTCCAATACTACAACCCCCCCCCCAAAAAAAATAAAAAAATTAAAGAAACCATCCACAACCAGTGAAAAGTACACTCTTCTTTCCTATGGGCAAAATATCCGCATAATTAAAACATAACAAGAACTTTAATTACATACTCTTCAAAATACTGTTTTAATAATGTCACTTTAATCATGGAGTTAAATGACAGATTTAATCAACAAATTTTCTCGTTAAAATGAAATAATATATTTTGTTGAAATAGTAAATTTAAAAGAAAAAAAATAAATACACTAGAGTCCTTAGGAATAAAAATAGTTGCACATAAAATTAAAATAAACACAGCAATAGATATTCATACTGTCAAAATACCTTTAAACGCATTTAAACATTTATTTTGAAAACCAATATTTGAACAAATTTGTTTTGGTGTTAACTTTTCCGCCCAAAGACAATATGTTCTGATACTTACCAGAATAAAAGATATCAATGATTTTACTTTTAAATTTGGTTTTTATTATCTCTAGAGTGACTGGGTTTTACTCATGCCACATTGACTATTTATGTGAGCGATGTGCGCATAACATTGAACATGAAGCAGTAACTCATATAGATAACCACTTATTGTACCACTCACCTTCAGTTAGTGATAGTAAACTGAACCTTCTATTGAATAACTTGGATACTCAAGCGCTTCAATGGATTACTTGCTTCGTTTCAAGAAAAAACCCGGTCTATTTAGGATATTTTTTGTCAAAAGAAAAAGATGGAGGTTTTATATTTATATTATAACGTTCAGTGTGTTAATGTTTACATGTAAACATCTGTGTGTAGTGATGAATTTTGTTTAGTTGGACGTTTGTGTTTTTACTAAAGCCTTATTTTTTTTTTTATTCTGATATTGAAATAACAAAGACTTATTTATATTTTTTAAAGTTTATTTGCATTCAATTAAGAATTAATTGGAATTTGTTTGATGATAAGTGAGTTTATTTGTTTACATTCATAAAACACCTGGCACACTTTATTAGTTAGTTATACATAGTTAATTGCCCAGCGGCAATAGGTATTTAAACCACTTTATTCTATTTACCACAAGTTATTCAGAGGCTAACAACATGAAATCATGTGTCGCCTGTTCACAGGAGCATGGCTCGTAGTGAGGTTGACATCAGCTACGTCACGTCTCGGCTGGCCGTAATGCCGTATCCAGCAGAGGGTTTGGACATGACGACACGCAGTAACTACGCGGAGGACGTCAAAATGTACTTGGAGACTAGACATCCGGGGGCGCACTACTGTGTGTACAACGTCTCTGGCAGATCCTACCCCGCTGGGCGACTGGGCAAGGGGAGAGTAAGTAAAACAAAGATTAGGGTGATTGAGTGATCGTACATTTAATTTTTGTAACCCAAAACCTATTTTAGACTATATTAAATCTAATTATACCATTTAAATAACTTTTACTGTTTTACCAGCTAGCGCTAGTTTAGATCCAATCACTTAATGTAAACTGTTGAAAAGTTGCTGAAATTTTTAATCGGTGTTGAAATGGTTATAAAAAGTTGATTTTGTGAAGCTCGTCTATATATAAAGCCAAAAGTACCCATGAACTTTTGAGAAAACTATAAGTCACACCCCCATAAACCATATACTTAAAATGTTCGTCATGATGAGAAACCTTGGGCAAAACTATCCATTATTTCTTAAATTGCCATATAAGGTCGTAATTGCTTTCCAAAGGGAACTTTCCATATACGTTAAAAACACCTCAGTAGTATTCATTTGTATGTTATTCTTTCAGTTAATTACCGTATTAAAATCAGGTGAGATTATTTGTCTGGATTATTGTTTCCTGTTTTGTTTATTTTCAGCTTAACCTAACCAATCAATAGTTTTAATAATACTTATGAAGTAAAACGGGGTGAAGCCCGTGGGTAACAACTAGTAGCAATTAATTGTAGAAGATATTCTTTGTTCCTGCAAATATGATTGAGTTTTCATGTGCAATTCCACAAATTTTAATCGTTTTTTTTTTATCATTTATCAATCATCTTTATTTTATAGTGTCTTTTTTTAACGAGCGTCAATAAGAGGATTTTAAAAGAACCCGTAGTTTGCCTTCCTTGACTTGACTATGTATAAAAAGTCTGAGGTCTCAGTGATTCACTACATTTTCCTCATAGGCCTACTGCATATTCCGTTAGCTCACTAATCCACAAAACCAACATTATGTACATTTTGGTTTTGTAGGTGGTAGATTGTGGCTGGGGAGGAGTCTTGCGTAGAGCTCCTCCACTTCACTCACTCTACACCCTGTGTCAGGACATGTACGAGTTTCTGACTCTCGACCCTCGTAACGTTTGCGTTGTTCACTGTATGGTAAGTTTCCTAACCTAACTCTGGATCTTACTCTTTAGTCTATTTTAAACGTCAACTTTATTACAATCCTCAAAACATCGGGTTGGTCCATCCGTTGATTGTTGCAAAATAATATGTTTAGTTCAGGTATTATTTTAGCTAGTTTCCCTTAAAACTGAACTAGAACTGCAAAATTAATTAGGAATAGTGACGTAATTTGATGCTGGCTTTAAAGCATTTTAAAACCTTGAATCCCGATGTATTTAGATTAGTTCAGCATGATCGCATGTGGGTCTCATAGTAATCCTCATCATCATTCAAGTAATTTGAAAAATATACAAGCTGCAGAAATCAGAATTTTGAATAAAAAAAAATTGTTAGTTTGTTTTGGTTGGACTTAACCTTTTTTAATTTTTTAACTGTTTAACATCTTTCACAGAAAGGCACTCAACCAGTTGCATATAAATTCCACATAATTGTTCAACCTCACCCACAGAAAAGTATCCAATCACTTAAGCCTGGTTACACGGGTCGAGTATGTCAGACGAGTTATTCGGCCCTGTAGGCACAGAGAAGTAATTTTTATTATTTATCTATGGTGAAGGGTATTCCGTATACCGTAGCTTTCGTGTTAAATGTGGTTTGAGTTTAAAATGGCCCGTCAAGACTGAATCTATACAGTAACTTAATTAAATCACTGAATTAGATTATTAGATATAGAATTGAATCACCACTTAAATTCAGAGGTTGCTTAAAAGCTTTTTTGCAAACAACTTTTAAACTGTGAGGAAATAGACCAAAGTGAAAGGTGATATTCCGAAAGAGAATAAGATTTGTTACAAATTACTATACTGCATTTCTTTAAAATAATATATAAAGGCAGCCCAAAGTTGCCTCCAAATAAAAAATTTAAAAACACCTTTTTTAATGTATTTCTGATAGAACACATTTTTAGGAAGTGAGCTTTAATGACCCATTGATTAATAAAATCAATCCAGTAGAACTGTAGATCTTAAGTTGTACAACAATTTTCAAAACTGAATTCTATAAGAGTAGATTTACGAGACAATGCAACACAGTACTGTTCAACTTGTACAAAATCACTTGTACTGTTCAAATAAATCATTGAGCATTGAGGTTGAGTAGGCATACAATACTCACTGAACTAACCTCAATACTGATCGTTGTGGTTGTGTGTGATCGACTCACTCAGCGACCACAAAAAAATAAAAAATAACCAATTCTGTGGTCGCTGGACTCGCTTGATAACAGTAAACAGATGTTTCTCGGGCAAATCGTGGTGGTGGGGGTAGCTACTGGGCCGAGCAACTCGGTTTTCAACTAAATCACTCGACTCGCTCTCAACTGACCTATTTTTATCAACTTACCCGCATGTCTACACCATGCGAGTTAAAGAGCGAGTGGCAACTCGCACACTGACTCGCCTGCCGTACTCGACCCGTGTAAACCAGGCTTTACAAACCAGATATTTGTTCAACCTCACCCAAAGAAACGTACCTTTTTACAAATTTCTCCCTCTAAAACACTTGACAAAATTCAAAACAATCCTTATCAAAGGATTATTTAGTTTTTTCCCCATTGTAAACGGAGTAATGTTTTTTGATTATCAAATAAACCAGCCAGTTACAATATTAACTTACGCTAATAGCTGAGAAGCTAATTGATTATATAGTGCTTGTACTGATCATAAGTTTGCTTGTTCCCTTTTGAGAAAAGACCGTATCATGTATGAAACTGGATCCAGCTGTTCTTGATCATTGAACTTTTAATAAATGATTGTGGTTAAAGATACAGCTGAACATAGTCAGTAACAAAGCTATGATCTCATCCTGTCTAATCTATCCTCTAATCTACAGGATGGCAAGGCAAGTTCGGCAATGCTGGTGAGTGCCTTCCTTCTGTTTGTGGGGTTTGTCAAGAGTCCTGAAGACGCTCTACAACTGTTTGCAGTACGTAGATGCCCTCCAGGACTTCAACCTTCTGAAATGAGGTTTGTATTTTTCTCTAACAAGTAAAATTTATAAACATCATCCTTTGTGGGTTATTCCCGGGTCTTATTTATCCTCTACCCCTATCTTCTCCATTCTTCTCTTCATCTCAATCCACTTTTTGAAGGTATCTACTTCAACTCTTTTTACCACAGAATTATTTTTTCTTTTTTTTACTGTAAATTAGGGGTGTGCTAGTAGTGATTTTTGGGTTTGAGATGTACTTCATATAATTTTGAATATTTAAAATACTAACCAGCTAATATTTACGATCCACAAAAAAAATCCATTATAGACTAGGAATTATACTAAGGTTATCCTTGTTTTACGTAATCAATAGTTATTCACTGTAGGCCTATCCTATTCACTTGGTTTTATCTTTAAATATTCAATGTGATGAGTAGCTGTATCGTATTGCAGTAGCAAATAAACTTGCAATGTTATTTTGATAATGATACGATATAATAAGCAAAGGAATCATACTTATATATAGGTATAGGATTGTAATTTTTTGGAAACACACTGACTGATGATTATAATACCATGATATTTTGGTAACTCAGGTTCAAGAATGAAATTAAACAACAAAACACATATGATTTCTGTCATTGGGGGTTTATTTCTAAATGCATTATTTGTTTTAATATTAAAATTCAATCATTGATATTGAGCAAGGCTTTAATTTTTGTTAAACTATTAGAACAGAACTTTTGAATATTTCTACCTCCACTGAAAATACTTATAATTGTAACAATGTTCATATTTTTGCTCAGGTATCTTCACTACCTAGCGGATGTTCTCAAGTTTCCTCCATACTCACCTCACTTCCAGCCCATGAAGCTGGTGTCCATCACCATGCAGCCGGTCCCTCTCTTCAACAAAGTCAGGTGAGCGTCAAGTTTTATTTTACTCAAAATAAAAACTACATGGAAAATTAACAATGAAAATCAAATAAGTATTGTGACAACTTACCATAATGATGTACAGTACAAAAATATGTTGGATTCCTTGGTCTTTTGATCTATTAATTTCAATACAATGGAGGTTAAACTTTTTCTTGTTTTTATTTTGATAGTATCTGTTGTACACATTTTTTCATGTCACAAATACATAATAAATGCACTTAATTTATGAATGATATTGCAGGGACGGTTGTCGGCCATTTGTGGAGGTTTACCAGGGAGAGGAGAGGGTAATGACCACCCAGCAGGAATACGAGCGGATGACGTTGTTCAACATCACTAACGGAAAGGTACTCAATCACTTACAAACCACATAATTGTTCAATGTCACCCACAGAAAGGCACCCAACCACTTACAAACACCAAATAACATTACTCAATACTCAACATAACTCGTTACTTTCAACGTTACTCGTGGGAAATTCTTTGCACATATGCATTACATAATTGTTTAACCCTTTAAGTGCCAATGTCCGGGGAACCGGACGTTTTTAAAACGAGCCAAAAGTGCCGACGTCCGGCCGACCGGACGTTTTTAGAACGAGCCAAAAGTGCCAACGTCCGGCTGACCGGACGTTTCGTAATGATCGAACAGTTGTCATAACAACCGAATGGATACTCGGATTCTTTTAACCCATATATTAACATTGAGTCGAAAGTTACTAGATGCGATACATCGATTTTCGTTGGTCGAAATATCGAAAATTCTATTTTTACGAAATTTTAACCTAAAAATCGCCAGATCGCGCTCGGCATTTTTAGCGCGACCTTCGGGAAAAATCATCGGCATTTTTTGAGCGTTACTTTTATTTCTCGCCTGGCACTCTAAGGGTTAGGCCTAATTGTTACCCTACGGAAAATTATTCAGAAAAAGGTATTTTTTACCAAATAATGTTGTACATAATTCACAGCAAGCTACACTATTATTGTTGTGTGTTAACGCTGACATAACTCATCAACATTACTCTAAGAGATCCATCAAATTTCATACATCCATATTCCATACTATTATGGTTTTCCAGTTTATAAATTTAAGGCACAGAACTTGGTTGATCAGTGTTATCATCTTGTTAAGATGCCAGGATATAGCTAGTTCTAGACTAACTGCCTATAACATCTCATCAGGATCGCTAATGTTTTTCCAATGAAACTTGTACCAAATAATATTTACTGTTTTTAAATCACAGACCAGTAATCTAGTATGACAAACAATTGAATTGAGGTTTTAATTTAGGGAGAAAATCACCAGCACACTTCTTGTATTCATATATTCTTTTAATTTTTTAACTAGAGTTTTTATCTGGACTGTTAAGTTTGTAACCCAGTTTGATTTGACTACTAACACTATCAGAGGTTGGTAACACTGAGCAGCGTGCTGTGTTCCAGATCACGCTGCCTCTGAATGTGACAGTAGTGGGGGACACAACGGTGGTGGTGTATCACGCCAGACACGTTCTCGGACGTCCAACAGGCATCAAGATACTACAGCTACAACTGCACACCGGCTTCATTGCTGGAAACACGCTCACGTTTAACAAGTAATGGTGGTTTTCTTAAGCACAAATTGGTGTCGCACGTATGGGAGTATAGGACCTGCACCTCACCTACAGTAAATTTCGTTAATCTGGTAGTCGAGAATTCGGACTCATGCACTAGCATATTTCCAACAAATGTTTAGATAAAAGACATGCTCGTCATAGCTCGTGGGCAATCGTCGGTTTTGGAGTGTACTGAGATATCATAATAGAAGTTGGAAAATAGCCTGAAAACACAGAGAAGAACTCGCTTTCAACTCTGTTGTGTTGTGCCAAAAATATGCCTGTGGCGAGCAAGGAAGAGCCTGAATGGCGAGCACTGTGCGGAAATTCCTATCACACAGGGTCTTCCTCCATCGTAAGCGTTGCAGTGCATGATGGCGAGGAGAATGGTGTTGGACTTTGCCCTAGACACCAAACTAGTGCTAGACACCATTTAAGTGTACCATCGAGTGTTTCCTCTGTACCTTAATTATCTTTGCTGATTCCTAGTAACAACAGTCCTTTTGTAGCTTTCTTTACCAGTATTTGTTATATTCTCACTATAATAGCTATTCTTCAACGTTGCTCAGTAACACAACATTTTTGTTAATGTGGTACTACTGAGGTTCCAAAATGTGTTTGATTAGGGTCTACTTTGTATTGATCCTGTTTCTCAAATTCTGTTCCTACTGTTCTAATGTTGTTTTAACCATTACATGAGTCAGGGCGCTTTTTCTGGTTCTGTTGGCGTTCTAACTATCGGTTTATATTAAATGGATATTCTGAATGTTAAGTAAAAGTGTGATATTCTGAAGGTAACTTTTGATAAAGATTTACTTCCATTAGTAAAAGTCTTCAATGTTTACTTCATTTGTGTGTCCTTCTAAGCTAGGCTATTTTTACATTGCTAAAACAAACTAAGGGATAGTCTGAGGTTAATGGATTTTTAGAAGTTTAAGTTTGATAAAGATTTATCCTCGTCACTAAGATCTCTCAATGTTTTCCTTTCTTTTCTTTGGTTTATTTATAGTCTAAACCATTTTATTTGTATCTGTATTTCATTGTTAGATATACAGATTGAATATTTATATTTAATCTGTATACTGTACCAATGCAGTGTCTATTATTTAGTGCCAGTATGTATATTGTCCTAAGGTGAGAATTCAAACTCTTAAAAAAGTCCCCTTTACTGCTGACTTGCCCAAAAAACTGCAGTTTCAAATCACATCAATCACTTTTAGTGTCTAGCCATGTGACAAAACCGTGACTTGTCATAGAGAGTTTGTATCAACAGTTGTTGAATTTGCAGGACCGAGCTGGATGACCTGTCGGAAGGAGAGCACTACCAGGGGGAGAAGTTCTCAGTGGTGTTGTATGTAGATCTGCTGGAGCCCACCGAAGCTTGTGTGACTCCATGGCTCGGACATCTATCTCGCAACTACTCCTGCGACGTTCTCTTCTCATCCACCATGGAGGCGGAGGAGACGAGAGAAAACTTTGGTAGATAAATTGCAATGAAATAAACATTCCATCTATATGGATTTTCATTCAAACGAGGAGAGCCGTCTGAAAATTTTGCATTTTAATAGGGTTTAAATTTCAAAACTTAATTACATAATAAAAGTGCTACTCCATAAAGACTGAATAGTGATTTACCAAACTCAATCAGATTGCAGTAAAAAAAATAGTATTTAAAATCCATTTTCATAAACTGTCTATCAGTCTCTTGTTCACAATCTGACTGTAGTTAAACATTCAACTGAAGGATCAGCTGTTAGATTACAATTCATATTTAAATCTTTATAAAGAATGTTGGTCAGAAACACTGGATCTTTGAAAGTGAGCTCTAGAAATAATTAAAGCAAAGAAGGTGAAATGCATAATGAAATTACCTTTTTCTTTAGCATTTGCAGGTGCGCTGGATCATAAGCTTTAAAATGACACACCAATCTCGAAGTTCGGTTGTAGTTTAGCTGGAAAAGGGATGTGAAAGTGAAAACCCTCATTGTAAAAGTATATAGAATAAATTATTGACTGCAGTTAAGCCATTCACATAGTGTGCTAATTTTTACAATTGAATTTTCTCTCTTAATTTTAAAAACTTTTATAGTTGATGTAAGGTTCAAGAAAATTCAAGATTCTTTATTCGTTGCTGTGCAATTAAAAATTATAATAGACTATGTCAACGATGTGACATTAAAGATTGTTAGTTTACCGTAACATTTCTCTTCAATTTACTCTCTAAAGAAGTCTCAGTGTATGTATTGTTTTGTGTTCTTTACTGTGTATACATTAGCCCTTGGACTCTTAATTTTCTTAGGTAAGTTAGATGAACCAAAAATCCACCTTTAATTAGTAAAATGTGAAAATCATTTAGTTAATGTACTCGTCTTGTATTTTCAGTCCCGTCTCCTCCAAAGTCTGGTCCGCCACCAAGACCTGCCCCGCCTCCCCCCCGGCCTGGCCCTCCGCCCAGACCTGTGCCCCCGCCCAGTGGTGCTCGACCTACGGAATACAAAGACACCCCTGAAACACCACCCATGGTAAGTTTCAACCACTTGTTTGGTTTTATTTTCTCTTAAAATTACAGTTGTTTAGTTTTCAACAAAGTTATATTGTGGATAGGATGTTTTTGGTTGTTCAACATCGCTTTAGTAAAAATCGGATGATTCGAGAAAATTTGCTATGCTTGATTCAACTTCCTTGTCCTGTTAAAAGGTTATTTCTCATATGAAACTGAACATTCCTAAGTTAGATCAAGACTCGAATTGTTAATTATTATTATTACACACAAAAATGTGCATTGGATCAATAATTATTTTATTAGGTCTGTATTTTAACTTTTAATGTTTAGATTGAGATCTTGAGATTGCACAAAGTCTAGTAGTTTATTTATTTATGCAGATCGCTTTAGCGACTTAAGATAAGATATATCCAGTTTGTCTACAGTAAATTCTTGTTATTGTAGAAACTTGTTTGGAAAGTGGAAGCTCATTTACATGATCCAATTAAATGAAGGAAGGTTTTTTCTTAACCAAGATATACATACATTTTAATATATACAATTAAAAGTTAATTTCAGCAATTATAAAGTGAAGCTCAAAGGAAAGTAAACACTAGTGGTGAAACATTAGCCTGAAATTTTCAATCAGAGTCCCAAGCTTTCTCCGAGCCGAGCTTTTACTATCATGAATTTATGTAGGCTAATTACAAATAATAAGTTATTAAGGCCTAGTAAGAATAGAACCTTTTTTTTAAAAAATAGGAATTTAATTTTAAGATGTGGATTAGAATCTTATACTATACACTGGTATTAAAATCTGTGTATCGTCAATTTCCAGAGGAGAGCTGAGGAAAGAGAAAGTTTACTAAATGACTCGGAAGGAGAGGCTGATTTCCTGAATTTGTCAACCTCAGAACCTCGGCAAGAAGATCTGCTGAATATTAATAACTCTAACGGAGGTAGCGGAGGGGGGAGTAGTAACGTAGACCTCCTCGGCTTTGGACAGTTTGTAAGCGCTACTGCACCTACGCCAAGTCAACCTGCTAACCCTCTGGTGTTTGATCCGTTCGAGTCTGATAACAACGTTAGGGTAGGTGCATTCAGGTTTTATTATCATTTTACCTACATCAATGCCGCAGGTATTATATAAGTAAAACTGCCAATTGAATAAAATAAAGGGGCTGAGGCAGTTTCGGTTAGTTGTGGTTAGAACTTAAAAGCTGTTTCGGTTTGAGTGGATCTACAATGGTTGTTTTTACATGATTTAAATTATGTACTGTATTTTAAACATTTTAAACTGTACGCAAAAAGTTTTTTTTTATAATCTAGAGTTGTTTTCTGGACTTTATCTTAACAGGTACAAACCAAGCTCGGTCAACTACTTTTGCCTTAGTAGTTACTTTTTTCCCTAGATAATTTTCCAATTGATTTAAATTTTTTATCATGGTTCTGTTTAATCTGGGGTTTGGTTTAACATTATTACCGGTATTACCATCCTGACTGCATTTGTGTAAAAACATGCAGAACTGTTTTTTCAGTCTTTGTCAATGGTAACAATATTAATTATGAAGTCTAAACCAAACAGGTCTATACAAGAGCAAGTCATACTGTTTACCAAACTAACGTTTAATGCTTTCAGGATGATCTGCTAGACCCGACACTAAAGAACACCAACATCCATCGGAACGTCAGTACGCCCAACCTGATAGCAGACAACATTGTGTTAACTCCGTCCCCTTCACCCAACCCCACGCCTAACCTGCTGGGAGGAGCGTGGCCTCCCGGGTCTGGTGGACCCACCATGCCTCGCAACGTCAGCACGCCCAACCTTAACCGGGATCCGTTTGCTGATCTAGGTTAGTTTAAACTTTAAACCTTTTCACACATTAAAATCCACACATCCACATTTTGGTTTGGTGGATGTTAATAATGTCAACAGTTATTAAGGGTCATTTAAAAGCCTATTATCATCAAAGCTGTTTTCTGTCAACACAAAACTAAAAATTTACAAAACTGTGATTCGTCCAATTCTGCTTTATGGTTCTGAAACATGGACTCTGGACAAAAGTACTGAAAAAAAACTCGTCACCTTTGAAAATAAAGTACTAAGAAAGGTTTTTGGACCAACAAGAGAAAATGGTGAATGGAGGATCAAACATAACAGAGAAATTAGAGACCTGTATAAAGCACCAGATGCTGTGGCGGAAGCAAAAAGTCGACGAATAAGATGGCTTGGGCATGTGTTAAGGAGAGAAGATGATGCATTGATAAAGAAAGTTTGGAAAGAGAACCCGGTTGGAAGAAGACCTCCTGGGCGTCCCAAAATGAGATGGAAAGATGAAGTGACCAAAGATATGAGGAAGATAAGAATCATGGAGGAAGATGCTGAAGATCGAAAGAAATGGAGGCATTCAGTTGCCGAGGCCAAATACCACCTTGGGTATCGATGGCCATGGGAGTAAGTAAGAGTAAGTTAAAAGCCTGAGAGTTAATTTTTTGGGATAAATACCTTGATGAATACATTAAGGAAGAAGGAATGACACACGACTAACTTACCAAAGAAAAGAGTTTCTGGAAGTTGACAGCAACTCAGCACAATTAATTTGTCACATTTTCAACCCTACAAGGGAGCATATTCAGAGGAAGTAAGTGGAATAAATCATCAACAATTTTTTTTCTCACAAAAAGAGAGAAAAGATCAATTATTAAGAATACTATAAAATAAATCAATTAATCACTATAGGATTATCAATTGTTAAACTTGATCAATTGAGTAAATTCTATTCTGAGGTTTAAATGTGAGGTTGCATAAACTTTGGTTGAATCAATAATGCAAAACTGGTCAACACCTTTGTCCACGATCTGTAATCCTATCAGAGTTAAATTAGATCAGCTCCAATAAGGTTTACTGTACTTCAGCAGCCTACTGTGTTTGTAAGCATTTATTTCTGTTTTCTTCGTATTTTAGAGCTTTTAATATTTCAACTGTAGTTTTTAAATAGTTTTATTCAGTAAATTTAAAATAAGCTCTTTGAACCATACAGTCTTAATTAAATTAAATGTTAAACATTTTAGTTTTTGTGTTACAAACAGGCTTTAAAACAAGCCCTATATGCATACATCCAATTTTTTCATATGCTATTTTTGGCAGTTAGTGTTCAAAATTAAAAGTATGGAATCATCGTAGGTAATTAATTTAGTATAGTGACTTGTGTAATTATTTTATTTTGTACTTGTACAGTATGAAATCCTCCTACTTAGACCTATTTAGCAACAAAGTTGTTCATACAAATTGTGGTCATTTGATAATTTGAAAAATAGTAAAAAGTCTTAATTACTTTTTGAAAAAAAAAATCATAAAATTGGAATGGTGATGCAATTAATGGACATTGTATCCTAAGCACACTACAACATTGTACAACATTTTAAACACGTTAATCACATTTACAACAGAATCAATAATCAGTGACAAGAGATGTGGGTGTTTTGCTTGCCTAGTGGTTAGCTTTTTGAACTTTGGTACAGGAGAGACGAATTTGATTCCCGGCACATCAACAAAAACATATGGGTTTGGCCAGCTTTCCCTGAAAGCGCTTCCAAACTCTCTTCAATAACTCTCCTGATAAATTCCTATGGCGTTGACAACCAAAAAAAAAGATAAAAGAAAAAAGACCCTAACTTGATCTGTTCAAGCTTACAAGTTGTTTATTTATTTTGTTAAGTTATTTCTTGTTTGATTTATGTGGCTTTTAAAATAACTTAAACCAGTAAACATGATGTCGTTGGTGAAGTAGATATGTACAATGTTCTATATTTACGTTTGTTTGTGAAGCAGGTAACTTGAGCTCCAGTCTCGGTGGAACTACCCCTGGACTGTCTCCGCAGCACAAGCCCACCTCCAGTTGGAACCCAACCCCCTACCCTCCCAGTACACCAGTCTACACCCCTGCTGGTACGTCAACAATCAGTCAATGTTTTGTGGGAGAGCAGTATGGGTAATCATGGTGTTTTATTGTAAAAGAATCAAGTTCAGTCAGATTTATTGATGAAATTAAATACATTAAGGTTCACGTAACATACGTCCGATTTTCAGAATAAATGTTGTCAGCTAATACCAATACGAACAACCTAATACTATGGTAAACATTTTCTAAAATTTAAAACCTAATGTAATGTGGGCTACATTTTCAAGTACACACAGTGTGACAAAAATACATTGAAAAACAACTGACAATAATAATTAAAAAGTTAATCTAATTCTTAATTGAAGTTCACCGTTAATTGTTTTTTTTTTTTTTTACTATTGCCTGTTTTTTGGAGACTTGGAAAGGTTTTTGGGAAAGATAGGTTAACACGTTCAGGGTGGTAGGTTAACACGTTCAGGAGGGTAGATCCCCCCCCCACTCATGCGGAACAGCGCACTTCTAGTCTACCGCAGCAAATAAATGTGTTGGGAAGTATCTTAGGGAAGATATTTTAATTTTAAACACAAGATCTATTCAAGTAGTCTTATATTTTACTATGTAGTTAAATCACAATTCTGTTACAGGCAGTCCGGTGCATCATTCTAGGTCTCCTTGTGAGCCGAATTACAGCCGATCTCATTTTGACAACGCCTTCAAACCTGCTGAGCCTTCGGGTAAGTAAAAAATAAAAATTTATTTATAAGTCATAGCATTCTCACTCTCTGTGTGATCAAAACAAGAAAATACTGACTAAATTATTTCTGAACAGTTCAATTGATGAAACAGCCTGTAATAAAGCAACGGCAACTTATGTGATTATTACTTTTGTTACCTTTACCTCCTTTAATGAACTTTTTCAACGGTAACATTTATATAAATGTACGTTGGTTTGATATTTTGACAACTTCTATGCCGAAATATTGAACCAATGTACATTACAAAATAATGTTTGGACCAGTCTAATTTCATGAACAAATATGACAACAAACATGACATGGTATATCATAATTTTTTATGAATGCACCAGAATATCTTTTAAAATTACAAATATGTTTTAGAAAAACACTTTTCATCCACTGATGCTTGATCTTTTATCTCTGTTTGATTTGACGTGTCATTATTTTTGTGGTTAACCCTTTAAAATATTCACAGGGAAGAAAGCTGGAGACGTTTTTGGAGACCTTCTAGGAAGTCAGGGTTATGAGTTCTCTTCGAAAAAAGACAGCGGGCCCAGAACTATAAATGAAATGAGAAAAACTGAACTAGCCAAAGAAATGGACCCTGAAAAGTTGAAGGTGAGGAGTTAACTTGGTACTACCTATATTCTTTGTTTTTATAACATTTTAAACCTAATAGCTCTGTGGGTGGCTATGATAGTGGTAATGAGAAGGTTGACGGTTCAATCCTGAGAAAAGTCAATAGCTTTTTGATGATTTGAAACTGGAACCAGCTGTCCTTGACCATAGAGCTATTAATGCTTGTTACTGGATATAAAATCAGCTGATTGTACTGGATATAGAATCAGCTGATTGTACTGGATATAGAATCAGCTGATTGTACTGGATATAGAATCAGCTGATTGTACTGGATATAGAATCAGCTGATTGTACTGGATATAGAATCAGCTGATCTTGGCAACAAAGTAGTCAATCATTTAATGGGAAGTTGATATTAGGCTCTAGCACTCTAGGCATACCACAACACATAAAAGGAGTATGTCTCTTAGGTTTTAATTCTTTTTTAGAGAGAAAATTCAGTTCACTAACATGATTGATTGCATACTAGGCCAAAATATGAATGCTTTGTTGTAATATTTCAATGTTTTTCAGGTCATGGAGTGGACGGAAGGAAAGACTCGTAACATCCGAGCATTGTTGTGCTCCATGGACCGAGTGTTGTGGCCAGACTGCAAGTTCAGAATCGAGATGGCACATTTAGTCACTCCCGCAGACGTCAAGAAGGCTTACCGCAAAGCATGTATTGCCGTTCATCCGGACAAGGTATGTTATTAAAGTATTAATGTGTGTGTACAGCTTGTGCATGTTTATAGAAGTATGTTTAAAAACATTTCATAAACTGAACGAATGGTGAGGTTTTACCTGCTGTGCAGAAGATATAGCTCATCAGATCGATTCTCCGCACTTGGAAAATGTGCTCAACAAATTCAGCCGGACTGCTCCTGCACACTAGCCTCTTTTGCTAATGCACATTTTTTTTTTTGTTTTCACTCACGCAATGGACTGTACTGTACATTTGTAACTATATAATTCAATTTAGAAGCAATACCTTTAGGAACATTTAAAGTCTAGGTGTTTGTCTCCTATCTACTAATTTACTTGGTAGTAAAATTTATTTTTAAACCACCAGCAATATTTAATTAGACAACACCAACTGTTAAGTACCGTATTGTTTTTTTACTTCCTTAGTTTTTTATTTGTTTTAAGCCTGTGTCAGAGGAAGGAGGGCAATTTAAGCAAAAGTGGGCTAAAACAATCAAATTAGTGTTTACTGTAAACATAAAATGTATTAATTTCTTGTTTTCAAATATTATTCATAAAATTACATATCCAATAAAAGGTTTCAAACTACCAGTAGAATAATTAATTCTCATTTTGTTTTTCAGCACATAGGAACGCCCAATGAGCAAATTGCTAAGCTAATTTTCATGGAGTTGAACAACGCGTGGAGCGAATTTGAGAACGATGCGAGTCAGCAAAACATGTTCCAGTAGTCGGACCATGGGCGTTAACTCTGTACATGGGTGCAAAACTAGACAATAGCTACTACTTAGATGTACTATAACCAATCTAGTTGTCTGTCCACTTTCTCAACTCCAATGTACACTACTTACACTCTATTACGTTTACTTGGATCGTGGAAACAATCGTCGCGATCCTCACTTAAACAGCTTTGCCAACAGTTGCTTTAATTATTGTAAGTTAACCTATTAGCTACCTGCTCAAAAGTATATTTTATCATGTTTTGATGTTAGAATTATTTTTATATGACTGTTTTCATAGATTATTAAGGTTAGCGATATTTTTGTGATCCTATAGGGTGTTGACTTACGAATTATGTTCTTAACGCAATAGTCGATGATATTAATTTTGTAGGTTAAGTTATTTTTTATGTTTAATCTGTGTGGAATTCCCTTTCAAGTTTATTGTAATTGTTTATTCCTGACATTCCTTTTATAAACGTTTATTTTTTTATATGGGGATTTAATATTTTAGTGAGTATGTAATTTTGTTTTGTTTTAGAAGAAGATAGAATATGTTACCAAGATTAAATTTATCTTAAAAATTTACCCTTGTAATAAATGTGAAAACTGTGTGTTATCTATAACCAACTGACAACTATATCTTCATTCTTTCTTATCATATATTTTTAGCGATTCCTTACTTAATTATTTACTAAATTATTTAATGTTTAATTTAGCAATTAGTTATATTCAAAGAAATTCCATTATATTAATTGTTTTTAATCTCTCGTCTTATGCAAAACCATTGCATCGATCTCTTGGCCCATCAAGAAGTAGTGTTTCACATCGCCTCGTGTTAGTTGTTTATAATATTTGTAAATAGTTTAATGTAAATATTTGTACCTGTATTATTTTTATTGGAAGTTAGGATTTAGTTGAAATCCAGGAGCCCTCAGATTGTTTTGCCTTGTTGTAATATTCTGTGGTGTTTCTGTTCCTAATAATGTATAGTATTACATTGCATTTGGTTCTCTCTGAAGATGACTCAAATTAATGTAAAATATTTATCACCAGTTTGAAATTGGGCATTATATTCTACTTGATATTAGCATAGACAAATAGAATAAATATAGACCATCAGCTGTGCTGGGGTTAGCATAAGTTCTGGTATCCACCGCTAGGATTGCCGTGTGGTTATGGCGCACACCGCTCCAGCGTCTGCTGGTAGTATATGGCGAGCAGCCGACGGCGGCAGCGAATCGAACACCATGGCACATCGCGAACAGTGGCACATTGCGGAACCTTCTTTAGACAGTCTATATTAAATTCTATTTGTCTAGATGATATTAGTGATGTGTCAACCGATAATTGAGACCATCGAAACTTTAGAAAAAGTCGAAAACAGATCTTTTGATCGGAAGTCTAAACAGATTTTAATCCAAAAGTACAATGAAAATGATTCTTATTCTTGTAAAACATCAAAAGTCTTGCTAACGCTGGCACACAGTTTTACACCGGGACATTATTTGATATTAACTGTTGTTTGTTGATCCTATTTCTATAAAAATTTGGTAGCATTATACCAATCATGAGAACTAGGGATGGACGGGATTGAATTTTTAGTTCGGGACGGGACGGGATGGGATTTTTATTTCCTTCCCGATTTTCGGGACGGGACGGGACGGGATTTTTTTCTGTGCATAAAAAGAAAGTACTGTATTGCAGTTACCAAAAAAAGACATACAAAATCAATTTTTACCATTTGTGGCACTGATCTATAAAAACCAAAAAATGGGTAACAATTTACAGGTACCTATAGTAACTTGTGACTCGCGGGTCACGGGGTGATCGTCTGTACGACTCACGGTCACGGCGAGATCGTCGTCATGACTCGCGATCACGGCGCGATCGTCGGTATGACTCGCGGTCATGACGCGATCGTCGTCATGACTCGCGGTCACGGCGCGATCGTCGGTATGACTCCGCGGTCACGGGGTTATCGTCGGTATGACTCGCGGTCACGGCATGATCGTCGGTATGACTCGCGAACACGGCTCGATCGTCAGCATGACTCCGCGGTCACGGCGCGATCGTCGTCATGACTCGCGGTGACTCGCGGTCACGGCATGATCGTCGGTATGACTCGCGAACACGGCTCGATCGTCAGCATGACTCCGCGGTCACGGCGCGATCGTCGTCATGACTCGTGGTCACGGCGCGATCGTCGGTATGACTCGCGGTCACAGCGCGATCGTCGGTATGACTCGCGGTCACGGCGCGATCGTCGGTATGACTCCGCGGTCACGGGGTTATCGTCGGTATGACTCGCGGTCACGGCGCGATCGTCGGTATGACTCGCGATCACGGCTCGATCGTCAGCATGACTCCGCGGTCACGGCGCGATCGTCGGTATGACTCGCGGTCACAGCGCGATCGTCGGTATGACTCGCGGTCACGGCGCGATCGTCGGTATGACTCCGCGGTCACGGGGTTATCGTCGGTATGACTCGCGGTCACGGCGCGATCGTCGGTATGACTCGCGATCACGGCTCGATCGTCAGCATGACTCCGCGGTCACGGCGCGATCGTCGTCATGACTCGCGGTCACGGCATGATCGTCGGTATGACTTGCGGTCACGGCGCGATCGTCGGTATGACTCGCGATCACGGCTCGATCGTCAGCATGACTCCGCGGTCACGGCGCGATCGTCGGTATGACTCGCGGTCACGGCGCGATCGTCGGTATGACTCGCGATCACGGCTCGATCGTCAGCATGACTCCGCGGTCACGGCGCGATCGTCGTCATGACTCGCGGTCACGGCATGATCGTCGGTATGACTTGCGGTCACGGCGCGATCGTCGGTATGACTCGCGATCACGGCTCGATCGTCAGCATGACTCCGCGGTCACGGCGCGATCGTCGTCATGACTCGCGGTCACGGCGCGATCGTCGGTATGACTTCGTCTCCTGCGTTCGCGGACCTATCGCTCGCAATAACGGCGTTATCGGCACTCGCGAAGCGGAAGAATCGCCGACGATCGGACTAAATCCCGTCCCGAAAAATTCCCGAGTCAAATGTAATCCCGTCCCGATAATCGGGAATATTTTTTTCCCGAAAAATTCCCGAAATTTCGGGACCCGTCCATCCCTAATGAGAACAATTATCTAGTATGCTGCACAATTTGTTTACAATGCTGGGATTTCCGTAGTTTGACAATACTTGTATTTGTGCGTGATTTATTGAAGGTATGAATAAAATAGTTAAACTAAACCACACTACAAGCTATTTAAGGTTAAAAATATAGTTACCTATAGAACTGTGTGATACACATTTTACTTACCATTTCTTATGTTGTCTACATAACGTTTATTGTAATCCTTAAATTTATCACTTAATTATTTTTTAGATACAATGATTTTGTTCTGTATTTCTTATTATAATTGCAATATAAATATTTTGTATAGAATACTACTTTATTTTATATAGAGAAGTGGTGAATTATTTTTATTTTACAAATTTGTATCATAAAATATAAAATGTATTGGTGCAATATTATGAAAACAGTGTTACCCTGTATCATTGGCTCAGTGAAAAAAAATTTTCCCATACTTCTTAGGAATACACACCAAATAAATATTTAAATGTATCTTAATGTAAAGTAATATTACCTTAATTATGTGTATAAATAATTTATACGAAACATTACAAACAACTTTTGACTACATTATTATGCACTAAGGAACCAAACCTTTATTTGAACAAAACAAATCAGAAGCTATAACAAATGGATACGTCTAAGTGTTGAAATTATTTAACTATATTTAACAATAAAGGAGTACAGCAGTAACATGTCATACATTCGGAACAATGTTATAGAAAACAGGCTGTGACATGTTTCAAAACGGCTGCATGTGTCACATAGTTGGCCATCTGAACCATGTAAATTCTAGCCTAAAGTATCTGAATGATTCAAGTTTCGCTGCGCTGCATTTTCTTCATCTTACACAATATACGTTTTTGTTTATCGCTCGACCATTAATCTGTTCGAGAGATTAATTATGCCTTAGGGGCAGTGTTGAGTGAAAAGTCTTACTGACAATATATTACTCTAAATTATTACTATCTGCGATTTTCCTAACGATTAAAAATAAGTTGAATTATGAGTTATTATTGTGTATGTTTACTTTTTTGTTAACATTATGTTGTTTGTACTTTCAATATATATTTTTGTTTACGTGAAACTGCCTTGAGTTTAAAGAAAAACATTTTGATTGTGTCTATAATCATATTATGATTGAACAACACTTTTGGAATAGATACATTTTTATTGAGGTTATATGTTTCCCTACCTTGTAAAGAAATGTATGAAATAAATATTATACTGTTACTGTTACTTGTCTCTTTTTCCTCCTGAGATTTTTGTCCAGCTATTCTAAGGGTACTAGTGCACCTGTTGCTCGAATTCGAGCAATTGCAAAGAATTACATGCGTTATTTCAAAACAAATAACAATCATAATTTCCGATGACTTAAAAAGAGTTCACTTAAGAAAATGTGTAATCAATCACTCCACTACAGATATCAAAACTGAAAACGAACTCTCTTGTGTGTATCATGTGTTTACTATGAACAGCTGTAATTAAGAAAAATTATTCGTCTGGTTAAGTAAACAAAATATTATCTTCTAAGAAATACATTGGGATTTTGATGGCCTGTGGGGCAAAGCCCGAGGACTTTTAATACATGAATTGGTGAAAGGAGGCGTCTACACAAAAAATACTTAATTTTGACACATCGTTTGTAAAAATCCGTCCATTATTAACGGAGGAGTAGTGTTTCGTAGAAATCGCCTTCACGTAGGCTATTAAGGATTCCATAAAAATCTTGGTTTACAGTGGCTAATAATAGGTTCAAAAGGTCAATAAACAGATGGTCCTGTTTCTTGATGCATTGCACAATGTCCAAAATATAATTTTTGAGCTGTTTCCGATGTCTTGTAGGTATACAATATTTGACTGCACGTCCAAATCTCACCATATGTCTAAAAGTACAGTAACTGCAAAAAACTTAAGTCTTTCTACAAGCTCTGGACGTCATGAGATTTGTCATTGTGAAACAGCACACTTTATACTCTAAAAAAGAATCATTTCCACCAAAGCCGCTGCTAGTTGCAGTCCAAGTGCCCAATCCAATGATATAAGTCAGTGTTTCGACGTCCAAAATATAATTTTTGAACTGTTTCATGTCCAATATCAAGTATTTCACAGTTGCACCACGTCCAATGATAAAAGTCAGTGTCATAACGTCCAATATAAAATATTTGACTGTTGTACGAAGTCCAGAGGATCGGGATTGATTGTGACAAGGGGGGGTCGGGTTCACCTGCAGCAACAAGGGATTGGATAATAATATCTAAGTTCTTACCGTCAACGCAATCAGGAGTAATATTCCACTACGGCCGTTTCGGAGATGACTCCATCGTCAGGTGCGTAGTGGTACACTAAACTATAGTCTTGTCACATTTAACACGAGTTTTCTTCATTTGCATTGCGTCATGGGGTGAATAAATAATACACATATATGTACAGGACGGACACACGAAAACACGAATACACGAAAACATTTAGAGCACGTGCACGGCTTGAAAACTGACGACCGACACAGATATTATTATTATATTTTCACGCAATCTACCACACTCAAGAATATAAGGGATTGGAGACCAAAAAAGGGGGATACTATCTTCCGGAAAAGATTTTAGAGCTATGATAAAAAGAAGTGCCTTTTAAGGTTACTATGCATATGCAGGGTGTTTCAAAACTCTCCTTATTAATATTATTTTTCCACCTTGATTTTGTAATAACTATAATATATGTAGGCTATTTGAATTTTAAATCTATGATCCACTGTAAAATATTCTTCAATAAACAAACAAAAGTTAAACATGCACCAGCCCCACCCTTGTGAGGGCCATCATCAGGACATTCATAATAAGGTCCAGTTTTTGAATTTGTTTACTTCCAGGCAGTTTTTATCTGGTGCGAAC